GAAATTAGATTCCGCGTTAGCCGTTACAGTCAGGCTAGTTCCCATTGGAAATATTCTTATAATATGTTGATACGACACTTGATACTGTGAATATGCAATAGACTGACGCCAAATAAGTACTAATGAATAGCAAGCAAGAAATTTCTCATGAAGTATATAAAAAGAAGAATCATTTGTATTCTATAGAAATAAAAGTCTCCAATGCAAGCGTAGGGCGTGTATCAATCTATTATTCTTCTTGAACAAAATGTTGATATCTCAAATGAAGTCAGTTCACTATACCAGGAATCTCATAGATTTTTCCAAGCAAAGTCTTCATATGTGTCAAGATAAACCCACCAAGCTATCGTAGCCAACGTATCGTAATACTATTTGACTTACGGAGATGGTCACGGTGTCTCTTATAACAGAAGAATTACGCAGTGGGTCTAGTGCCTAATAAACTAACGAACATTACAAGCGTAATATTTGTAGTACAGTGTCTTATGTTTTTCATAATTCTGTGGAGATAATAGTACAGGCACTCAACTATCTGACATGGTTCTATATCTAGAATATCAGTTGACAGTTGTTTTTTACTATAGTAAAAACTATTTACTATTCATAACAATCACAAAATATTTTGCTTATTAGAACCCCGAGAAAATAAGTGTTCATTGAAACAATAGAACCCGTGTTACCGCTTACCAAGGGCGTTGCAAATTTAAACAATAAAATATGATAAAAAATTATCTGGACACTCACGAGTACTACTATTCTAGATAGCTATTTAAGAGTGAAGTAATGAAACCATGATTTCTATAATACTACTTCAAAAATTTAATTCGTTTAATTTTATATCATAAATAGCCCTTAATAAATACAGAATATTTTGGTTGGAGCTCACGGATAATATAATTTAAATTAATTGTTTTTATTGTAGACTAACAAATCATTAATTTACCAATTATTAAATCAAATTTTCATAGCAAACTTGTGTAAATTAAGTGGCCATAAGTACTTTGTTTCTTAAGTAGGTTCCAAGATACGAATGTTCTCAAGAGGTGAGTTGATCCGACCTCGGTTCCGCTTATTTGTCTATCCCACGCTCCTATACGATATAATGGATATTGACAATTAACACAACCAGATCAAGTAACTGATCTTTTATTTATACTTTAACATATAATTATTAATATTTAGTAAATCGTCAAAAAGGAAGAGGATCTCGTCGGATTATTTATGTATATTCCCCGATTCCAAGCAACCTGGACGGATTTAGATTTTCTTTTTATTTTTAAGAAGATAAAAGGGTCAGCACCCTGAAATTTAGGCATATAGTTCTAGAAGTATAGCAAGTTTAGGTATATATATATATAGGGGCTCGTGAACTGATAAAGACTACTTTGAGTAGATTTTTTATTGAAATAATTTTAAGAACAGTATGTTATAAGACAATGCAAGTTGGAAAGAAATTCTTCATTACTTTACTAAGATTCTCGTCACCGTGAATGTTTGTTATTTATTTGTTTTTATATATATTATAAGCAAAAGTGCAATATCTTGTAAAATAATTTCACACATATCTTTTTATACAAAGAAAGAAGGTGTTGAAATTGAGCCAAATAGGTAGCCAACACCGACGATTACTATTTTAACAACAAAGCTTGGAGTGATTTTGTACCAAAATTCATTTTTATCAAAAAACAAACAACTTTTTATAGCACATCTTAAGAAAATATGTTACACTGATCTGCATCAAACGTATCTCGGCTGCACCTTATCGTCTTATCACTTGACTGATAAATCTAATTTCGTTTCATACAAAATAAATTGGACTTTTCACTCTATTAAGATTGAAAGCAAGGCTATTAACTCAACACTGTTTTCTCACAATATGTTAAACTGTAACCAAAGTCAAGTCAAAAATCATTTATTCATATAGGTAGCACAATGTTCACTTATGAACGGCAAAAAAGAAATATACATTAAATGCTTCTAATTTTACATTTACTGCCACTTCTCAAATCAAGCGCGTAGAACGGAAGAGAAGAACTGGCAATAAACTCTCCGCCACTCTTTTTGATCGTCAAGTTTTTTATTTTACACAACGCTTGCAAGGAGCTGCAACCATTACACATCTTAAGTAATAAATAATAATAAAATAAATTAAAAACAAAGATTTGTCCTCTATCAGCAAAAGGCATGGTGTGAAATAGGAGCACGCACTAATAATCTCGTGGGAACAACATGCAAATACATAGTTGACCCTTTTTAAAGAACTTTCTTCACAGTGAATTATTATAAATACCTCAGTAGCTATTCACAAAAATCTATTTATTTATTTAACACTACGTTGCAAAAATCAGTATAAATTATAGTTTTTAAATAATAAGGAGTGATACGGGCGGCCTTTATCGCTTTCGAGCGATCACTTGAATCTTTATCTTTATTCGAAGTATAGAGGTACATACTTAAAACCGAACATGGGAAACCATGGGATTTTCTTAAAGATTCTTCAGACTGCATAGAAAAACGTCAGTATGACTATCGCTATTGACAGTTACAAAGTTGGCGCAGGTGTTTTTTAATAATCAAGGAATGTAGATTAAAAATTATGTAGACGAATCAGTGTTTGTAATATATAAATATATTATTTCGGGGTATTATTAATATTAAATAATCTTGAAATCATTGTTGAAAGGTGCAGGTTATTTCATGTCACAAATCAACTAACCACAGACACAAAAAGCAGCCAGTAAGCGTAATAAATAACCGTCAGTCAACGTGTCAGCTGGATCGTAAAATACTTTCTATACGACTTGTTCAACATGCTTGTGATAATAAGTTTTATAAAACTAAAGAGGTTTAATATTGACACATTCTTGGTAACAAGATAAAAGTCCAGTGGAGTCTTAGGGTTCACTGAGTTTTTAGTCATCAATTAACCACAACAGTCCTAGGGTCTGAACAATTTTGTAACAACGATATTTTATTTTTAATCAAGATTATTATTAATTATAATTATAAGAGCAGTGCCTAGTGGATTCAGCGTGCGACTCTCATCACTAAGGTCGTAGGTTCGATCCCCAGCTGTGCACCAATGGACTTTCTTTCTATGTGCGCATTTAACATTCACTCGAACGGTGAGGGCAACATCGTGAAGAAACCGGCTTGCCTTAGACCCAAAAAAGTTGAAGGCGTGTGTCAGACACAGGAGGCTGATGATCATGAAACAGGACTTCTTCGTATAAAAAAATAATATATCCGTGATTCGAATGGTACGTGACTAGATAGTAGATAGATACATTAATATTTTCTTGCTTAATTCAACGGATTTATTATTTTTATTATTGGTTTATCTATTACCGTAACACTTTAAAACAATATATATATGTCGTAAATATGTCGTTTAGAAAACCCCTAAAATGTGAAGTAAGTTATTTGATGAATATTGGAATCAGGAAAATTTTACTTAGATATAGATTCATAAATGAGAAGGAAAATGTAAAAAATATTTCTAAGTGGTTCTATATAGGAAAATATTGTGAAAATTAAGTAACTACAGAAATTTACAAAGTTACTTAGTTAAGTTCTGTCGAATAAAAAAAAGTCGACTCAAAAATTATCTGACGGCCACTGCTTTTTCATGTAACTTTTTGTTCTCTTAAGGCCAATAGCCGAACCACAAAAAGATTACATTCAAATAGTTCTTAACATGTAACTATAATACAAAAACATAACTTCCGAGTTCCGATAATGCTTTTCCGGCAAACAATCGTATATCATGATTATTGCACTGAAACTACTAATTAATATGAGTAATTTCAACCTTTCGTTTTAAAATTTTAAACGATTCCATAATAAACTTATTTTAGTTTCCGATGGGAATTATGTTTATATTGTCAAGGAGTACAAATTAAATCTAAATCTAATCTAAGTAGTAGACCAAATATTTTTCTAGCTCTCAGCCCAAAACAAATCAATATATATATGAAGTTAAAGGAAACATAGAAATATCTATTTCTACCAATAAATCCATCTGCTTTTAAATTAGACTTAAAAGACTTTCTCCGCTAATCATCGTCTGAGAAACAAACGGATACTCACAGCAGTAGAAAGTAAATCCGAATTTAGAATCCGAAGTAATGAACACGATTCACAAATCGAATTTAGAAAATTAATGATCGAAACACAGATTAATCACAAAGGTCACAGACACAAAATATCAAAACTGTAAAGTCAAGCACTCAATTATTATTTTTTTAAACGAAACGCGGGAAAAGTGACAGCTCGAAGCCAAATGCGGCTTCAGGCGTGCGCACTTCGCGATAACTGGGGTCGTTCTGTTCGAGCTCCGACGAGCGTGAACGTGAAACAAGAAGTGGGAATTGAGCATTGGCAGTTGGGACAATTATTAGCGTTATTTTGTTTTTATTTATTTACTTTTTTTTAATAATTTAACCTTTCTACCCCAGCTCTACGGCATACTAAATAAAAAACCTGAATAACCGATGCAACTAATCTTCGTTAAGATATTTAAATGTTTTAGACTGTCACTGTCCACCACAGCGTAAACACAGTATGACAGAAAGAGACGAACAAGTACTTTGCCTAAAACATTGCAATTAGAGTGATTTGGTTTTTATGAATAAGGAAGGAATAAGTCCTTTACACTGTAAACTATTATTCGTTATTATCCAAAAACTTCGAATTTAAACGAAAATTTATATTTTTAAGCTTCTTAATAAAGTATATTATATTGATCTCTATTAAATAATAACTATTTACGTTACCCGACAAAAACTTTGACGAATAACATCGATTATTTGAACGGAATTTTTCAACTGATTTTGTATTTTTTTTAATTACTGTATAGTGCTTTAAAGTACTCAGGGATATTATGCCTTGCCTTAGCTGAAGGAAAATAAGGCCTGAGCTTAAACATTAAAAATATGTACTCTAATTAAACACGGCTATTTATTAACTAGTTTAAACTATAACAGGAAGAGTTACTGAGTTTAAACTATAACTGGAAGAGCTACATCTGGCACAGGACAAGAAACGCGTCCCATGACTAACGGCCAACTTCCATAATAGAGAAGCGCCTTAAAAAGAAACTTAAATAATACATCTCAACTAACATTTCTACAAAAATAAAGTAACGTTTCAATTTGTCAAATAGGTGTATCTATGCTGAATTAAAAGACTTTTATAGATAATTGCGGAAATATCCTGAAAGAAAATATTACACATAGTGCAACACAACGCTATCCTTCGTTCCTTATAAACAGAAATAGATAAATTGTATAATCATGAGCAAATAAACAAAAATAGCTATCTTAACTGCCATCAATATTATGAACGTAATAACCTAAATGGTCAAGTGCCGATAAGATTTAAACCAACTCATGTCTTACACAATGCGAGAATTTCTTAAGGTCTGAAAAGCACTTAAAACATTTTTAGTGGTATCAATATAATATTTTAAGTCATGAAATTTATTTTAATAGAGTTCTTTTTCGGTTAAATAAATTGTCAAGGCTCTATAAGTCTGAATACTGTAGACTGTAGAGTGTAGTGAATACAATTTTGAACACACATAGACAATTAAAATAAAAACAGCATCACCAGAAACAGAAAATTGAAACGATTAATTAATTTTAAAGGCTGAAATAGTCTGATTACTTAAAACCATATGTAGTTTTCCTCATGATTAACTTTGTTTTAACATTAAAAAATGTGAGTATGAATAACAGTAGGTACATTAGGGTTTTAAGTGATCTGAGAACAGTTTATGACAATTCTTAGTGTTGCTATATTCATGTTTTTTTTTTCAGGTTTTGTTTTATTGGTCGGCCTTTACAACGCTGGTAACCCCGATGCAAAATATTAAGTAAACGACCAAGAGATAAGCGAAGTTACAATTTAGGGCACAAATTTTTCGAAGAAATTTAAGTCTAAATAAAAATATTTAAGAATCATGTTTCAAATTGCACGTAACAAGATACACCAAATTCTACCGGAGGCTATTTCACACGGCTCGCACAAGGATCCGTTTTTGTCCCGAAATACTTCAACGTCATTAAACCCCGTAACCCATGTTTAGGCAAGTTAAGAGCTTAGCATTAAATGTAATTATGTTTGTAATACCCGCTCGCAATGCCTGATTAAATTACAAATATTTTTTTTATGTGTGTCTTTTAAAAAAATATTTCCGATATGTTTATAATATATATTAGTTTTTATTTATTAGTATTTTATTTGTCTACTGGCTGATATGCAATGTGTAAAACTAGTTTAATTCTGTTACTATTTCACCGGGGTACTGATACCGGCAAACATCTTGAACAAATGTCCTTGCCTGCGCAGAAGCTATTTTTAGGTATCACTGGGAGGGGGGCAGCGGGCGGTGGTGCGCGGCGGCGGGAGAGTCACGTGTCGATCGCGTGATTGGTTAAATCAGTTGACGTTTGTGTCCCGCTCGTATGTGTACGATGCGCAAATTTTCCCCTTCCCTTGTTTAATGCTCAAGAAGTTTGCCGGTATCTGTAGTTTTTGGAAGATTACTATTAATACTCGTGGATACTGCCTACAACGCTAACTTGCTCTATTACTAAGCGAATAAGAAAAGACCTTTAGTTCAAATCAGTGGGAAACACAATTGTTTCTGTATTGAAGATATAGATTCTTACCTACTTATCAAATTAAAATAACAATACTAAACTTACCTGTTCATATTGTGATGTTGTCCGCGCCACCTCTCTCCTCAGTTGTATTATGACCCGCTCCTTCGATTTTATTTCCTCCAGCTGAAAAATTATAAATCTTACTTGATTTATATTTGAATTCCTTACAATGTAGCGTTTTATACTTATGTATAGGCGTCAGATAGCTGTTAAATGTTTTGTCTTTATCATTCCCATGGAATATTTTAATTAATTTCAGCAAAAAAACAATTAAAAATTAACAATTTTTTATTCTTCAAAGAACGAAACATATCTATTTGGTTAAAATACAGTTATAAATTAAACTAAGCACTATAATAAAAAATGAAAAAAAAATTTGCATGTTTGTTACTTTTGTACACTTCTAAACGGCATAATTGTATTTAAATAATAATTACTATTAAGATAAAAGCTCACTACGTCTAAAGACTAGCTGACAGTATGTTATAAAACTGACAGCACTAAATTTACATAAAAAACACATATTTAAACTTAATACTGTAAGAAAAAAATAAAACAAATAATTAAAGTTAAATCAAGCGTAATTATTATTTAATACAACACAAAATTTTAAAATATAGCGCCTGATAGTGATGACGAGCATAATTTTTTTCTTTAAAAGATATTTTTTTTTTTAGATTTTGAATATAATACTTTCACGTTTCCTAGATTCAATTAATTGTTATTTTATCAATAAATAATGACACTGAAAAGATTGAAAATAATATAGCTTCAGCGCAACTTAACAGGTTATCTGAAAATTATCTGCGCCTGATCGTTTATAAATGTAAAATTACAATAATCTGATCAGGCAACATTTAGTACGTTATTTCAATTCAAACCCTTTTCTTATGCCTCATTATTTTTTATTTTAAAATCGAATGTAATTATAAAAACAGCGTGATTTAAGGTCCTTAAACCGGATAAATATGCAGTTTTATATTTCGGGATAGTCGAAATTTTATGGTAGAGCTTATCAGTAACATAAGGGCGAAGTTATATGAAACAGACATTAGCTTGGATCACGTACATGAAATCGTAAGAAAAGCAATCATTATGTAAAAAAGACCAACCAATTTATGGCACTGCGCTCTTGTGTCTCTTCGCGCTGCTTGTTCTAAGGCGTTGTGCTTGGCAACCTGCGCGCGTAACTCAGCGGCGCGGGCGCACTCCGCCGCCTGCGCAACCTGCAACGTGAGATATAAATCGTTAATTCGCATTAATTATTTTTTGGCTTTGAATTAAATTTAACGGACATTATAAAAGTCAGCTGTCAGCAAGCCCAGATCGCTTCGATTGCCTTAAGAAGGTTAAATAAGTATATTATAAAAATGAAATGTTTAAAGTTTTAAAGCATTTCCTAGTATGGCCCGTTAACCAACGCTTGTTGAATTCTTCCAGGTAATTGGGTTTGATTAGAATATACACAATATCAAAATTGTTAGTGAACTGACGCAGAAATGTGTATATCATTGCTCCATTAGGCTTTTAGGACACACAAAACATTAATAATAAAAAAATAAACATTTACCTAAATATAACAATATTTTTAATGAAAGTCAAACGTTAATGATCGCACGTTATATCGAAAACTGTCATCGCCAGAATCATTAAACGCTGCCAATATTTTCTTTGCGCCTTAATTGACATGCTTTTATAACACTGTCATATCTCATCAGATTGCTTACGCCCCCTATTAATTCTAAAGCGACCTTAAACTTCGCAGTTTGCCAGAAAAGCCGTAACTTTCAACACGTATTCAAAATGAAACTCGAAATACGTGTATTATGGCTTCTTCCATGTCTCAGTTTGTGTCTAAAACCAAATAGTGTTCTCTACAAGGAAATTTTTGAGTATCATAACGAAACGTTCTTCAAAGCGGAATATGCATATGAAGTCGTGACGAAAATATTCAACGCATACAAGCAATGGTTCTTTACTATAACGTTCTGCGAATTCACATACTTCGAAAATAGAATTCTGAAGTACATTGAAAACTACGGCGATGGATACCCAGTGATGTTACTCAGCGGTTGCCCAGACACTAACAACACTAAAGTAAAACCAAAAATTAATAAACATGGTCAAACAGCATACGTGGTTACTTCAAATGATTTATCAATAGAGGAAAGTGAATTCGCCATAGAAGCATTTATACGCACGGGAGTATTTCAACCAAGAGCTGCCGTTATATTTGTTATCAAAACACCTGTACAAGTTGATAGCTATTTCTTCTATACGATGAAGAATCACTTCGAACTGTTGTGGAAGAGAAAAGTTACCAACTCTGTCTTGGTTTTGTGGTCAGAAGGCTTAAGAATATATGCCTACAATATCTTTTATAAAGAAATAAAAGATATAACAGATGTTAAATATGTAAATGAAATTTTTGCGCGTCAGTTTGATGATCTTTTTGGACATGAGCTTAGAATAAGTGTGTTTAGAAAAATTTACACGAATAATAATACTGGCGCGATAGATTGTAGTTCAAGATTAGTTCATACGATAGTAGAAACATTTAATGCAACATGCAAACCGTTACCGCCGCGTGATGGAAATACAGTAGGTGATTTATTAGAAAACGGAACCGCCACAGGAGTGACAGCGGATTTAATAGACGGGTATTCAGACCTAGAGCTCAATTCACGAATTCTAAAAACTTCATACTATGGATATATCGATACCACCTATCCATTGGTGCAAGACGAATTATGCTTTCTGATAAAAAAATCTAAGAAGCAGTCCACCTTTACGACAACTTTAAAACTCATTTCAACTGAAATGCTAGTATTGCTTATGTGCAATGTTGTTTTGTTTATAGCAATAACACTAATGGTTCGTAAAGTTGAAATGCAACTTTGGCAATTGAATGATAACAGAACCACATCAGAGACTATATTGGATTTATTCAAGTGTTTTATTAGACAAACTGTGGAACTGGCGTTTTCGGGACAAATATTTAGATGTGTTGTATTAATGATCATGCTATATTCTTTAGTCGTTGACTGCGCTATAGACGTAAGTAAATCATTATCATTGTTATTTTTAGTGTATTATTATAATGGATATTATATATGGTTATAATATTTCAGGGAATCATAACCTCAGCCATTGCCTATCCAAGATATAAACCAGACATAAACACGTTATCAGAATTATTTAAAACCAATCTTACTTTCGGTGTACACACTCGTCACATGGGAATATTCAACAATAGCCTTAGCGATGAATATTATGAAAAAATCCATGAAAGAATTGAAATCGTATCTGATCAAAAAATCAAAGAAATAATTGACCAACGAAAGTTCGAGTATGCACTTTTGTTAAGAAGATCAGAAGCTTTATATTTAAGCAATAAACCTTCAAATCTTGTAAATGGACGGCCAATCTTTCACACAGTCGAAGACTGTCCTGTACCGTGCTCAATAGTGTATGGGTTACGTTATGGAAGCCCATATTTACAAAGATTAAATAATATTTTGAATCATTTTAATCAAGGTGGGATCTTGCAGTATTGGACTAAATCTGATGATGCCTCTCAAAGCCATGGAAATTCTTTATATTCTGGCAATAACCATGAAAGAAAACCATTGAATACAACTAATCTTCGAGAAGTGTTTATAGTAACATTGGTAGGTATTATAACAAGTATTGCTACCTTTATTTGTGAGGTTATTCTCATACAATTTCCTAGATTATTTTCCCGTTTTAAAATATTCAAACTTAAACCAACGTAATTGTAACGTGCTTACCTTGATTTTTTCTTGAAGGCCCTTATTTGTTGCTTTTAAAGACTGAATTTCAGTTGTAAGCCGTTTTAATTCCACGAGTTTATTAGATCCGAATGAGTCTTCTGGTTTTTCTGTTCTATTTAGTGATCTTAATTGTTTTTCTAATAGATCTTCCTTCTTTTTATATTCAGTCTTTAAATTTCTGATAGTGCTTTCGTATTGGGCCTTCAGCGCTCTACCCTCGCTCCGCTCGATGTCGAGCGACTTCTTCATGGTTGCGTTTTCAAACCTTAATCGTTCAACGAGGCTCTTCAATTTATTCAGAAAAGCATCATCGACTGATCGTTTGTGTTCATCAGCTGCCACGGTGGATATTTGGCTGGAGGTCGAACTGTCGGTGGACGCCATTTTTAAACGTCACCGACTCGTATATTCGGGAAATCTCGATCGTCCGCGGTCTTTCGCCTAACTATAGTCAGTTTTTGTGGTTGTTTCTGTGATTGATGAGGTCCTGAAAACGATGAATAAATGAATTAGCGATCTACTTGTCTCCTGGGTTCATTAGTTACACTACTTGTCGCTCTTTTTAGGAAATTCCGGTAGGCACACGTCTTTACCTGCACGTGTTTAATCAGTATCGATTGATATTATTTTGTGTGTAGGTATTAAGAAATATAGTTCCTTGTGTAAAACGAATTACGTTAGTTGATAGTAAACAATGTCGTTGGAAGTTACATAACTTATACAGCCGTCTAATGGATGTGTCCAACATGGGGGTTATTGTGATGACATTAAACATATAGTTGAAAAACTGTGAGACATGACGTTTAGACCTGCGTTAACCTACACAAAGAGTTACCGAGTTCTAGAGAGGAAACATACTTGTAATTCAATAACAAGAGGCACAGTATTCGAGGACGGTGCAATTGTGCTGATTAACAAGCTAAATTGAGCCTGCTGCGAGATCGTACGAGTTATCACACGTATAAAGGTACTGGTAAATAGTAAATAACCTAAAGTTGTTTATGTAAACATCGGGTTAGTGTAGAGCATAATTGTTTCAGAAGTCGTTACACATTCTAGAATATACAATGTTTTTCCCAGAGTTCGAAATCCACATTGTAATAACTGTAAAAATCGGTAATTTATAGGAGAGTTACATTTTTACTGTAATATTCCCTGAGCTTAGCAACGATTTTTATTAAATGAATCATACTTTGTTCTTTCGTAAATATCCTCGCAATGTTGGGCTATAAGGATATCCAAAAATATTCGCGCACTCATGCGCATCATAATATTGCGACAGTACGAGTATGTGACATATGAATATATATAGTTATTATATTATGTCCGGCCGATCTGACTAATTCTATATTGGACGGTGTGCGCGGTCGCTTATCCAGAGAATCCAATTTTATTTATATTACCTACTTGCTGTAAAAACCTAGGTTATTCGTATGACGAATATAATATTTATTTACATAATATATAGCTCCTTGGGTTAGTTGCAATGTTTGAGGTGATAAATAGGCCCCATAGAATATTCATCCTCAACAAATCAAAATGTATAATTATTAATTCCTTTATACTTGCCTATTGCATATTTTTTGTCTTGTTTTTTATTAGAGTTTTAATATAATCAGTTTCTACTTCCACAGAAGTAAAATATCCCTAAAATATGTAGATATTAGTCGTGGGAAGATTCACTTTTTGTATTGTAGTAGGAGGCAAGGGCGTAACCTCGTTTAACTCGATTCTATAGGTACTTAGACATTTGTATTACACTAATTACATCATACAATATTTCACTACTAATATCATATACAAATTTAGATGTAGATGGCACTTATCAAAGCTTTTTTATGTGCATATTTAATACTCGCTCGTATTGTCAAAACATCGCGAGGAAACCGGCATGCCTTGGTGCCAAAAATCTATGGCGTTATATTATATAGATATATATTACAATGACTCACTTCAAAATCCTATACATTTTTCATGTAGGGGATTCGGACTCAGTGTAGTCTCGTTTCTGAATCTTAGGGTTAGATTCAAGGCGCTAAGTGTGACTTCTGTGTCTCAAATCAAGTAGTTTTGCTATGTATGTTAAATACCGACTTCAAATTAGTAATAGTAAGTCGATCCTTACCCTTGAACTGATTTTAATGCTAATTTCGTTTACAGAACATAAGTCGTTTTCATAAAATCGATGAGCTGTAAAAAATTTCTGTGTTGATGATACCGTCTGGACAGAATATATGAATCAGATTTATAATTGTCATTGATACATTACGTTTGGATTAACGACAAAATATATAGTTTACAATGATATTTATAATTTAAAAAAAGTGCGTGCGTAAAAAGTAGATACTCATGTCAGAAGTAAAACTTCTTTGGCAAACTAATTTTTAAGTCTTGTTCATATTTATACAAATATAAAAATTTCAGAGACTTAGAGGGAGGGAAAAAAGGAAGATATGTTAGTAATTTAATGAATTTAATTATCATTAAAATATTAAAAGTGTCTAAAATTAACACAAATAATAAAAAATATATTTTAATTTATTTCTTCGATAATAAAACCGGCGGCATTTTTATTTACAATTCGTCATTTGAGATTTCAATAAATTATTTTGATAAAATATAAAATACTAATACATATTTTATAAATTCTCTTCACGAAATTTTAATTTTAAAAATAGAATTTCTATAAGGTAATTTCCTTCTCACTCTCTTTCAATCGGCCTTAATCGCTCTCTCCCTTTTCTGTGACAAAAACGCTGCACATATTCGTGACGTATCCGTAAAATTTTTCCCCTTATGCACCTAAGAAGTTTCGCTTCAAAAATATGTTTATGTCAGTTAATTTTTCAAAAATTAATAAATGTATTACTATAGTAAAGTTATATACGTAAATAGCTAAGTATAGTTAAATTATTCCATCGATTCTCAATCGGCACCCCACTAATAACGCTAAGCAACCGACGACACAAACATAAACTAACTAAAATAGTTGCGGGCTACTGAACCCTTTCAATTTTCATAAGGTTTAATGTGCGAGAGGCTAAACTAATGCCACATTTTCTAAAGCAAGCTTTAGTTATTCACGGTATAATTCTATTACCTACAATTATTATAATATATTGACGTTCGATAGCACGTGACTCTATACTTTATAGATTTAAGAAAAATTGACAATTTGTATTTGAATATGTTTATGTTGACACCCATGACCATATCTGTATCATTTGTATGCTCTGTATTAAAGATCTTTACTTACTCTATTTAATAACAAATAAAAAAGGTCCTATGCGTAATGTTTAAATACGTATTAATATTTTCTTTACTGGAAGATAATATTCATAATTCACCTAAAATCTAAAATACCTGACCTTCGTAAAGTCTCGATTCAGCTTAATGCTCGTATTTCATGGCGACGCGCCAACTTCCCGACATACGTCACTTTTCATAGGAAATTGTAATGTAATTGTGTAATATCTATATACAAATTAGAAGCATGTAACCGGAAATCTTATTAATTACTCTATCAATCTAAAATTTTAAGTTTTTGAGTATAATTCACTTTTTATTTAAATACAAGGCAGGGTGGCCTAGTTGTGTTGTGATGTCGTTTTTTGTTAATGCATTCATTATTCTATGAATTAGGCTACACTTGAATATTCAGTATAAGTAAAAATAATTAGCAATACTGGATTTCATAGCTAGACAAACATTCAGAGCAGGGACCTATCGCTTTATCGCCGGTGTTTGTAAGCCTATAAAGCCACCCTTAAATAGAAAATTTACTAATAAGATTTACGAAACAAATAGAAGGAAAGTCATTCTGTAAGTATTATTCATAATTCAGTAGGTACTCGATAAAATAAGGATGTATAACCTCCAATATTGACAGTACCTACATTTGAAAACACACATCATTAACTTCATTAATAATTCTCTTTTGTTATGTTTACAAGGTTTATTATTTTTGTAGTATAGAAAATATTTTAGTTTCATGGAACAGTTGGAAAAAAAAATATTTTGACGCATTGTATACAGCCAAGGGGAGGCGCTGGCTAGTTTAATGTAATAATTAGGAAACACATGATAGGTAGGCTAGTGTCCTATTTGGCATATTAACAATATCGATTACCTTACAAAGAAGAATCCTTTAACATCCTGAACACTGTTTCCACTAAGGTTACACACAATTTATTGTCGTCACCCAAAAAAAAATCTAAGAGGTGAAAATCCTTCGTTGCTATTATTATTTATTTTTATGGATAACGACAGGCGGACCGCGCGGAGTGGACGCCAAGACTGAAAATGACTGTGGGCGGCACGGCACCCGCCCAGCGATCGCGTCACACAATAACGAAATATTTAGGCCATCTAATTTGTTAATAAGATAAAATCTGCCCAACTGTGTATATGTAATGCATACTATGTATTTTCTTTATAGAATAAAGAAAATAATCTCTACAAGAATAAAGTGTGTCCTAGAAAAGTAATGGCCTATATAAGTTGCTAATTTACTTTAAATTTAGATAACGTATATTTATATTTGAAAATTAATAAATCAATTAAACAATGAATATTAGTTTAATGATTTAATCGTAGAGACATAACAAACTTCGTCCGCTAACATGGATAATTTTAATTAAGTCATTATCATTAAGCACTTGGTTATGACAATTTTTTTTTCTCTTTATGGCTCTGGCACGGTTTGTGCATTAGCCAGCGTCAATTATAAGATTTTTATAATTCGCTGTTCTAATTATTTAGCTTATGAATAATAAAAAACGAAGGAAACTAATCGCAACATTACATAAATGATTGAAAACGCATTAAATTTACAAATATATCAGAATAATTACATTAAAGGGGAAAAATAAATCAAAATTATAGTTTAATGTTATTATTTACAATAAACATACTTATATGTAATACTATATACATGACAATTATTACTATGCAACGTTATCAATCCATAAAATATACCAGATGTCGGCATGACACTTTTATCAAAAACATACAGATCTTGTAAACAATTTCAAAGTCTGTATAATTGTACATACACTAGATGTTACCGTGTAAAATTGCATTTAAAAGTTGCAAGTTAAAAATATCTTACCTAGTTCCATGATTTCGTCTTTTACGCTTGACTTGCAGCCGCATATGAAAAAGAGCCGATGAGTAAATCCCGAAGTGATTGACCTGAAAATAACACACGCTCCAACAATTGTTTACGATAGAAATGTTCACGCCTTCACTGTTCTTATTTTGGAAGTTTTAACACACCAATAGTTAGAACATAAATTAAATGTGCTTTTGTAAACAATATATTTGTAGAGACATGCAAGTGGACTTCGTTTTTATATAAGGTTTTTGGTTATTTGTTTTATAAGATAATTGAAAAGTAGTAGTTTTTACTGGATAAAATTGCTAATTTCCTAAGATATTTGAAAATTTATAAGTCAGTTTATACGTAGGTAGGCAAAACTAATATAATTAGGGGGTTTTCGAAGTACCATGAAAAATGCTGCCATTAAGTCGCTCTGTGCTCTAGGTAAACCCTGAAGGCTCGGTTTTCGCGTACGAGAAGCCTTCCCGGTTGGCGAGGCCAAACCCTGATATACTTTCGCCGGACACCGGCTAAGGAAAATAAGAAATGATTCTCAGACGCAAAACTATATCCAACGGGTAGTGAGGTTCCAGAACTTTAAGTGAAGGTTCTGGAACCTCACTACTCATTGTAGGTATAGGTACCTGTATCCTGTCTAAAGACGCAAAAGCTGTCAATGGTAACGGCGCCACCGATGGTATTGGTTATCAAAAGGTAAAATATCATGGATTAGAAAATTATTTTATATTAATTGTTCTAAAATAACTATGTAAAAGATATTAATTATAATGTGTGTATTGAACGTGTTTGTATGATTTTGTGACTTTCATTCAGAACCATTCAATATACATATGTATATTGTATCAAAACTTGAACAAACATTGCGTGTAGAATTTGTAAAATAAAAAAAAAAACTTTTAAATAAGTTTATTCCTAACAAATATATTACTGTTAAATCAATAATATTTTTATAAACTACACATATCATGTCTTTATTTCTTTATTAGCAAACAATCGTATACAAGTTAAACTATCCAGCCTTAAGTGTTAAAACATATATAATGATTACGCAGCGATATCTGTATTACGGAAATTACTATTTATTTTTAAAAAAGTTTACGTTTATATGTGGTTATAAATTATAATATTAATAAAGATGAATCATTCAAAACATGAAATTCCTCAGGAAGTTCTTTTCAAGTATTGCCAACATAAATTAAATCAAATAATTGCCATTTAACAGAAGCGTTCCATTATACACTTTAATTGTTAGTTTTGATTGAAAAGAAAATAAACATTAAACATTGTTTTTTTTAAACATTTATATTATTTGTTTCAATATTAATTTATTACAATAAAAAAAATATCAGTAGCTTCAAGTAAAAACAACACCAAAATGTAAAATTATAGAGTACTTCACAAACCGTAAGTGTAGCGTCAAATGCGTCAAACGAATCCGATAATTTCAATATTATGACTTTGACATTTTAAATTGATAAATTCCATCTGCCCGAATGTTCAGCTATAATTTTGTCCGTCCGAGATTACTGATTAGCCACTCCTATCTTGGCAATACTTAATTAGTTTTAATTTATGACCATTTAAGCAAGAAATGTAGTTTTGTGTGGTTTAATGTGATTATGGTTGTTGTGTTTTTATTGTTACGGATCCAAAAGAATAAATAATGACGGGACGCTCGGGCCGAGGTGTTTTTGGGAAGCTGTTCTCAAAGAAACAACTTAATAAGGATGAAAGGGTTCAAGAAATCGGCATGCCGACCAATGTGAAACAACACATACACGTTAGTATGAATTCTGAAACCGGAATGTTAGAGGGTTTACCTGCATCATGGCTGAGACAGCTGAATGCACAGATCTCGCCAGCAGAACAAAGCGAAAACCCGAATGCGGCTATACAAGCTGTTGCTTTTCACAACTTCCATGTCCTAAAAAAAGAACAAGCCGAAAAAGAACCATGCAAACCTATCATAACAGAAGAAGCTATCACAAAAGAAGGAATAGAAATAAAGAAGTTTATAGCCAAAAAAAATGCTCACCAAAGTCAAGATTCAGATATTTCAATAGGCCAAAGTAGTGAAGAGGATGTTGGAAGTAGTACAGACACATTATCACAGAGACAAACCATGCCTGCAGCTCCTACCAAGAATAGTATAAAGAAAAAGGATGCTGTGATGGATTTAACAGCGGTGGTCCAAGACCTTACTCTTATAGGTACAGAACCTGAAGAGAGTCCAATTCTTAGGAAAAAAGAATTAATAAATGCAGCAATGAGTGATGAGGAAATTTATGAGGAACTAAGAAGGATTTGTAATAAGGATGATCCATATGTAAGATTTGAAAGAGTCAAACAACTTGGTGCTGGAGCTTCAGGTAAATATTTGATAAAATGTTTCATGTTATAGATTATATAACAATGTTTTATTAATTCTTATAAATAATTTTCTTAAAATTACAACCTTATTAATATAATATTTTCTATGATTCAGAATTTTCATTTAAATTTAATAATATTTTATATTTGCTATATATTTTCTTATATTTAAATGTAGCTTCAGTAATAAAATATATAGTTATTTATACAATGTAAATAACATGAACACAAAAAATTCTAATATCCTGTCTTTGTTAAGATCATAATTCACAAAACCTTGACTAAAGATTTGTTCGCATAATTTTAACTTTATGATGTGGATTTTATAATGTTCACAAAATTAGTTTTTTAAAAACTAATTATGTAATCTTAATAACTCCACTCTCTTAAGGAAGTTAAACATATTAAAGACCTTAATCAAGGTGAGTGAGGCAACAGTTTTGCATATGCCACAAAAAATGCATACTAAATGTTTCAAATTGTTCTGTCAAGTTGGAACATAATATCTATTATCTTATCATACATGACCTTGATTGTGATTAAACATTGTATTGGCTTTTCGTACATATGTACATCCATATGGATGAAGTGCTCTTTTACTGATCTTTACAGTACTGTCTTTTCAGTTTATACAAAAGTTATCAACAGTACAAATTAAGGCTGCATTGTATATGGAAAAAATGCTTATGGTTTTTCATAATATTGTTTTCATGGTCATTATAAACAAGCGCTTACAAGTCTTAAACTATGTTTAATGTGTTGTAATTAAGATAAAAATCTAATTCATCTTGGTAACAAATTAACACAAGCTTAGTGTAGGTTCAATAAAATTAATAACAACATAACATTTATTGTAAAATTAACATTTATTTAAAATATTGTAACTCTTATTTTACAGAATAAAGTTCTCAGCCTCTTTATTAGCCTGATACCCTATGATATACCCATACCCTGATATGATAGAGATGCCATAAGTTTGGCTTCTCAAAATTTCTAATTAAAAAGTCCTAAATCCAAAAAAGATGTATTTCTTTTTCTACACCATACATTTCAGTTATAAATGGATTATAGAGTATAATTATTGGTGTTTTTGAAATCACACAACTAAAAATTCTTATTATTTTAAACGGTTTAAGTTATTTTAGGGATTTCATTTACATTTTATGTCAAAAGGTTCAATTGAGTTTTACAATCTCTTAATTTGTTTTGACTTTGAGGTGATTATTAAAATAGTAGTTCATATTTACTATTTAAAATCAACCTATACCTATATTAACCCTAAAAAGCATGTCATATGACATCAAGAAGCCTTCATAGGCATATTATAAAAACCTACTAATTAAAAAAAAACATTTCCAGGTGTGGTGTTTGTTGCTATAGACAGCAAAGATAATTCAAGAGTGGCCATCAAAGATATTGATCTAACTAAACAAACTAAAAAGGATCTTATTCTTAATGAAATCAATGTTCTAAAGGGCTTCAATCACAAAAATTTAGTGAACTTCCTTGATTCTTTTTTAAGTTATGACCACTTATGGGTTGCTATGGAACTATTAGATGGAGGCTCGTTAACAGATGTAGTCACAGAAGTGGTAATGAAAGAAGGCCAAATAGCTGCAGTTTGCCGTGAAACCCTCCAAGCTATTGCATTCCTGCATTCAAAAGGCACTATTCACAGAGACATTAAATCTGACAATGTTCTTTTGGGTATGGATGGCACTGTCAAAGTAACTGATTTTGGATTTTGTGCCAACATAGTCGGAGACGAGAAAAGACAGACAATGGTTGGAACTCCCTATTGGATGGCACCAGAGGTTGTCAAAAGAAAGCAATATGGAAAGAAAGTGGATGTGTGGTCCCTGGGAATAATGGCAATTGAGATGATTGAAGGTGAACCTCCATACATGAAGGAAACTCCATTGAGAGCTCTATACTTTATAGCTGCTGTTGGCAGACCAAAGATACCCAGGTGGGATAAACTTTCACCTGCCTTCCAAGACTTCTTGGATAAATGTTTGCAAGTGGATGCTGATGACAGAGCAACAGCGGAAGAACTGTTAGAGCATCCATTCCTTGATTGTGCCATGGAATTACGAACGTTGACGCCACTCATAAAAGCCGCGCAAAGGATCCTTCACAAGAATTACGACTGAATATTTCAGACTGGTAAACTAATTTTATACTGATTATACTATGCAATAAATTTATATGCCATTTTTGATGTTCTTACGGAGAGTAGTCGTTTCATATTTATAAATATTAGAATTTGCGTGATGGAGATGAAACATTTCGTCCAAATTTTCAGTGCCAAGAAAAATAGATTGAATATTTTTCTGAGTCATTAGAATGTATTGGTTAAGTAAGGCTACAAAAGTACTAAAAATAATGCTACGTGACTGGAGACGTAACGACGAGATAAGGATAAAACTGTCAGGCATTGTATTTTAGTTATGTCCACAAAGCACCACTAGGTATTTGACCATAGATATGTTTAAAATATTGATACATAATCATGTTCAAAAGTCAATGTAACAAACATCGTTTAGTTAAGGTATGTAAGTGCTTCATGTTAAATATGTGCCGAGTTTGTCTTATCTTTGCTTTAGTAGATTTATCGTATCCAAAAATAATGATAACAAACCATTTAATTTCCTAGATTAAGATAATAATTATGTAATGTTAAGGGTTTTTTCACAAATAGGTACATATAGAATTATGCTTTTAGTTACTTAAAGATTATCGTCCAGGATTTAAACGATTTAATTACTGGCTGTTTCGTAAACCCTCTTGTTAAATTGAACTATTATTTTGTATTTTCTTATGAAAAGTACATTATTGATTCAAGGAAAATACTCAGGAGCGTTAAAAACTTTCTTGACATTCTTATTTTTCTATTGCATTTAAATGAGATATAAAAAAATCTAGAGTTATCTGCCTAATGAATTCTCGGTATTACTTAATTTGTTTACGTTTTTGTGATAATAATATTACAACATGCATCACACAATCACACAGAATAGCGTGTTGTACTCGAAACTATTCTTAACCAATTCGTTCCTTTTAACAGGATAATTGGTGTTCTATTGTATTTTATGTGTGACGTCATCACTCACGGAATTGATTTCACCAATATTCAGATATCCTTACACGTTCGTACGTAGTGTTGAATTTCAAACAAGTGTTTTAGGATGCTTGAGTGTAAATTTTTATATCGACTCTACTATATGAATAAAAGAAAACGGTATTAAATGAAAAAAAAGGTAAATTATTTTCATATTCCATGCATTTTTCATACATTCCTGACAATCTGACTATATTTTTATTGACTTTTATTCTATTTCTAAGCTTTATACTATATACTCTTATCAATAACGCAATATTTTTTGTAACTACACTACTACTATAAATGCCGAAGATTCACATTTTTAAAATCTTTTATTTTAGCCATATTCTCCATGCGTATGCATTTCATTTTTGTGATTCAATAGATTAATACGGTATTTGTTTAGTCCTGTGAATTGAAATATCTTCTAATTGGTAGGACAAATAATTTTGCAGGACTAAAGATCTAGTTTTTCTTCCACAGTATTGTTTTTGTATTTTTTGTATGAAGCAATATTATTATCGTGGCCATTTTACTATTTAAGATGAAACTGAATCGTCATACCAAGATGTTTAACATTAAGATGTAGAGGATAGTCATCAGGCATAAATAATGAGAAATATTTTTTGTATTATTGTTGTATTAAATTCAAATTATAGTTTTTCGTATTTTGTTATTCAGAAATTCGTCAGTCAAGCTTTCTAGATTTAAGGTTATGTGGTATAATGGTTATTGTGAAGTCATGTAGGACCAAGAGTGCCTGCTTCTTCATAGAGAGACGGAGATGAAAAATTATATTTTAAAAATTATGGATTTCAGTAGTTTTAATTTAGATTTTATTGAACACCGAATTAAACAAAAACTGTTCTATGTGGACAATATGAATTGGTATATGTAAGAATAATTTAAGTCGTATAAATCTCAGCAAAGAAGTTGGCCAGTCATAAATCGATTTTAGGTTTTTCACTAAAGGTATATGATAACATTCCCCCACCACACAAAACCCGGCCACGTTACCTGCTGATACTTATACAGACTACCTTCAAGACGGTATTATTGGATAAAAAAATGCTCAAATTATTAAAAAATTAACTGTAATTATTCATCTCGGTCTGTATTATTTTAGCATTTGCTGTCGCACAACGAATTGCATTATTGTATTAAAAGCTATACTGCATAGTTGTAAGGATAACATATACACCAATGACACTTTTTGAACATTTTATTAATAGTTGCCTATTAAATTATTTTTATAAACACATGTTTTCTTTCACTATTGTACAACTCCTGTATCCTTGTTTTTAGAAATTAATTCCAATACTTTATACTTCTGATTCAAGTTCTATAGCGAGATATTTATAGCTTTAGGTCACTTAATGATGAAATCAAAATTGCGAGTCAAGTTTTTTATTTCTTACTAAGTACGTTTAAAATGTGTAACTTCTTACTAAAATGGCTCAAATTAGAATAGGGACATTTGTATATATAGAACAAAAGTAAGTTTCGTTTCTGTTAAACTTCGCCGGATGCAACTGAAAGAAAAAAAATTATTACTTTGATTAAAAAAAATTAATAACATGATAATTGAGATCAAATCACTCTCACTGTTTTAATACTAACTACGTTGTAGTTTAATAGAAAATCGCTATATGTTATTCGTATAATTATGGGAATTTTATTCAATCACTTGGCAGAATTTTTCTACAATCCAAATAATTTTCTGCACTTAATTTATAATATTTCGACGCACATTTAGTCTCATCAATTGCGTTCGAACTTTGGCTGGAAACCACATATTGATAGATATCGTGAAAAAAGCTTCACGTCTGAGTAAAGCATGCCCCCTGTATATCAAACGCATAGGATTTGTGGGAGTCTTATTTGGCGCGAAGATTCGACTTTGAATCTGAGGGTCAGCCCAATAATCGATTTAGAAAGCTTATCCCTACTAAATAAAAAAATAAACATCCAAACTTCTGAAGCCATGAAACATACTGGATATTAGCGCCACTTTATGTAAGTATAATCAAGTCTAGTTTGATGTATACATACTGTCAATTGGAACTCCACTGTCCTCTGTAAATCCTTCAACACACTCGGGACAAATGGTTGTGTCGCATGGATTCGGTGTAGATGTTGGGAAAGCAGGCGTCAGCTCCACTGGTGGTGGCTTCAAAATATTATATAGCACAGTTAAATAGATTTTAGTAATAGTATTTACAAAAAAATATTTATTTTTTTATAAAAGTGTTGAATAACTATAGATTTTGGTTAACGTGAATATGCTTGACAGGGAAATATGTAGGTTACCAGGAAATTATTGGCTTTTCGTAATTAATTTCCATATGTATTTTTATGACTAATAGCTTTGGTCCTTGGTCATTAAATGACTACAAATATATGTGACCTAGATTAGAATTTTAGTATTATAAGTATATGTAGTTATTTTTAATTAGAATTTTTTCCTTAGACCTATACCAGCTGTATTAGTAGGAAATGTTATTGTAGGAAAAATTATATCTTGGTACGTACCTCAAGCCTATATAAGTATGATAAACGGCATGGATCCCAAGTTGTACACAGGGTGGCATTGTGCATCATATCTTTACGTGGCTCGTCGCCAAAGTAATCGAAGGTAATAACAACATTATTATCAATCGCACATATATTTAAAAATTCGTCGACTGACACCTGGATATTGCGAGAATAAATTGAAATAGATTTTCGTCCGTAGATAAGATCATTTGAGTACAATATCCTAACACCAGCCAATGATGAACTGATTAATAAAATCGTTAATTGATTTACAGAGTAAGGGGCAGGAAGTATTGATGCAAAGTTTTTTCATTGGCGGACATTAGAAGAGTAAAGAGAAGAGTCTTAATAACATGTATTCATACGTTAATTTGTATTTTATTGTAGTAATCACCGGAAAATAGAGTGATTGTTTAAATTTTTATTTTGTGTGTACTGTATAATGCCACCACTGAAAATCAGTGTTGCTGCACTGCAAAATGTTTTTTTTTTTTCTATTATTTCCTTTCTAATTACAATAAATTAAGTTTTTTTAACTTGTGCCCAAGGTAAATTTTTCTAGTGCTATATCTTCTTTGATTGTTCTTCGTGTTTTCGTAACTAACGTATAAGTTTCCAAACGTGCGCGTAACTATGACTTAAGTATACTGACTTTTGTTTTATTTCCACAATCTATTGTGCCGTTTTGGAAATAATTATTTTCCCTTTCCCCATTTCCAAGACAAAACATCCAACCTTCGTGAAAGGAATACTCTATGGGCGCAACCTCTGCTTCTATGCATGGATCGACTGATACGGGAATTGATTGTTTAGAATAAGTACATTTTCTTTCATGCATATTCGCCTGGACTCGATAAGCATCCAAATCAGGTTCAGATCCTTCTGGGCATTTGTAGTAATTACCTGTAATATTGAGGTTGATTAAACAGGAGCTAAGGCTTAGAGGAAAGGTACGTAAATAAATTTTTAGCAAGGCCCCAAATAAGAAGAATATGGAAGATAAGTTTATAATTCACTGTACGCACTCAGACAAAAATTAATTTGAGGAAACCACCATTTGATACTTTTTGATTTTAAAAAAGAACTTACCATTCTGTATGATATAAGTGGTTTTTTTAGAAGCACTAATAACAGTACGAACTGTGAGTCCATTCCCGCCACTCTTGATATTCTCCATAAGCACTTCTTGTGCAGCTCTTTGCTCCCGAGACCACTTCGCTGCCTCTTCAGCAAGGATTTGACGGCTTACTTTACCTTCAGATTGCAATGACTGAAATCATAAATATTATTGCGACAATCAAATTACTAAATATACTTGTGGTTTATTAATTTAATGCATTTAAACATTGTGTTTGACTGCCATTGGAGAATGATTGATAATGTAATTTCACTATTGGAGAAACGGACCTCGGATATCTACTATACGATATAGCAATGTTTTTTTTTATTTTTTATTTACATAATACAGTAACATATTTTACTCAGGCAATTTATAAGAAAAGATTATATAGGAAAAGTAACGAAATATTAATTAGTTTTTATAATTGTTAAAACTTTATCTTCTATTGATAATAAACAATTACTTGAGGAGGATTTTCCATAATAACGTGTGGTCTGCCGAGTGTATGTTGCCAAATCAATTGAGCAGCAACTTTATGTTTCGTACTGTGATGAAGAGGCTGAATCTGGAGTATGCCGTACCACGCTAGCTCTCGGTAGACGCTATCAGGAAGGTAGCCTGTCTAAAGTAAGTTTTATTATGATAAGTTGTATCTAATATCTTTGAAGAGACGACGGCGTTTTACATTGCCAATACATTGATTTATATTGTTACATTCTTAAAATTGTTCCAATTTAGTTGTTCACGCTTAATAACTGAGCATCCATTTTTAATACGTTTAAAACTCAAAAAATATATCTTCGTTATCTTCAACGAGTTAAGGGACTATTAACCATAACCTCTATCGAAGTAAGTCTCTCTAAACTCTTTCTAAATCATCGTAGCTGTCTCTTTTATTTTATTTTATAATCTTAGCTTATCATTAGGCATTGGTCACACGTATGTAAAAAATTGTTTACTTACTGGCATAAAGTCCATATGCCACTGAAAAAATAAAATCATAAGTTAAATAAATTCTAATTAAAAAAATTTTACGTATGTTAACAAAAATATTAAACCTCTTCTTCAGGTTGATCGGTTGGCATCAAATCTGAAAATAAATTACAAAAATCGTAAATAGTAGATTATCATTTTATTTTAATTAAATGGAATTAGTTTAGTATTGTCTTTGATTAACATAACTTTTATTCATTTAATAAAACACTATTTTGACCGGATTGAAGTTATGTATTATTATAAATTTACAACTATTTAACATAATTTTAAATTTATCCGACGTTTCGCGTGCTTTACAGCGTGCGTGCGTGCGTCACCGTGACCACGCACGCTGTAAAGCACGCGAAACGTCGGATAAATTTAAAATTATGTTAAATAGTTGTAAATTTATAATAATACATAACTTCAATCCGGTCAAAATAGTGGAATTAGTTTGGTAAGATGAGTTCTTATTGCTTCACTTATGAAACCTGGATTCAAATCCGAATAAATAATACGTTACAATTTGCTTGAGCAGATAATGTACACATAATTACTGATTTAAATTGATGATAAAAGTTCGGTGGAGGCGGATCAAGAAGCGTTTCTAACAATATACATATAAATAAACATACCTTCATAATCTTGCGTATTTACGATGGTAGCCTAAAACAGTAGATCCAAATACATATTTGTACTTTTCAAAAATAAACTTATTATATGTAGCAAATTAAACTAAAACCAACCATTAAATAAATTGCATAATACCCAACTTTTACTGTTTTTTTTGCCATTTTTAATACCGTTGTATTTCAAACAGCTAGTAGTTTCGCAATACGCAAACAAGTTATTATTTTTATCTTATCGTTTGCTTGTTATAGTTTTTCAACTAACCAATTAATCATTTTATTTATAAATATCGTCATGCGGTGATGATTATGTATTTCTATTGTGAATAAAACGTCTTAAATCTAATCATGGGCAACGGAGACATTGCGTAGTACCGGTAGTCTTGTATGTCTTATCGTTTATTTGAAACATTGATTGATATTTTTTAAGCAATTCAAGATTAAAGGAATTCTTAAAATCTAATAATTCGTATAAATCTAGCCGAACGAAGTATAAAAATAATTTTCACATGTAAAATGTAGTTTTATCATTATATTAGATTTTAAAAATTGTTGTATCTTGACACGGGGCAGCCACAATCACACACTAGAAGGACAGCCGTTAGCTCCTAATGGCTGTATACAGTGTTCTTTCCACATAACACCCACAGACAGGACGAGTTTAACTTCTTTCTTTTTTCTGGCTTTCTAGGAGCAGCGCTTTCTATTCTGTCTTAATAAATTTCATTGTTTTTTTGCAAAATTCCCTTAACAATAATATAAGTTCTACTATTCAAGAACCGACGCCTGAATTGTATGGTGTAATAAACACTTATATTATCTATATTAATATAATATACATATAATAAACACTTAACTACCATATTAAACACATGTACAGAAATATGAGGTTAGTAATGAGTAGCGAGAAAGTGGTAAGTATTTGAAATATTAATATTAAATATTTAATTATATATCTATCAAAATTATATTTTTACAACCGTACTCTCTGATGCACTATACTTGATGTAGTTAAGCTTGTGTGTCGGTAAGTACCACTTCTACTTCTTGTACCGGAAGCATAAGTAACTACGTAAAACCAAATAGTTTTCGAATAGTAGTAAGGGTAGATTTTTGTATGAAATGGTTAAGTGCCACGTGAATGTAGTGTAGTGTGAGGTAGCAAAATCAGTTTTAAAATGTTTCATATAATCGTGAGTTCGTGATTTGATGATGATTTCGGATGATGCATTTTCTGAGTTAAAAGAAATAGAAGCCGCAAAGCGGTTTAAGGTTGATGACTACCTTGTTGCTCCAATTATCCAGAAAGCTGGAGATCTATTCACGTACCTAGCTACGGGAGCCCATAGGCTAGAAGCTTCGAGAGAAGCGCTTTATACCACAGCCGACCGAAAGCTTTCACTATATCGCTACCGCTAGCGGATAGTTTGGATGAGGGTGAGGAGGGGGAGGCCCTTACATTCAATTGCCTCTGCCTATCTATGTGTAAGATTGGATTGGTATTTGGATGTACTTCTGACTGTACTAATAAGAACTACATCCAAATAATCCAATGATTCCAACACCATTCCAAAACTAAGTGCTCAAGGGAATAGTTAATGCTCCCTGGTACATTCGCAATTACGAACTCCATAGGGAATCGTTAATGTAGAGAACGTCGCCGGAATAATGAAATATTGCTGGAGGCCACGAACAAAGGCTCCACCATTACGTGAAGGTCGGGGCTATTCGACTTCTTGACACCACGGGCCTAGTGAGAAGATTAAAAAGGACAAAACCATTCGAATTAGCGAATTAGAGTTAGTGCATGTGAGTCTTGAGTGCTAAACAGTGGTAATTGAAAAAATAGTACACAAGAATAGTCTTCCCCTTAATAGAGACTGTAAGTAGTGATATTGGACACTTATGTTAAATATCTTTATATATATGATTAGTTAATAGGCTTAGAATTAAATCACCTATTAGTCTTAAGTTAGGCTAGATCTTAATTTTCAATGCTGTAAAGAGACAATTTATTTTAAAAAAAGATCGTGATTTACCTGACGCTTGGTCACGTGACCATTTTTAAAATCGTTTAGCGTTAGTGGGTCACGCCTGTCGCAAAGCTTGTTTGTCTGGAGACAGGAGAAGGCTTCTACAACGACATGCCCTCGAGAACGATTGGCGAGGGATTAAAAATACTAGTCTGTGTTGTGTTTTCTCCAATCTGCAGTCTGCAGTCTGCAGAATCGAATCAGTCATTGATCGTGGCTCGTGCTAATATAATTGTTTATATTTACAATTAACATTAAATTGGTTTTCGTAATAAAAACCACTACTCATAACAGAAATAAAATATGAATACACTTGACAAACAATTGGCTGATTTACGAATATATGCAAATGAGCTAGATGCAAAGTTACAGGATGATATTAATACAACGAAAAGAAAACCGTCTATTCCACCCAAAAAATCTAAACCTCCACTGCCGCAAATACCTCAAAGTTATTCTGTAAAGTCTGCGTGTGAGCCGTCCTATTCATCACGACTGGAATCTGGAAGCCGTACCAGTTCTACATACTCAAATCTGGTACCAGTCAAGAGTTGTATTGTGAGAAATTCAGCTAGAGGCAGAAGTGGAGACGTGCTACTATACAGTAACTTAGTGCCTCCTGGCGGCGTGAGTCATGTTTATACTAATGTGCCAATACAACGAAATGCCGAAAACTTTTACGATAGAGATGCAAGATCAGAAGTGTCCAGAATCAGTGATGTGGGAATCCAGTCAAATTATAGCGAGTTACGACGCCCTGGATCCGCTTATCCACCATCATCTGCATCAGTAAACGCACAAGATTTTTCTACTTACGGTGGATCACAGACTTCATCTACATATGAATCATTGTATGAGCCTATTAATCCTCGACCCTGCAGCCAACTATCAGGCACATCACTGTATGGAGGTTATGTTGGTACTACAATAGAATCCACCCCAGAACCAGATGAAGCCTTGTATTGTGGCAACTGTTATTGTTGTGGTGAAAAAATTATGGGAGAGACAACTGGGTGTACTGCTATGGAAAGAATATATCACATTAAATGCTTTTGTTGCCAGCAGTGTGGAATCAATCTACAGGTTTGTTAATTTTCTATTTATTATTATATTCATTTTAAAAGGAATATACTATCAATTTAATTATATGGAACCAACATACAATTAAATTGATAGTGTATATGGACCATATAAATGGACATGATTAAATTGGTACAATTAATAAAGTTGTGTCTTTATTTTAGGGAAGACCCTTTTATGCTGTACAAGGAAAAGCTCTCTGTGAAAGAGATTATCTGGAGACCCTAGAGAAATGCTGTGTTTGTGGTGATCCTATTTTGGATCGCATTCTAAGAGCTACTGGCAAGCCATACCATCCTCGCTGCTTCACTTGTGTTGTATGCCAAAAGAGCTTAGATGGCATACCATTTACTGTGGATGCAGTTAATAGAATTCATTGCATTGAAGACTTCCATAAAAGGTATATATTGTGTCTAGATTCGAAGGAACTACTAAACTTGCAACCTTAGTTTATTTATTGATCATGAGTGGTAAAACATTCTACATGCATTTTGTCTTGAGACTTCTATAGTATTAGTCACAAAAAAAGGGACAGTATATATGTGTAACAGACACATATTGGCCCCATGACCTATAAAATTTTAACAAATACAAAGACAAAGAAAAAAAAGGAGTAACTCTAATTATTACACACCACACTACACTACTTTTTATAATTAATTGATCTAAATGTACCACTTTCTTTGCAAATAAACAATTTATTTATATATTTACAATACAATCTTTAAGGCTTTCTTTCTTCTTTTTCGGTCTTAATGATAATGTACACAATTTTGAAGTTAAATTATAATATTCCATCAGATATGCACCACGCTGTGCGCGCTGTCGGGAGCCCATTGTTCCAGAAGGTGGAGCAGAAGAAACAGTACGAATTGTTGCTTTGGACAAGAGTTTTCATATTGCATGCTACTCCTGTGAAGATTGTGGGTCATCACTTTGCTCAAGGGAAGAAGGTCGTGGCTGCTATCCCCTAGATGATCACCTATATTGTAAGGAATGTAATGCTAGACGCATACAAGATCTTTCAAGAAATATTAACTAGACTGAATTTGTATTAAGATTTTGTTATTGAATTTTTTGTGACCATTTTACAAATACCAGTAAGAACTGGCCAAAGATCAAATCCTCAAAACAGCCATATCAGGGTTTGAGGATTTTAAAATACTTGTTGAATGAAGTCAACATTTTTAATTTAACCAATGTGATAAAGATTTATCAGTTTTTGAGGTGTATACTTTATGTAATTCTCTGGTTTTCATTGTTTAAACATACAACTCTTATTGCATAATAGTTTAAACAATTTACATTATAAATTAAAAAAAATTATGAATCAACTGTTAAATGTTCAGTTCAGTTGTTCTTTATATCATTGGCATAAAAACATTTATTGTATGTAGTTTAATAGTGATTTAAATACATGTCATGACATGATTTCACCATCATTGTTAAAGCATTTCTAGTGTTAATGAATCATTCCATGTAGTAAGTAATATAAATGTATTTAAGGCTGTGTAAGAAAAGCACCATTTTTCAGTATTATTTGCAAATGATGTTGTGTGATTAAGTATTAGGTAATTTTATATATTCCAAGTATTCATAAGTAATAATAATTATTAATATTGTAAATAAGACAAAGTGAAATCTTTAGCAAGCCAAAATAGGCCAGGCTCTTTGGCACCGCCTATATAATATGCAACTTTTATGTGCGCTCTTCATTACTGCAATATTAATACTAAATGTTGTAAAATTACTTTAACTATACATATTCCCCCTATATTTAAATGTGCCATGTTTTAATTTTAATAATTAGGTTGTGTAAACTTTTTTAAGAATTTTATTGAAATGTACTTTTAATAAAACACTATTTTGACCGGATTGAAGTTATGTATTATTATAAATCTACAACTATTTAACATAATTTTAAATTTATCCGACGTTTCGCGTGCTTTACAGCGTGCGTGGTCACGCACGAAAAAATAGTGAAAAAATAGTGTTTTATTAAATGAATAAAAGTTATGTTAATCAAAGACAATGAAATGTACTTAATTATTGATTGCATTTTTTTAATATTTTTAAGTGATAGTTTTGAGTCATGTGTATGAATTATATTGTTTTAGAAAATTTATCAAATTAGAAATTTTATTGAGCAAATAAATCATAATAAATTTTCATAAAATTTCTGGTTAATTTAAACATAAAAATATTAGAGCAGAAAATATAAAGTACCTTTTCCTTTTTATATAACATTATGTATTTAGAAAAAAAAATTCTAAACTTATATATAGTTTAAAAATTAAATTATACCACTATATCTATCTAGTTAATGTTGTCTAATAAATTTTCTGCCTGATTGTAGTTGCAAAAGAGTGTTTTAATTTGTAATCTTCATTATATTAAAAAAAATATAATAATTAAGTTTTTATTCTGCATACTAAACATATACAACATTTTTAAGCATATTTCTTCAATACATTCCAATCCTTAACTTATTTCTAATAACAGAAGACTTTGGCTTCTTTAAACAGTTTTAGGGGATTAAAAATAACATGTACATCACCTTTTTACAAATAAACTACACAAAAAATGCAAAATTGACTGGGAAAAACTGCTTTTAAATATTTACAAACCAAATCATACCAATGGCATTAAAAAAGAAAATAGTCCCCTTTTTCTGTATGTATTGAAGACTGTTAGGATTTATCTACATAGGTGAAGCTATTTACAAATGTATCAAAATAAATGTATCTATGTACAAAACATCGAAGTAATTGATGCGTCCGAAAAAAATCGGAACTGAAAACTCTTTTAGAGATTCAAATTATTGTAACCAGTCTATAGTTGCCTCCAGTGCCCGCTCAAATATTTACATTCGCTTAGCGGTTCGGGCGCTTACAACTTAAACTACAATTATAATTAGTACTTGAAACTATAATACTTTTAAAACATCTATTTTATCAATTATTAAACAACGCATATGTACTGTACAGATAATAAATTTCCAAGGATTTAATTTTTGACAATAAAACAGCTTGACTGGATTAATTCATATGCAAAACTTATAATTTAAAATGTCAATTTTGCTATATAAAAAGTAACACTGGTCCTAAGGAATGTAATGGGTGGTGGTTTTTTTTAATACATTAGCTACTCACAGATTAATGACAACAGCAACAAATATAGAAGTGAAAAAAATATATATTCCTCTGTTTTCATCATCAGTATAAAAATAACTAAAACCAGAAAATTCACCTTGTTCACAGTAGTCTAGTAATGTTTTGATATAATGAATTAGGTTAATAAAGCTTAAATGTTACATTCAAAACACAAATATCAATGTATCTGTATGTTAAGGATGATGCGAAAATAAATTACTGAGAATATGTCCTCAAAATGGTATAAACTTCTCTTACCACTGTTATCTTAATTTTTTAGTTTCTAACTGCAGCCAAAATCTTAATATACAGGATATAATATTAAGATTTTGGCTGCAGTAATCATCATCATACAGACAACAAAGCAGGCAATAATGTGTAGTTTAGGCATTGCATATAAGTAAATTTCTCTACATCCTTTAATCAAAAATAATGTAAGATACTTAGATGACAAAAAACTTTTTACTACACAGAGTTACAAATTACTATGCATCTTAGTACATTTACAAGATGAAAAGTCACAATACTTTTATTTTTAATTTATATATGGCTCGTTAAACTAAATCATTTATAAAAGACATGAAATAAGCTCCTGGAAGCAAACCAGGAATATGTGTACATAACATTTGTAACTAAGTGCCGTAAGCTTAACATGTCATCCAGCAAAATGTTAATTTATTAAAATTTATCAGACCTCTAATTAATCAAATAAAATCAGTAAAATACCGCGAGAACCTTTTTTAACTATATATAAAGTAACAAATTTTTGTCTAGAATCATCTTAGTGATTTTGATATTTAATGCCATTGACAGAATACTTTGTACTTTCCAGTAAACCCAAAATAGGTGTGACCAGTAATTCGACACCATGTTTTAAAAGATTTATTTTTACTTTAAACTACAGTTGTGTAAAACAAGTTCAGATACCTCTTAAAACAACCAAATCTAGTAAAAAGAACTATCAAAACTTATTTTACTTATGACGTATTCAGCACGCTCAAAACAAGGTAATAGCTTAATTGCTCAAATGGATTTGTTTCGGATCCTTAGAAACTGAAGCAAGTCGAGAATTACTTAAGTATACTTTTCTTACGCTCCGATTTCTCCGCACTCGGATTCCATTCTGCATCATCGGGGTCATCCCCTTCGTACATAAGTAGGGATGCTGGTGATAATGTGCTGGAATCTTCCAATTCTTCTTCCTGGGGTGACGGAATTGGAGATGGACTACAGCTGGGCTGGTATGACTCAGGCATGAAAGATAACATGTCTTGGTAAACTTCGTCTTGTAGGGGGAAATTCCGTGGTGTATATGGGTTCTCAGCAGCCTGTAAGTTTATATTATCTTATTTCAGAATTTTAAAATAATCACTTCACAACATCATTTACATCACTGACACATCTTATAGTACTTATAAACATTCTACCTTTGGTTTTAAAGCGAATACATTATGATAAATACTACTTCTTAAAGGCACATTTAAACGCAAACTTATTACTTCACTTACACAACTCGATGTTTCGTTAAAGAAGACTAATTGTTTGACATTTTTAATAATGTTTACTATAATTGACAAACGGCACAATGATTTTTGATTGAATGATTTCACGTCCAAATAAATAAAATTACTATGTCATGAAATTAAAAATTACCTCGCTGCTTTGTTGGTTGTTTTGTATTATTATGTTTGGCTGTGGTTTCTGTATATGATTTTGTACAGGTACTGGGTCTATGGGGGGTTCAGCATTATTCCTTCTCGACCGCTGTTTGCGTAGAAATCGGTTCCTCTCTTGGGTTTCAGCACGGGCGTGTCGCTGATATAGTGACATTTCAGATACATCTTCTTCCTGAAATATAATTTTCATCATAAATATACATCAGTACATAAACTGTGTCTAGTATAGTTCTACTGTGCGATTGTTAAGATATTACACCTAGAAGGGTTCTAAGATTATTTTATACAAAAATATTTACGCAGACTAAGTTTCCATCCTTTTCCTTAATCTAAAGTACGACGTTGATGTGATGGCAAGGACTTAGTCATTTGTGTATTAATATCTACTAAGTTTACTTTAAAATTTAGTGTTAGTGTGACGTTAATATACAAAAGAATTAACTACCTCACTTCCGTCTACCGACATACGATTGGAATTGTTAATCCCATTATTCAATTTAGGTCTTGATATATCCTTTATTCGCCATCTGAAAACATTTTCAATATTAACTTTTAGTCTTGCATATAAATATTTATATTATTATTTAACGCCTTTCATCTCTGAACTTACCAAATATGTTAAGTTTACACCATTAAAAACACTTTGATTAATAGCTACATATGCCTAGTTACCATTAATACTTTTAATTACATTCTGAGAGATACAATAGAATTATAAGGGTGATATATTGTTTATCAATATTTAAATGTAATGAAGTATGAAAATGTAGTGTGGGTTAAAAATATGATACATCATGTTACGGTTCGGTTTTGTTAGTGGAAAACAGTCTGGAATACTAATTCTAGTCCAATAATTTAATACACAATAATATAAAGAAATAACAATGAATATTATTTAATTAAAATATTAATTATCTACAAAAGAATAATTATTAGAGAAACAGAGGATGTCGTAATTCTGTATGGGCGTACAAAATACTTACTTAGGCGTTAGAATTTCCTTATACGTAAGTATTTCAGGCCGTGTGTTAGCAGCGATGCTTTGAGGTATCACGATGTTATCGATATCGAACGACTGCCGCCTCCAGCCGCGTGATTCTGTGCTTGCCCGACCACGCCCACTGGGAAAATAACCTTAATTATAGTTTGTATGAATGTTTCGGTAGCTGGTAAAACTTTAACAGAGTTTTGAAATTCGACGCAATATACTTTTTGGTATTAAATTAAAATTAGACAAATAGTAATATACATTACTTTATACTATAATAAGCAAATAACAAAATAAATTATTAGTACCGTTCTTGTCCAGATGTCGAAGTATCGTCGTCACGATCACGCTCTTTAACTTTGCGGGATAGCGGCGGTCTGCCTCGTTTCAATCCTGAAATATACGGCATATAATGTATATTATATTATTTACTCGGGCTAGACTGACTGTGTTACATTGATAATTTAATCATCATTATTGTTTAGGCAATAATCGAACTCAAGAAACTCTATGTGCTTCCAAGTTCTTAATTACTACTTAGCAGCTGCCTACTATTGAATATCTATTTTAAATACTTTTAAACAATCTGCATATTTATTTTTAAGTAATTTGTTTTCTTTTAAATTAAGGATATCTAAATCTACTAACTGGTAGGATGTCGTTTGGTAGTCGTCGAAGTTGCCTGTGTGGGCTGCGAAGCTTGGATCGTTTGTTTCGTGACAGATGAATTATGCGCGCCACGATAGGACTTGATGCGAGACCGGAACCACGGACGAGACGTGAGCGCGCTCATGTGAATGGATGGCGGCACATCTGAAAATGTAACTCATAATAATTATAAATGGGAAAACAACTGCCTGTCTTTTTATCTACCTTAAGCTGGATGAAGGATACAAAAGACGGTGAAAATATAAGCAATATATTTTTAGTCAATATATACTAACCTAACTTCTGCATATAGGACAAAATCAGTCCCTGAAGAGAAGGACAATACACTTTTTTGATTAAAATCGTGTTTTTATTATGTTGGCCAAGTATTTAATATTGATTGATATTTAAATATTGATTCCATTGATAAAAATATTTCTATCCCTTCAACTAGCACTAACAATATCTTAAGAATGTAAACTTTTGTTACATTTAGTATATTAATTAATAGCCGTGTTATATGTAAAATAAAAAATATATGATCTTTTTACCTTGTATAGTGCTAAGCGCAGGATGGTAGCTAGGATCGACGAGAGCTAGGCGCTGCGCAGGAGACAATGTAGAGAAAGGCGGCTGCGGCTGAGTAGACTCGGCTCGGCCCGTGCATACAGCGCACGACTCCAATGGGTACACGCAGCTGCACCTGAATAAAAATATTTATTTATGCATTTCCAAAAGTCTGACTTTAGCATTGCTTGATGCTTACCATAAATTATAATTCAGTGAAATTTAAATTGGTACCCTCCCATATTTGTAAAATCGTTATAGAGATAACTTGGATATTGGATCAAGAATTGGTAACTTTACGTCTTCTTTAAATAAGATCACAAAAATCAGATTTCTCAATCACTACCTTAGGTTGCTGCGGTGACATACTTTTGTAATAGCTATGTCAATAAAGCCAATATTTCAAATCACACTGCTACTAAAATGTTTCCAATATTCAACTTACTTAACATCACTGGGTTTAGCCGCTTTAGTAGTAGCAAGATGCAGATTGTGCATTTGCAATAACTTTCGTTTCTTAAACGTCTCCCGACGCAAGGGTCGTATTCTGGCGCAGGTGCTGGGAGAATCATCACCTGGGAGGCTCCCTTCGTAACCGACTGGTTCTCCTTCAAATTCTATACGACCCTTTGCCTCGCGGACCTTTAAATTATTTTTAAATTATTAATAAAAATCTCCCAATAACTCATATAACTATTGACATCACATAACACTGCTATGACAATTTTAACGTCTTACGAAGAAATTGAATAATGTAACAAAAATAATACAATAAAATTCCCTTTGTATTTACAATAGAGTGGTCGATTATTTGAAAATATTTACGTATGATTAATATAGGCCAAGGTCACGGAGTTACGAGGGATTCATAACAAAGGGAATTTATATACTGCATAATTAGTGTGGCTTATTAAATTTTTCCTTGCACAATAGTTTGTCAATACAAGCTCAAGTAGAGCTCCAGTAGATATATTATGTACTAACATTTGTGCCCACTTCGTTTACTTATAATTATGGCATGTAAAACCTTCATGCCATTCACAAGTGTAGAAAAACACTTTTTTTTAAACGGATTTGAAGTTATGTTTTATTATAAATTTACAATTATTTTACATAATTTTAAATTTAACCATTTCCAAATCCGTTAAAAAAGTGTTTTTCTATGTCTAAAAGTTATGTCTATAAAAGACAATACTATTCACAAGTGTTCCAAAGAGAAACTTAGGTATTTAAGATATATTCTTATATTCTGTATTGAATATAAAAAATAATATTTATTACAGTAAACAAAAAGAAAGCAACACAGAACTAAAAAAAAAAATGGCAAAAAGCTATTGAAACATTATTTTTATATTTTGTTGATCATTCAAGATTATTATTAAAATTATAAAATTGATTATTATATTTATTAAAAATATTCAATATCAAAGTATCACATTGAACTTGCATGAGGGTGAATGTCCGACCTAATTAATATACATATTAACAGCCTCATATGATAAGATTTGTTATCATTGACAAAAAATTATTCATGTTGTAACAGGCTTAAAGCACATAAGACTACATAGACATAGTTTGGTAGTCCACCGGCAATCAAATTTATTACCTTGTTATAAATATTATAAATTTCCAAGTTTAGATAACAAAAATACCTATTTTTAATAAAGGTAAAATGTTTATAATATCGTGTAAGGATTTAAATCCCAAGTGCAAGCTGTTTTAACTGTATATGTAAAGCACCAAATTATTTTTGAAGAACATTGGCAGCTTTATTATATTACTTTTTGTTATGATTAATGAAATATTTTCTCAGTAATGTCGTACATATTATTTTGCTTGGCTAAAGCTATAAACCATTACATATCACCACACAATCCTATAATCTAATTTAAGTATATTACTTTTAAATTAAGAAATAATACAAAAAAATAACAATTGTGTGAAAAAAAATAGGAAAGATCGAACCACAAGTTCGAGTGTACCTTAATTACAGAGTTAGATATTTATATGATAAAGTACAACCACATATAATTCACTGCCACAGAAAAATAATTGCACTCCAAAATTGTAAATACTATTATATTACTATCTATCTTGTGATATTGCAAACAATAAAAAAAATAATGCATAATATTGTGAGTAGTATGTTACGGATCAAAACATTTTGACAGTTTTTAATATCACAAAATAGATGGTCATCTCACTGAATTTACAATTTTCTGGTAGAATTATTATAGTCTTACTAATTTTACTACATTTGAATAGGGTATTACAGGGTGGTATAACTAAAATAAGACATACCTGCTTATGTAAATCACTGTGCTGTCTTATTTTATATTCCAACTCCTGAATCTGTGCCTGTAGCCAGCACCAACGTGTTGCAATTGACGCACGAGTCCTTTGCCAAGACCATAATGCTCTTTTCTCACTAAAATAAAAAAGATAAAGGTGTAATTAGAAATAGAGATTACCACTACTACTACAAAATAGCTGGTAGAGAAATTTAAAAAACATTGTTTACATTAAGAGTTTTAAATCAAACTAGTGAATACATACAAATCCCTACTATATGTTATTATGACTCAAAAAAATCTTATATTATAATATAAATTTCTCTGTATTAGAATAGTATTATATTATCCCCAGCCTTACACTTTTCATAAACCCTTAAAACTTTAACTGGTAACCTAAACAAATACTAAAGAATTTTGAAATTTAAGTTTATTGAATACAATGTTAATAAATAAGTTCTTCTACTGGTTGATTAGGTAAAATGTGTAAAGACAGAAACTAGAAAATTTCTGCCTCAGGACTGGCAAGGGCTACATTTTACACCAAACATCGTGTTTTCTAAATTTGATGGCTCGAAAATTAATTTTAGTGATAAAGAATAACTAATTAAGATTAATGTGTATAAAGAAATATTGAGAAATCCCTAGATTTATATATCTGTAGTTACACAAGAATTCTATTTTAGCAGTATCATGTGCGTGTTCCAGGGTTCATCAATTACATATACTTCTCTGGCTCACTATGTAACAGTAGTATTAACTCATACTTTCAAAATACAGAAAAAATACTTACATAGGCATGTGCTGTTGATGTTGGTTATTATATACAACAGCCTCATCATTACTCTCTGCTCCAGATGAAGAAGCAGTTGCATCTGAATCTAATTGTTGCTTCACCACTGATAAATGAAAACGCAAGCTACCAGCTGTATCCTCTAAGCCATTTAATGTTCCTGAAGGAACCCCTAATGATGCAGATCTTGTTGCATCACCTCTAGAAGTACTAGCATTATAATATTTTGGACCAACCACAGTCCTAGATGCTGCACTCGCTTGTAGGCCGGATGTGGTATCTACTCTTTTAATAAAGGCTTTTAAACCTATTGGTCGTCCACCACCATCTTTTCTTGCACCTCGAGTACATTTTTCAAATGTTTGTGTGACTTCTTCGGCTACTCTTTTTCCAACAGAACGAGCTTGCAATATTCTTAACCTTCTTAACAAAAATGCACATCTTCGTTCTAACCTAGCCTGCAAAAGTCTGATTTTATCCTCAGCTGCATCACCTTCTGAATCAACAGTTTCAGGCAAATCAAAGCTTGATAGAGGAAATATAGCATCTGGATCACCAGTTGACAAAACATCTCCCCCACTCTCCAGAGTTTTAATAGCTTGAAGCAAATCAGCTTGAACTAAGTCACTATTGCCCAGATCCACAAGGATTTGTTCCATCTCCTGCGAATCTTTCGCCAAACTAGGCTGGTTCTGCAGCCCCATATCATCTTCCTCCATGTGTGTTGAGAGGTTATTGACGGACACAAGGGCCCGTCTTCGGTGGGCTAATATTTCAGTCTCGTCGACCACGTCGTAATGTGTCGTTTGCGGAGTTACAGTAAGCGCCGGGGCCATGACACGAGCGCCGCCCGCCGCGGACGCCGGCGCTGATCGCGTCAGGGCGGGTTCCCAAATTCAATCATTACGAAATGATGTAACGCCCACTTGAACACTATTTATTAAAACTAACTAACACAATTACACTTCACTTTATAGTTCACTAAATTCATTCTTTGTTCACCTCGCCGGCTCCTACGAGCCGTATTGCGAGGCTTACCCCGAAAGCGTTCGGCGCGTTTCTGAAATACAAAATAAGTTTGTTTAGGTTACAAATTATAAAGGAAAAACATAACAGAACGCAATAGGAAATCGTTGTTTTTGTATACTCTAATATAGAAAAACGACATTTAACCCACGTGATAGTGAAAAGAGCGATAGCAAACGCAATTTACCTATTGCTTGTTTCTGTACAATATAGAACAGGAAATGATGCACTGTAAAAAAACTTTCAGACCGTTGCACAAACGTATACAAATAAGAACAATACCCACGTAACAATTCACTTGCACGTTACAACTGACAAAGACAATTTTATTACAATGGCGGAATAGTCTTCAAAACACAATTTTATTGAGTAGAATTCACAAATCTATAGTGACGAAATTAAGCGTAGACCGCACCGCAGCAAACGCGAACTAAGAGCAGGAACGGGAAAGAAAGAAACAACCGCGTATTTAAATAGTGCGTTGTGCATGAGAAAAGGGGATAGCAATAAGGCTCTAAAACAGTACTTGCGCGGTAAAGTCAAAAACATGCAATACAATTAATAATTGTGAAACGTCATGGAACTTTTATACAACTCCAATAACTTTTATAACTAATTTTTATTTTATGTTTACGTATTTACAAATAATTAATACTATTTTTACCTGTATAATTAAAAGAAGTATATCAAATGATACAAAATACGAGCATAGACTATAGATCTTAAAGTCGCCACGCCATCGGCTATAATATTCTCTATATTTATACACCATAGAGCAAGTTAACATTGAATAAATAATATTGTATGTCGTAAATCGTAAATAATTACATAAAAAATCGTATTCTTGAACAAAAAATCGTAAAGCTGTACCTACGTAAATCCATAAAAAAATACAATTACATGAATATTTAAATATTACTAATCAGAATATTATCATCTTAATAATTTGGTTAACATTCATTGGAAATGTTGAGATACCTTAAAAGAAAATGTAATGAATAGAAGCATAATACTAGTTTGAGAGTAATGATTATGATATTATAAATTATAATTATAACTCTATTTATAATATAAATATATTATAAATAACCATCTGCACAGTTTTATCATTTAATTATTATCAAGCTAATCAATATTATAATTTATTTGTAATAATTTGAAACATTGTTTTAACAGAATCACATAAAATATATTAATTTCCAAACTTCTTGCTTTATTTTGAGCTTACACACAATTTTCAAAGATAAATCTAATAAATCATAAGCATTAAGGGCCTTAATCAACCCCAACAATAATTTAATAAACTTTATAGAGCAAAATTGAAACTTTATACAATAATTTCAAATTCAATGATAATAAACAAAAGAAGGTCTATTTCACTGTAAGTAAGCTGGAGGGTAGAAACTGAGTGATTATAATTAGATATACATGATAATTTAACTTGTAGATATTAATTAATTTAACTTTCATCTCAAGTTTGTACAATAAAAGTTGTAACTTCAATATTATCAAAGCTAAAGTTTTTTCTTCTCAGGAATGATCCAAACTTTTTTAAAAAAATCATATAGTCAATTTATCTAGTACAAAGATACTATTTACATATCATATCACAATTGATAAATAAGCAATAATGTATTCCATAAGTAACAATATTATACTTTTACAAAATATTTGTTTGTAAAAGTTTTATATACTTCTAGGTCTATAATTATTAAAACCAAAAATTTTTTTTGGTTTTAATAATTATAGTACATACTAAGTAATTCAATAAGCTTAAAATATCTTAAGTGGAAATAAAAAAATGTAAATGTTAGCCAGTTTTTACAAAACTAAAAGTATGAATTATAGTACATTTTGATAATAATTAAATTAAAATAAATATTAGCTACCTATATTTAATACTTAAGCGTATAGGTAAACATTGACACAATAAGTTATTTACCTTGTTAGTTGATGTATTTGGCAAATCGTTGATATTGCCGAGTTGTTGCAAATTAAGACGTACATCAGTAAATTTAGCTTTATCCATATTAATAACTCTTCTCTCCTAGAAATAAATAAGTGTTTCAATCTCTCGAAAATGAGAAGGTAAGTTAATAAACTGAAGCAATAGTAGTCATAGACTGACAGTTACCCGACAAACTAAAAAGATGATTTCGAACTTCGTTACCTAATTACTATTATCTTAAATCATAAATGAGTTTTTTTTCCAAACCTTGTTAACTGTCAAATGTAATAATACCTTTACTAATCTTTTAAACGTTATATTTATAATTGAGTAGTACAATATTTTGTACTACTCCATTATTAATTAAATTTAAAAAAAAATGTTACATTAAATGTAAACAGAGTACCTAAACCACAGATTTAGTAGCGATAAATTTATTATTTAAGTAAAGATGTTTAGATATTCTCATTTCTCAGTGACCACCGAAAACACGTAAAATTTATATTTACTATGAACGTAATATGAATAGCTTGTGCATTGTAAAATAGTAACTAAATTTGTACTTTATCAAAAATGCGTAAGATCAAGTAAGATGAAGTCTTCTTACTGAATAACTTTTGTCTTTTACCATTAAAATTTTCAACTTTGTTAGGTAAGTATATCTTCGTGAAAAAAAAAACCCGGCAATCTTAAAGGTCTGAATTGTATATAATTATTCAAATATAACTACTATTGAACTTGTATTCTATATTAGCTTATAAATATGTTAATATTTTTTATATTACATTTAACATAATTATAGAACTTATAATAGAAGTGTCAAGTACACAAAAGGGAGGTATTGTAAAGTAATTCTTGTAAATATAGTACTATAATTAAAAAATAAGTCAATCAGCATCTTCTAATTATTATTAACACTCTTAAAGTTTGTAGAAAACTGTCTGTAGTAGTTAAAATTTTATTATTGACATTAGAACCATTTGTTTGAAACTTAGTAGTCAACTATGTAATTTGGTTAACAAGTTTAATCATTCATTATTTCTTTTACATAAATACTGTCTACTAACCTAAATATTTTAATTTCTCATAGATATAATATACATCATAAATACTATTATTACAAAGATAATTATGATACAGGATGTCTACAAGCTAAGGCCAATTGAACTTGAATGGTTAGTAAGAAATGATAAATTTCTCAGACCAACTTATTTAACACTGAATTGTGATGAAATAACAAAAATAGAAAAAGGGCCTTTAATCTGAGAATTACCTTATTAACTTACTGTGGAAGTTGACTAGTCTGCACCGCTTATCAAAACAAAGGAAATAAAAATTGGCTCTTGTATTATTAACTCTAATTTTATTATATTATTTAATAATACATATATTATATTTATTTAATTTAACGGTTTCATGTGTTATATTGAAATGAAATTACAAGTAATTTATACTAGTAGTTTCATTTATATTTTTAGTTTTTAAATTTTTGCTATTTATACAAAATAATAACTAAAAAAATTGTAGTAAAGTACCTACTCTGAAATGTAGAGTTAACACAATACACAACAAAATACAAATATCATATTAGAGCCTGATTTTCGGATTGAGCATAGGCTATATTCTGTATAAGGATATCTGTGGTTTAGGAGGAGGACTGTTCTACATACAGTGGATACAGAAACGGCGGAAGTAATAGGCACCATTATGATGATACCCTTATTTATAAAAACTTAATCAGTATAATGCTCTTTTAACTAAAGTACTCGTCTCTTTCCCTCAAGATGTGTTTCCGCTAAGATGAAAAGGGATACAACTACAGGCACTGTATAATACAGCCATTAACAATCCTTGCACTGCCTAAGCCGATGCACGTGCAATTACTAACGTAGTCACCAAGAGAAGAGCTAGGTGAAAGAGAAGTGAGACGCTTGGAAAGCAGAACTAGAATGATCATTCATTATATAAAAATTGGTTCCCATATAATACTGAAACCTATACAAAATGTCCAATGCCGTAGCATCTTCCGTGGGCAACTTCATTCTGTTAATTTTGTGTCACGGTGCGCGCGCATCGTAAAATTTCACACTCATCAATTTTTCATAACTTCAAAAATTTATATCATTCCATTAAATTCGATTAAAGCCATACACAAATCGTTACTCCACTTCATCATAAGAAAACGCGCGCGTCCTTACAGTGAATTTTACAGTACCTACATTAAAGTTAACAATACAGTAGCAAGCGCGCAAGTGCGGTTGATGTTCTCGCCTCCTTTGAGTTTTGACTTTCGGCTCTCGCGGCTAGCCCCATAAAACGACAAAAAGCGGACAGGTGGCCCGTGGCGAGTCGAGACAAGGTGGAATGAGCGCACCTTCCACACTCTCGCGCTCCCATCGTGGCGCCAAGTCGAGAGTGTGGATGGACAATTCCACAAAACAACTGACTTAATTATGACGTGTTCGAACTTTGAGTGCTTAGTGTCTGCCTACCAACTATAGGTAAAGACTAAAGTGGTGATTGCTGACACCCTGTAGTAAATCTGATTATGACATAAATTAAGAATATTGTGCCTATAAGTGTATCTACCTTTTTTTCATGAGTAAATTACTTATTTTATATATATTTCTGATACCAATTTAAGTGTGATTACATTTTTCATTTGTAATTAGATTTAAAGATATCTATTTAGACAAATTATGGATCCATTCATAATTGCTGCTATTGTTAGTGGTATTGTTCTAATTATTTTAATTATTGCATTTCTTCGTGTGTCACAAGTTAATACGAAACGTGAGTGATAAATTAAAGAAGGGTTTATAATTTTGAGATTGAGTATAAAATATTTAACTTTTGTAATGGTTTTAGCTGCCGCAAGACCAAGAGCTGTAGCTCAAAGAGATGGAGGTCCAGGAAGAGTCCAAGCAGTAAGAAATCAACGGGCTCGTATGAGAGCAAATGGTATGGTATTAGTTTTCTTCATTTGTAATAAGTTATAAGCTCAATTGCTAGTTATTTGACATTGCTGTTTTGACTCCATAGAGTTCCTCATAATGTATGAAAATTATATTAAATACAATATTACTAAGACTCTATCATAAAAAAATAACATATTTTTAGCTGCACGACATGCTGCCCCACTTGATGAAGAGCCTATCATTCATGAAGAAGTAGAAGATGAAGACAGATCTGATGTCCAGACAATGGAAATTGATGATAAAATGGGAGCTAAGGTGCCATTAAGTTTTTCTAGTAATTGTTTGAATATGCCGTAAAATTATTAAGTATATTCTTGTTAGTTTAATAAGATATTAATATACTATGTGAGTCAACTCATGCAAATTCATATTATACTAACATGTTTTCATGCAGAAAAGAGCTAAAATGGAAGCTAAACTGGAGAAAAAAAAAGCTAGAGAAGCAGAGGAAAAGATAAGAGAGATAAAAAAACAACGTGATTTAGAATTAGAAGAGGAACGTAAAAAAGTAGAAGAAAAACAAGAGGTATTTTTTTAAAGATTATCACATTTATTCAATTATCTTTGTAAGCATCCTTAAGTTATGTTTTCTTAATAGAATAATAAATTATCAGGACATCATAGCAAACTATATACTGGGGGGGAGTTAAATAACACTGGCAAGTATCTTAAATTCTGCCAATTGAAAATTTTTCTAATGTATTTATTCAATGAAACATAACAGGCACATCACAAATACAGCATATTGTCGCTGTAGAATGATAACCTTGTATGTCCAGAGAACCAAACATTACAGGGAAAGAAAAAACTGTTTCATTTAATTCAAAGTTCATTAAAATATTATTGTGTTTTTGCCAATAGTTTTAGATGGTAAAAAGGAGAGAACATAAATAAGTCCTTACATCAGGATTATACCAGTTATGACATAAGAGTCTAAGAATAAAAAATAAATGGTTTTTTGACATATGAGATTATCATTCTACATTGACGATATATAAAAAGAAATGTAAATTATAATTAGAGAAATATCCTTAAGATATGTAAGAAAAGCTGCATTCAATAATTTAAAAGGGAATTGTTTTCATATTCTATTAAAAGAAGTTAAGAATTTGTTGGTTTTTGTTTATTAAGAAAGAAAATGATTGATGTCATAAAAATACAGATTGTTATTTTTTCTGAGTTTAGCTGGTGTGGTGACCTAACTAAACCTTGGTGTAGCATAAATATTTTAAAAACTGAAGAAACTCAGTTTTGTTTTATTTACACTATTTAGGATACTTTGCCACTAGATGGTATTAAATAATTCCACACATATATATAACAGTTTATATTAAATTATATACAACCATAATAATTAGTCTTAACAAACTTTTATTTGCAACCTTCATGTAAAAAATTCTTAGGTATAAAAGTTGGGTTTGTTTTTTATATTATTATTTTTAATTTAGGAAGAGGAAAGAAAAGTTGAAGAAGCTCTCCGTAAAGCAGAAGAAGAGAGAAAGAAACAAGAACAAGATGAGTATGAAGCATTAAAGGCAGCATTTACTGTTGAAGGTGAAGGGTTTGATGAAAATGAGCAAGAAGATGCATCTAATCTTCTGCGTAACTTTATAGAGTATATTAAGGTGAGCTTACTTAATATCTTTATATATATATAGTTGAAACCTGCATGCAAAATTACCAAGTTAAGATAAATTGTTTAATAATCTGCATTTATTATATACAATTTAAATAGTTTTCAAATTCAATTCAAAAAAATTAAAGTACTTTACTGATTTTTCAGACACAAAAAGTAGTTCTACTTGAAGATCTTGCAGTACATTTCAAACTAAAAACACAAGCAGTTATTGACCGAATAACTGAACTGCAAGAATCAGGCGAGTTAACAGGTGTTATTGATGACCGAGGAAAATTTATTTATATTGCCTTGACAGAATTAGAGGCTGTAGCCAAGTTTATTAAACAAAGAGGCAGAGTGTCAATATCGGAATTAGCAGAGAGTAGTAACCAATTAATAAATCTGAATCCTGTAACAGTCTCCACATAATAAATTGTTGAAATATTAATTGTTAATTGAAAACTGTAAATATGTGTCTTTTTTTGTACATTGAGCTGTTATCACAACAACAAATCAAGTCATGACATCTTGATTGGTTTTTTATGTTGAATTAACTAAAATAAAATCTATTATTGTATAAATATACACTTTTTATTAAAACTTCCTTATTCTTAGAAAACATTAATTTTTCTTGACTTCAAAATGCAGGTATTTTATTTTCAAAAAATATTTATTGAAAAGACACGGTAATTAACAAAAATTATTCAACTAAATCATATCCAAAAATATCTCTTCCTTTATTTATCAGAATTAAACTTGATTCTTTAATCCTTTCTAAAATGTCTTGTAGCTTTGCTTTAGTGAAAACTTTATACAAACAGCGATTTTCCGCTGCTATCAAATCACTTAACTGCACTGCTTCTTTATGATTATCAACATCATCATTGCTTTGTAAAATTTTTATAATCAAAACCACAATTTCTGGTATACATAACTTTCTTAATGTTTCTAATTGTTTTATTCTTTCTTCTTGTTCAGATTCTAAAAAGTTTTGTGAAGATGTACAATCATTTTCATCTTGAAGCCAACCTCCTGGGAATAATAAAGTATTATACAGCAAGGTTTTTGTGTGACGAGATTGGTGTAATACTGTATTTTTCCATCGTGCCTTTTGTTGTTCAATTTGAGCAACTTTTTGCTCATGGTGAACTTTGTCAGCAAATGTTGCATTTGATGGCAATGGTTCAACATCCTTGGGCTGTCCACTAATGTAATGTCTGTACCATGTAGCAAATCCTTCTAGGGCTTCTAAATAAGCTTTCAAGCATAAATGTTCTTTTAGTTCAGAGGAAGTAGGATTGAGTTGTTTTATAACCTCAGAAAACATATTTTTAACACTACCTAAGCAATTGATGGCTGCTTCTGTGTTTCCAATAAATATGAATGTTCGAACCATTGCATTGCTTAACCAAAGTGCCTCTGCTACTTGATTTGGTTGTAGAGCTAGCCATTCCAATGACAAAATAACTTTGTTAATTAGTGTTTTATCTTTTTCAACTGCTGTTGTTTGTGTGAATGTACTATCAATATGTCCATAATTTTGTTGTATTTCCGTAATGGACTTTTTAATTGCTACTCTAGCTGATGCAGCCACATCAATTCCAGCTGTTTTGCCAGCATTCACTGTATCTTGTCGGTTTTCACTTTTATATATTTTATCCATCAACTCAGCAAATAGAATTATTTGTTTCTCATTTGGGACGGTGGAAATGTAGAAAGCAATAAGCTCTGGACAATCACAGGATCCTTCAACCAAGTTTTCAATCAATTGCGTTATATACTTTTCTAGAATAATGTCACCAGTATCATGTTGAGGATCTTTACCCATTTGACGCAAAATTAATACCAGATGGGCAAGAAATCTTACAAATCGGTCTTCAGCACTTTGAAGCCAATCTAAAGAGTCCTGCATTATACATCTAATATGTCCCAACATTAAATATCTTTGACAAGTTTGGTAATTTGATTCCTTTTTACCATCTAATAATGACTTTACAGCACTAAAAATTTGTTGCAAAGATATTTCAGAAGTGGGCAAGTCAGTTTGTAATAGTTCTAGAACTTCTGGTGTTGTAGTATTAGCTTCAGCTGTAGCATAGTGTTCATGTAAGAATTTGTCCACTCTAGTTTCTATTTGGACTCTCAAATGGGCCCACAACAAATCTTCCCAATTGCCTTGGCATGCTGTAAGAGCACTTTGTAAATGGCCACATAATATTCCAACTGCTGCTCTGTAGTGAATATTTTCAGAGGAATTGGTAGCTATACCAAGTGCACACCATTTCCAGAGATCCCGAGACTTGTTTCCAGTCAGATCAATGGTAGAATCAGAATCTTTTGGTAAATAATGTAATAATTTCCATCCTTGTAACACTGCTCCACGCCATGCTTGGCCTGCATTTATGCATAGAGAAACTGCATTTTTAAAATTTCCACAACGAAGTTCCGTAAAAACCATTTTACATAGGTCATTATCATCTTTTGAATCATCTGAATGAATACTTTTATGTTGACGGGTTGAAGCATCAGGATCTATTCTAGTGACCATAGCTGTATTTCTTTCTTTATTGAACAAACTTGTTCCAAGAAGTAATTGATGGAGGGTATTACCCCAATGAATGTTATTTGAAATAACTGGAGCTGTAGTTCTAGTTGCCTGGTCTTGATATGCAGCTGTGGCTTCTAGCCAGTCCACTAGTAACTGAAAAAGTCTCAGTTCCGGGTCACTTTGAAATAAAGCATTTACTAAAATTTGTTGAGACAAAGTGGTTTGTGTAATAATACTTTCAAATGATTCCGGATGTTCAATTAATAAGTCGGCATATAAGCAATGCAGCAGTTTCCAGGTATTAGCTTCCTCTACTAACCAGTAATTGTGTGCACTGTAACGATTCCATGGTTCGACTAACTCAAGAGAATCACAACAAGCCTGACCTAACCTTGCTAACGTATCCAAAACATCACTTGCCCGACTTGATTGAATTATTTCAAAAAATATTTCACTTAAGCCATTTCCAGCTGTTCCGGTATTTAGAACAATTGAAGATTCGTCCAAAATTTGTCTCAAACTACTGTCGTTTAAAGATCTAAAGTAAGAAGATTCATTGAGTATTGGAGTAAGATTCAGAGTGTCTTCACGAGATACAAGTTGTCTTACGCGATTACCTTTGAGAGGCGTTCTTTGTGTCGAATGTAGAATGTGACTTTGATCAAAGCTCATCTTTAAATTTTAATTTGAGAATTAATAATTTAAAATATTAAGACAAATCGTTAGCGCCGCGCTTTAGTAATCACTAATGAGCATTCAGCTGTCAGCAGTACCGTTGAGTGTTGAGTGTTGACACTTGACACCTGACGGTTGAGTGTTGTTAGTTTTTTTTTTTTGAGTCTATAGGTCTGGTATCTAGACCTTTAGGCCAAGTCTTGAGTATTTTTATTCGGTTTATTATGTGCGTTTTCCAATTACAGAGCATAATGCGACTCAGTGCCGCACAATGCCGCATTATGCTGAAGCTTAATTGGAACGTGAATTAGTTTTCAAATGCATCAGCAGAGTGCGCTAAGTCAGTGTTGTAAAAAAAATGTTATGAATTGAGTTAGCAACCTCATTAATGTATAAATAATGTGGTAAACAATAATAATTGGTTGAAAACTTTTTACGCTTATTTTAATCATCAAATTATTTCATTAACATTTTTTTATTGAAATAATAGAAAACCTTTAAAGAATATAAGGTTTTAACAAGCTAAATAACAGTAAAATATTTAGTTTCATGTAAGAAGTTTACATCATTTACGTTTTGAGTAATATTTTTTAATGATTTCTAAAAAAATTATATACTTTTTCAAAACCATTGCAATTTTTCTAAACTATAATCCTGTAAAATAAATTTGTTTACAGATCCGAATTTTAAAATAAAATTGTATTCATATTTTAAATGTGGAATATAAAAAAAGTAACTATTTATACCTCCATCCATACTAATATTTTTTTTTTTAGTTTGAAATAACTTTAATTATTTTCAAAATCTACGACGAAACGAAAGCCTTACAAATTTTTCAACAATAAATAATATTTACTAAAGAAAATTTCAATAAATGCCAACTTAAAGAAAAATACTGGTCAATTTTCTGTCACTGTGTTGGTATTGTTTGCGAGAAGGACGCGAGAGCATTCGTTTTGAGAGTGCTCAATTGTGCGAAGCGTTGCTGTAGTTGGAACACTCAACGTTGAGCATTATGCCCCATAATGCGCTCTAGTGCTGTAATTGGAAAACGCACTATAATTTCTCCACTGTATTTTTGATAGTGTTGTTAGTTGTTACTTGTTGCCATAGATATTTTTTCCTCAAAACGCAGGTTACTTATTGACCTCACTCCACAGTTGACGTGGAACATGCACCTATAGGGGGCCTAATATGAGTTTTGTTAAAACCATCCTGTTGAGATATGAGATATGGTGCATTTTCCAATTACAGAGCATTATGCGACTCAGTGCCGCACAATGCCGCATAATGCTGAAGCTTAATTGGAACGTGAATTAGTTCTCAAATGCATCAGCAGAGTGCGCTAAGTCAGTGTTGTAAAAAAATGTTATGAATTGAGTTAGCAACCTCATTAATGTATAAATAATGTGGTAAACAATAATAATTGGTTGAAAACTTTTTACGCTTATTTTAATCATCAAATTATTTCATTAACATTTTTTTTATTGAAATAATAGAAAACCTTTAAAGAATATAAGATTTTAACAAGCTAAATTAACAGTAAAATATTTAGTTTCATGTAAGAAGTTTACATCATTTACGTTTTGAGTAATATTTTTTAATGATTTCTAAAAAAATTATATACTTTTTCAAAACCATTGCAATTTTTTCTAAAGTATAATCCTGTAAAATAAATTTGTTTACAGATCCGAATTTTAAAATAAAATTGTATTCATATTTTAAATGTGGAATATAAAAAAAGTAACTATTTATACCTCCATCCATACTAATATTTTTTTTTTTAGTTTGAAATAACTTTAATTATTTTCAAAATCTACGACGAAACGAAAGCCTTACAAATTTTTCAACAATAAATAATATTTACTAACGAAAATTTCGATAAATGCCAACTTAAAGAAAAATACTGGTCAATTTTCTGTCACTGTGTTGGTATTGTTTGCGAGAAGGACGCGAGAGCATTCGTTTTGAGAGTGCTCAATTGTGCGAAGCGTTGCTATAGTTGGAACACTCAACGTTGAGCATTATGCCGCAAAATGCGCTCTAGTGCTGTAATTGGAAAACGCACATGATTGGTTTAGAATTTAGATTCCTAAATTTAATCTTGTTTTTCTTACATGACCTCCTATACAATGAAACGTATTGGAATCGCAATACCGAACGAAATAGTGTGAAGGTGAACGAAAAGGTTTCACTGGAAGTTCTGAAATTTAACTGTCAAGCAGTATTCTATAGTAATAAAATATTTAATCTTAAAAATATTTTTAATATTTCTGTTAAGTAAAAATCCGATGAAACTTCTTTTGTATAAAAATAATAATAATAAATATATATAATGTGACCTTAGTAACGGTTGTTATTTATTTTATGATGCTGCTCTTTTGGAAATCTCTTCCAATTGTACGAAATATTGTTTTTTTTTTATGGCAATAGTTTTAACATATTTACCAGTTACCAATTAAAGTTGTTGAGTTCAAACATATCATTGATATGCAGACTAAAACATGGTCGGGGATACGACACAGCCTTGTGACACCCTAGAGTTCACGGGGTTAAGGTCGGAACATATTCCGTCGATGACGACGTTGATGCTCCGATCAGCGGGAAAGCTGGAAATCCAGTTGCATATTTTCTCGGGAGCCCAATGCAAAGTCAAGGTAGAGCCTGTCAGCTTCGAGATAAGTGCTCTGTGCCACACCCAATCGAATTCTTTCTTGTGTTATTTGTACTTTGACGACTTTGCTTTAGCAATTTCCCTTAGTGGTTATATTTTTTTACGTTCGCCGATAGTAGCATCACTTATCCGCCGATAGTATCATCATTCTCGCTTATGCAAGGCCGCCTTGCAAGAACGTTTTAACTAAGACGGACTTGCCTCCGACCGGCTCCGCAGAAAATAGAACAAAAAGTTAGTTATATGAAGGTGTAAATGATTACCGAGTATTTACCTATATTAAATTTGCATGCAATTCTTTTGATTTGGAAAAGACAACAACCATCAACGACATCGCAACCCATTTGTCGATACTAAAAGAAATATAGCACAGTCTGAATTTTGAGCTAAGAAAAGAAGAGGACGGAAAGGAACTAACGAAACTTTTTGTATGCAAAATTTTAGATACACTACCTGAGTAATAATTTTCATTTAGGTCCAGTTGGATGTTATTGTCTTAATATCTGTGAATTAAAAAAAATTCAGTAACCTGATATTTGCTCATGAGAAAGCGCGTAATAATGAATGGAATTGGACAAGCTTTGGCAGCTATGGTTGAGAAGAGTTAAAGGAAAGAGGGAATTAAGGTGACAAAGGAAGTAAATACTACGAGTTACAAATGCTACCTTTGTAATGAAGTTAGACACTTTAGGCGAGACTGCTCAAAGCGTTAAAAGTCTCAGAAAAAATAAACTGCAAATTCGAGTTCAAAGTGTAGGTACATTGTGTTACCTACATGAATAAATGATTTTGAATTTAATTGCGTAACGAAAGGAGTCCAATTCCGCAGTCATCTGGAAGAAAAGCCAAACTGGCTTCCAAAAAGCCGGGTGTTATGGGTAGGGCTAAGTAGTATATCACTGAGGTACAACGTATATAGCTCTACAAGGCCCAAGTATGACCTCATATGGAATAGTGCTCACAACTCTGGGCCGGTGCTCCGAAATACCAGCTTCTTCCTTTTGACGAAATTCAGCGAAGGGCTTGTCGAAATGTTAATCCAATATATGACTTATCAGATTGATTCTTTCTATATACAAAGTGTACTATGGAAAGTGTTCTGAATAGTTGTTTGGGTTGATACCTTCTACGTTCCTCGTTTCATCAACATACTAGCCAAATTAACTCAAAATTCTATTCGGATTACCTGTATGGATGGAAGTCTTCACATAGTCCGCTTTACAAGACATTTTCTTTTTTGGACTATTGCGAACTAGCAAACTGTTGCTTCAACTCCCGGTGGAGGGTCTTCCCTGGGAGATACTACCTCAAACTGTTTAAAAATCTTCACCCTGTAAGGCCGGCAATAGACCCAGTAAAATGGGTGTTCATTAAACCCGAATGGTTCTATTCAAAAGCATAAGGCTAGATTAGTTGTAAATGGGTTGTGACAAAAGAAAGGAGAAGATTATGATCAAACTTTTAGCTAAATGCAAAACTGTCAACAGTGAGAGCTCTTTTAAGTGTTGCTGTGAATTTTTTCGAAATTTTTGGATTTCAAGGGTTAATGATGCGCAATGTATGACACAGGTCATATATCGCAATACTCGTACTATCGTCATTTAGCCTCTCGCGGCTTCACTCCCAGCCTAGTGTCTACCCGCTGCGAACCCTGTAACTCCTTTGGAGATATAGTTCGACAAGTAGCTAGGAGTCAGGAGATAGATACTCGAAGTTACTTAGTCCCGATTCACCTGCATTGGCCGCACCCGCCCTGCGGATCACAAACACTGTAGCCCAGCAGCTATCGTATGAGAGGCTTGAGACAAAATCCCTTTTCGACTGGCGTGACCTACTAACGTTTAATTCATTTGTATGGGAGTGACATTAGACATTATCATGTGACCATTTTCATACAAATTCGCTTAGCGTTAACAGATCACGCCTGTCACAAAGTAGCTATCTCTAAGGCCCCAGAGCTGTCATTTGTAATCATAAAAGTGAGATGACGTGTGTGACGTGACAGAAAATAGAACCTCACCAACAGCAATTGATTTCGTGATATTCCTACATTTCTACGGTTTTAAATTTAGCTTTAGAGTATTTAAGATGTTTATTCGTTTTTCATATATAATACCTCTGCTAATAACCATAGATCTTTGTTGTGGTTTATATTTCCATATAGCAGAAGGAGAAAGAAAATGTTTCATAGAAGAAATACCGGATGATACCACAGTGTTGGGTAATCTTTTGCTAATTTATAAGAAAAAGCAATGTTTAAATACTTAGGCGCGACAGGAAGAAAGTTAAAATTTTAGGTCTACTAAATCCCATTTCTTCATAAAACTGGTTTTCGTTTGTTTTAGTGAATTATAAGGTGGAATTATATGACCCACGCTCAGGGGGATTCATGCCTTCTTCTCCTGGAATTGGAATGCATGTTGAGGTTCGAGAACCAAATGATAGAATTCTCTTATCACGGGTCTACTCATCTGAGGGTATGATTTCATTTACTTCTACATCACCTGGAGAACATGTAATTTGCATGTATTCTAATAGTACATCGTGGTTTACTGGATCTCAATTAAGGGTAAGCTCAAATTTCACTCATTTACTTTAAGAAGAAAACACTTAGAATTACTTATGCACAATTAATGACAGTGCACTACTCATTGGTTGGGAATTAATGAAAGGAATTACTTTAATTATAAATACTAAAACACTTGTTAAAAGGAAAAATCATTTTATTTTGTCTTGGTAATTTAATTATTAGGAGCAGTGTTGACCTGTAATGGCTTTAGCATGCAGCTCTCATCTCTGAAGTTGTTGGTTTGATTCCTGTTGTGCACCCACCAACTTGTTTATTAGAACAAATTATGAAACAGATACAAAAATCTGAGGCCTAAACCTAATATTATATAAATTAAATTCCCTACATTCTCAATAGAAAATTGAGATTGATAGTTTGGTTGGAATTCTAGGCCTCTACTTATACCACACGTTGCCTCGAAACTAGTCTGAACAATCTATGCCATAAATGTTTATAGATTTTTTCCACATTTCTACATAAAGCAAATAATTGTAGGTGCATCTTGATATTCAAGTGGGTGAACATGCTGTTGACTATGCAAATGTAGCACAAAAAGACAAGCTTACTGAGCTGCAGCTCAGAATTAGACAATTGTTGGACCAAGTTCATCAAATTACTAAGGAACAAAGTTACCAAAGAGTAAGTATAAATAGAGCAATAACGAAACTTATTTTACCCTACCTAGTAATATTGTAATAAATTGCAGGGTGCATAGAATAAAACATATCAAAAGCAAAACTTTTATTGTTTTTGACTAAGTTTCTTTATAAATTCTAAATCTCTGTAATATATTTGAAGTTTCCAAGTGTTAGTCAAAAGCGAAGCTCTAATGTTTAAAGGAATATTTTAAAACCTGGGAAGTGAATACTAATCAAAACATTAAAGCTTAACATATTTATGTTTGCAATTTCAAACATTTTCAATAATTTACAGCACCGAGAAGAACGATTCCGACAAACATCTGAAAGTACAAATCAAAGAGTACTTTGGTGGAGTTTACTACAAACTGGTGTTCTTTTAGGAATTGGCTACTGGCAAATGAGGCACCTTAAGAGTTTCTTTGAGGCTAAGAAATTAGTTTAAATTATCTTATTGCTTTATTTGTAAGACAGTTTTCTCATTGATTATAAATAAGGTCATAGTTTGTGAAAATCACATTTTATTTTGTTTCATATATTTTTGTAAATCTGCTGTCAAAATGTTTAATCAATAAAGATAGTGTTTCGTTTGTAATTTTATGAAGATAAAAGAATACATATTTTAGGTTATATGAACAGTATGCAACGCATTCCATTGCATTGTTTGTATAACATCATTCAAGTTTTGTTGAAAAATCCTTTCTATATTTTATTGTTAGGTCAACCTTCTGCCAAATATGTAGATAATCATATTTACATACATACATATTTAATCTTGTATCTTTAAAAGTCTATTCAGTGATTGAAAAAAGTATGTAGGATTAGCTTTTTCTAATGGTTTTAATAAACTGAAATCCATTTGGTCTAAAGTACAAACTAATGTATCGCAAGTGCAATAGAATAAATGACCATCCACTTGCATTTGTTCTGCTAATTCTAGTTGATGATTATCCATAAGATCTTCGTTTACGACTACCAAGAGTGGTTTACTTGCATTTAAAACTTCCAAAACACTGCCAGCACCAGCATGACTAATGACGAAATCGGAATTTCTTATATCATTTTCTATAGTATCTTTAAACCTGTAACAATGTAGTTTCATTCCGTCTAGTTCGTAATCTCCCGTATCCATTTTACTATTTCCAATTTGAAAAGTAATATCCTTGCAACCTGATCTCTTTAAGGCTTGGAGAACAGGAGACGATACGATTTCACTGCAAAGTAAATCAAATCGTGTGGTGCCAACAGTAATAAAACATTTTTCAAAATATTTCGAGGTTGCCATATTGTTTTTAAAACGAGATCAGTACCAAGTACTTAAAAATTGTTTACAGAGTTCTGACACCAATCACCAATATTATAATTTATAGTAGAGCTTATGTCTACCAAACACGACTTATCTATTAAGCAGGAAGAAAAAACTTTGTATTTTGAGTAGTATGGCGTTAATGGAGCAAAAAAATATTTATTTAACGTGATTTCTTATCATAAAAGAGTCACCAAGACTTAACAGATGACTATCAGTGTGACCGTTTTAAAAAATGGCGATCTACCAAAACTACAAGGTGCCAGTACTAAATAATACCAAAACACATGCTGAATTATACTAAAAATATACTAAAAGAAAAAGAGGATTTTTTTTATTAAACCACTTATTATCAGTTACTTTTTAATTTTACCAATTACACACCTTCATTATACAGACATATTCAAATAATAATAAATATTTACAATAAGTTTTATTACAAATACTAAGTCAGTATTCGCTGCACTGAGCTAACTGAGCAGATTTAGTGCGTTTGCAGGAAAGGCCTTTGCGATTTCCGAATCATAAAACATTTTGCTGAATAAATCGCTGAGATGATCCATGGCCCGAGATGGTATGTTCTGCCAACGCTGCATAAAATATAAGCTCTGCTTTTCTTACTTCTTCAGATATGGTTCCTTTGAAGTAATTTATCATCGTTCTGAAAATAAACAGGATTTGATTAATTTGATGAATTTAAATCAATTATACATGTGTGTACAACTGTACATGTACTATCCAAGATTCATCGGACATCCTGTAGAAGTAGGACAATTAATTCATGTGCCATAAAGAATAAGGGACACAATAATCTTATAAATATGTTAATGGGGGCATAGCTTTCTTACCTTGGATTGTCCACTATAATGTATAAGTTTCTATCGATGTTTTTCAGAATATGCATGACTTTTAATTGTAGCGATTCTGCTTAAAAATTTTTCTCCACACGTTTTATACAAGGCGTTCTCATTATTTTTATCTTTTGTCAACCATGACGAAAATTCAGAATTTTGTTTCCACTCAGATCTATATTTCTGATCGTATTTGCGCTTCATTATCTTCACTACACATGCACACAGAGAGAAATAAATAAAGAACTAAAACATCCGTGGTCCCAAAAGGGACCTCATGTATAAAAATACAGCATGTAACGTAGATAGTAATACGTAGCTAAAGCACGATTCGCGAATTTGTTAGCATTAACCGTTCGAAAGAGACAAAATGATACATTAGCGGTAAACATCAGACAAAGACAAAAACATGTCAACGAAATACGAACGAATGGAAGTGAGTGTTTCCCGCCAAGCCCAAAAATATATCAAAATGTGTTTTAAAATGTTGAAAGTTTAAATGTACCAAAAAATACCAGAATATAAAAGGATACCAAAAAAATACTAAATTAGTTACACGGAGCCCAAATTATACCAATTTGGTACTGAATATACTAAAAACGGTCACACTGATGACTATTCAATAAATCTAAAATCAATAATCAATTGACTAGTCACTACTCACTAGTGTTGCCCAATGCCCAGTCCAATAGCTAACTGTAGCAGGGCTGCCAGATGAAAAAAACCATGATCGTACACCAGCTACAAAAAAAATCGTATACCAAGGAAATTTTGAAATGAAAAGATCGTACAACATAAAAGTGGAAAGTTTGCCTTTGCCTAGATGAGTGTAACTTTAAAACTCCATATTCTGAATCCATCTCGACGTCACAAACAATGCACCTGCCTTTAAATTGGTATTTACCGGGCCCTAACCAGTCCTTAAATACTTCTGTGCTCTGTGTGTGTTCCTCTCTGTCGCAGAAAGCTCCTTTTTGGAGTACCTGGCGCAGGTCGCTCTTCTTCATTTTCACTACCCATTCTTGCTTAAGCGTATTGAAGTAACACCAAAAACACTAACGACAACATGCAGATCAAAAGAGGATATAATTAATTATTTATATCCTTTTTAATCACTTAGAGCTCGAGACTGATGAGAAAAACAGGTTTTTCACTATTCCAATACAAGCCTTTATATGAAAAAAGTGTCTTCATTCAAGTAAAATATCTAGGCATACGTTAGGTTGTTGGGAAATTCCCCGAACATTATACTTACCGGAAAAATCGTACATTTTCTGGACGGTCTTGGTCTAGCGATCGTACATAAGCAAAAATGAGAAAAAAAGCACATTTCCCGCTGCGCCCGCGGTCATCTTGTACGGGCGGGCGCGGGTCGCGGCGAGTTGCATCCGCGCGCTCTTGGATCGGTTGGCGGGCGACCGCAGCGAATTTGAAAATAATTAAAGAACTTTTCTTCATCCTTCTTTAACTTATTAATAAGAGTACCATCAATCCATAACGATCTCTTTCCGGATTCAGTGGATGCACCCAGAACCTTTCAGGCCTTCTTTTTTAATTCTTTTGTAAAGTAAGTATAACGCAACAGCTCGTTTCTGGTGTCTGTCCATGGCGGTCTGGAACTCAAGTCAACTGATCGTTTTAACCGCCCGTCTTGCGATAATCAACCGCCAAGTTTCCGGTCTCGTGAGTTTTGAAAATAAAACTCTTTTTCGCCACCGCGGCGGGCGCGGGTGAAAACCGCTTCGTGATCCTTAGCCTCAGTGCTCGTTCAGACACGGCGGTAACCGCGCGATTGTCAGATCGTGCGGTTTGAACCACAAAAGTGGCGACTGTTCAAACAGTGGCGGTTAGTTAGCGATCAGTTTCAAGATGGAAGTCGAAGAGGAATTGCGTGTTTGTAGTTGATACAGAAAATAAAGAAAAGGCAGATTCAGAGAGAATCGACTGACACATGGCCAATTTGTAACACTATATCCCAATTTAAGAATGTTTGAGAGAATTTTTTTTTGACTATTTGAGAATGTCAATAAAATCTTTTGATGAACTCATTGAACTAATCAGGGAAGATATTTCAAGCTCTGAAACACATATGTGGCAAGCGTGTCACCAGAAGAAAAACTCTCCACTTCATCACTAAATAACTCAATGTCGAAGCGATAGCGAGCTCACGCGTGCTCTTGTTATGACGTGTTAATCGCGCGGTGCCCGCAATGCTAATGAACGCTGAGTAAGATCTTCATAGTAATAGGACCGCGCGGGTGCCGCACGATTCTATTTTCTAGCGGTTGAGTGGCGGTTACCGCGCGATTATGTGTGGACGATTATTTACACACCTAAATAAATTAAACCCGCGCGGTTCCCGTGTGATTTACAAACCGCGTGGTTCCCGCTGTGTCTGAACTAGGTCTTACTGTACTGCCAGTCGTGTCAACTTAATTGTGACTAATTTATACCACTGACTGCTGTTTCTAAAATTATGCGGAATTAATTTTCTAAATATCGTGTATATACGTATATTTTTATTATCTAGTTTAAGTTGAGGTTGAATGTTTATATTCCAATCCAATTATATGATCTGGCAGTCCTTATGGAAGATTCAGATTTCAGAAACAAGACAGTTCCATATTTTATTTTGTATCTCAAGTCACAATCTCGTCTTGAGCGCTGTCAAATATGTTAAGATTCATAAAAAAAGTCGTTCTAGAATACGGGCCTTTGCGCTAAAAATGTATTGGATATTGACATATTATGGGAGTCAGTTCTCGCTTAGTCTCATAACTCTCATTAGTCATTTATGAATCTCATCCTAATTTCTTTCCTTTACAAGTATTTTGAAGAGAGTATATTTACGATGAGAGGTTGAAGTTTGTGTAATCAATTTTTATTGTTACTGGAATAGTTATAATAATAAAAAACAATTACTTCTTATGAACAGTATTTATATTTTAAATAAATATGAAAATGGATTGCTATGTAGTGCACCATGCAAGTCAGCGTTAACTACTTTAACCGATGTATGGTGCTGTTGAGATTTTACCTTTGCCCTATTTAATGTCATTATCTGTTTATTTCTATTGTTTTCGCTTACGCGGGCATATAAGTATAAACAATATAAATTTTTACACTTCTGAAACATTAGTTGATAATCATTATTTTCAAAATTCTCTTTGCTTAACTCTACTATATGGACATTTTCTAAACTACTGCATTGACTTAAAAACATGATCAAAGTTCTATGATCTATTCTCTTGCCTAATAATCTGACATTTTTTATTGACTTGCTCAAAGGGATAGATCGAGCAATAGATTTTATATAATTCACACTAAAGTTATCTTCATAGTTTAATGTGTCCAATTGTAAACAGCACCGAAATAATACATTGAAAAATTCACTACTATATGGTATAGAACCTGTTAAGCTTAAATATGTTAATTTGGTTAAAAAGTTAGATGATGGTGATAAGGCTATTGGATTTGGTTTTGAAGAATAGTTAAAGTAAATTGACAACATGATTCTTTCTTTTTCTTTAAAAATGTCATCATAATCAATTATTATACTTGGTTGACCTAATCTTATTTTCTTACAAGAAGGTTCAATTCTATCATTACTATTTGCTGGATTTTCTAAAAGAGGATCCTCATACTTGATGTAAAATCTGTCATAATTATGTGGGACAAGTTCGTTCTTAGTTATGTCAATGCAGTACACAAAATAAGGCTGAAGATGTCTTTGTAAGCGACTAAAGAAACCTTCATTAAAAACATTTGTTTCTTTATTCCAGAATAAAAATACAGCTTTATAGGATGGATAATGCTCACATAAACTTGTTAAAGAACCTGGGTCTTTATTATAATTGTTTTTAATAAAGTCTCTAAATAATGATGTACAATAAATTTGAGTTACACATGATTTTGACATTGTTAGCAAAAAATACTCATATTTATCTATATGGTGTGGAAAATGTGGATTGTTCAAAGATTCTATGTCATGTTCTGTATTAACTGAAGATATTACAATTTCATCAAAACTTATTGGCACCAAGTCACATTCAAATCGTGTATACAGCACATTATGAAGAGGAGAAATACTAAATTTTAATTTAATATTTTTCGTTTTTTGTAACATAAACATAGTATAAGTATTATAAACCAAATTTAGCAGTGATCCTATAAAATGTATGCTTTTAAATTTCTCAAACACATCCTGACACAACAGTAAAATATTCCTTGGTACGTCTTGCAAAGTTTTTAAATTTTTTTTATCAAATATAGAATCAAGAGTAACATCTGTTATAGTAGAACAGTTCTTATAAATTTGTAAAAAGTCAATAATGCTTATGTTAGTATAGGACACATTAATTGTTGTTAAGCACTTTAATCTTCTTACTGCAGATAGTAAAAGTGTTTTATTTAAATTGTTTACACAAGCCAAATTCAGATTTTCTATAAAAGGGGCAATGTCTTTGAAAAATGGTAACTGGAGTATATGTGCTGAAGCCATTCTGTTACAAGACATATTACATTTCTTGATTACTTTAAAAAGACAAATCACATCTCGCGTTCTTCTACAGGTATTATATAAATTATTCACTGAAGCTAGATCCAATTGTTTAATGATAAGTATAAGAATTTCTTCTGGCAATGTAAGTAAGTCACACATTTTTCAGGTCGTAGTCGTCCAGCTTTACGCACTTCACACAGAATGTATAGTCCTTTTCACGAAAGAAGTCCCCCAGACGCGGCGCTGCAATCGCATGACGTAATGTTGCCATTTATGAGTAAAAAATTTACCTATTTTATTTACATTTAGCAGATGTAATTTATCAAATAATACTATTTTCTGCGTACTTCGATGAAACAATATATCTGTTATGTAAAAAGTATATTTTTATTTACTTATATTGCGGTGTTCTACCTACTTACAGGGAAAAGATAAGAAAATAGGGTAAAGAAAAGCAATACAATTGTTTATTCAGAGTTTTATTGCATAATTGTGATCAACGGCCATAGGGACATCACTGTCCGAAGAGTGTATTGAAACAGAATCAGATTCTGTTTCAGTATCACTAGCAGTTGATATAATTATTCGGTCCATCACTTCATCCATAAGGCCGTCATTTTTTAAATATTCCTCCTCTAAATGTTCGACATGCGAGCACTGAGCTGTCCAATCTTCAGCCGTAATAGACTCAAAGGCCTCTTTAGTTAATTTTAATATTTCTTTTGGATCTTGTGCCACGTTCTTATCCGCCACCTTTCTTTTTACAAGGCTCCAGATATTCTCAATCGGGTTGAGGTCACAATGGTAAGGCGGCAACCTTAATACTTCGTGTCCGTGAGCTGTTAATAATTCATCCACTGCAAATATCGGTGGACCTTTATTTTGTTTGATTAGCTCATACAGCACAACTTTTGTCCAGGTGTCTTCAAAATATATACCCTTTTGCCGGAGCCACTCTTGCATACTACTTTTTATATTTGACATAGAAGGGGCTTTGTTTAATTGAGTGCAATGGTAAGGAGCGTTATCCATTACCACAAGCGACCTTTCAGGTAGATTAGGTATTAGTTTTTCCGTCACCCATTTTAAGAAATTTGCTGAGTTCATGTCATCGTGGTAATCTGAGGACTTTGATTGGGATTTGAACATTAATAATGCACCATTTATGAATCCATCTTTTGTTCCCGCATGAGCGATTATCCAGCGACTCCCTGATGATTCTGAGACGAACATTCCTGGCTCCTCCTCACTCTGCCAACAACGTTTTGTATGATAAGTATTGTGTATATAGGTCTCATCTAAGTATACAACTGGTCGTTTTTCCACAGTGCGATTTATTCGTATTTTATTCAAATATCTTGCACGCCATGCGGTAATGTCGTGGCGTTCCATAAGTAGTTTTCGTCTGGATTGACATCGCTTGTACTTGAAACCAATTCTATTTAATATCCTGTGCAATGTTGTGATGCTTCCCTGATAATTGATGTCCTCTCGCAGAGCTGCCCGTAATTTAACCAATGTTGGTAATTCTTTATGTACGACGTAAAAACTGTAAATTTTTTGCCGGATAGCGCACAAATCGAACCCGTCTAAGTCGAACTTTTTCGGATGCGGGCGACTCTTCCCCGGGGTTACAATTTTTTTTGAAGTACACGCCGCTGTTACACCTTCGTTTGTAATTCTTGATACAGTTTTCTCTGACACACCTGCAATTAAATTATGAACAATTAAAAATAATAGTAACTTTAAGTTTATAATGCTTATGTAATATATGTTTTAATTTCAGTTACCTAGTTTCATCACGTTATGTATTTGTTCAATTTTGTCGTAAAAACGAATTTATATTATCATAAAACTCCCATCAATACAGCAAAAAATTATTAAATGGCAACTCTAAAAAGTACCTGTTATGGCGGCAACTCTCTTCCGAACATTGTTTAGTGGTATTAAAACACCTTTATTCTTTTGTTCCGCTTCACAGAACTCTTTCACCTTTAATATCAATTCTCGAGCCGAACTTTTTACAACTTTTGGCATTGTAATCAATATTTAAAATGCACTAAGATAGTTAAAAATTCACAAAAATCTACCACAACAAACGAACTTGATAACATCGACGAATGACAACATTGCCGACCTGTCAAATTTAGTTCCAAAAATATCCGCGGGACTTCTTTCATGAAAAGCACTATACTCTATGACTATTGCTACACAGATTTCTAACGTTATAGTCCAATTGTGACAACAGATAAATATACACTTTTTAGTAGTAGGTATATACATTTTGATTAATGCTAAATAATGATTACCACAGATTACATAAATAGTGATATTAACATACAGGTATTTATTTTTTTTTTGTTAAAAAAATCTCGAATTCATATCGTAGTGACGTAGACGTACATTTGACCCATTCAATTGTCATATGTTTCGAATTCATTTACTACTCTATCTATTGTTGTTAAAAAAAAATAAAAAATGTTTATTATGGAATACGGCAATCGGAATACGGAACATGGCATCCCTATTCCATACTCATCGGCAAAGAAGACAGAGTAGGGATGTGACATTCTGCATAAAAAAAAAATCGATTTTTTATTAATCGATTATTTTTTTAGCATGAAAAATAGATTAATTAATAATCGATTTTTCTTAAAAAAATAATAGATTTTTTAAATAATCGATTATTTTTTCACATCCCTAAGACAGAGGGTGTAGGCCGAGAGAAAAAGCTGGCGTAAAAACTCTCGGTACTCTTTTAAAATAGCAAATCATCAAACAACTCTTATTTTAAAACTTATAAATATCGCAAATTACTTAGAAGTAGCACGTCTCGCACTAGTCCCAGGTCCTTTTATCAACTAGATAATCGTTAATTACTTTATAGTGCCTAAGACTTTTTACACAGCTTTTCTTTAATTTTCTTTTAATTTAATTTATTAAAAGAGCCTCTGGGATTTCATTAAAGAAGAGTATCCCTTTTCCCAAAAAATAATTATTTACTTTAGATAGTCTAGTACAGGGAAATTGCAGCCTGCGTTTGTTCCGAGTATTAACATTGTGCGTATGTTCTATTCTAGTAAACATATCACTATTTTTATATACATACATAATATTTACATAAATATATTGCGAGGGAAAGGTAAATATATTAATTTCCTTGAATTTATCTCTCAGAGATTCCCTACACTTTAAATTATAGATTGCACGAATAGCCCTCTTCTGCAGGATGAAAATAGGTTCGCCATCAGCAGCATGACCCAATAATAATAAGCCAGGTAATTTGACGTATACTCGTTAGAAGGTGATAGGGATGACTAGTGATATTTAACGCCCATATGCATTATGCAAAAAAGAACCATTTTTGAGTTATCATGTGTTTTGGCTTTGTTTTTAAATAAGTAAAAAATACAACATCAAAAATTTATTAAAAAAAATATCTTTTATGGTTATGCAATTGGCGACTTTGGAAAGTCGAGTGGAGTTAATCAGTTCTTATTATAATAACTCCTCGTGATGCTTTTGTTTTATCAATGTAGTAAATGTGTGTGTTCCTTTAAGACTTTATGTATTTACATTTGTATTCTAAATAATTTCATATTTTGTAGAGTGAAAAAAAAGAGATATTGTTGATTACCTTTATTGAAAGTTACAATTTAATTTACATAATTATAATGCTACAATATTTCGGGCTACGTTACCTCCTAAGAAAAAAAAACCGTTTTTTTTTCTACGCTATCGAAATATAAAATTATAAAGGAAAGTTAGCCCACGTTTAGTCACAGTTTCAATTCAAATTCCATGGTTGGTAGTTGGTCACGCCTCTAGCAAAGTATTTTTGTCTCTCACGTTGCATGTAAATCGAATAACTTAATTACACATTAGCAATAGCAGGAATAACAGCTTCATATGTTTTGATGCCTTCTAAGAACACAGATATTTGTAGACTTTCATTATGTTCATGAAGACCTGGTGGTGTACGTCGCATCGGCGAAAATCCTAAGGCGGGAACGCCTGTTTTACGAATAAAACGAGAGTCAGTGCCACCAGGAAATGTGCGAAGGTCCAATGGAATATCTCTGAAAACACCATTCCATATTTAAGTAGTAGTTACCGATTATAACTCTCCTATGCACTACATTCTATTTTTAATAAATCACTTTACTTACATTTTAAATTTCGCCTTTATACATTTAAATACAAAGGCAGGCTATTTACTATATGATGAATTTCTCAAATATATTTTGCCCTTTAATAATAGGTATTTTTTTATGTAATAGGAGGCAAACGGGCAGGAGGCTCACCTGATGTTAAGTGGTACCGCCGCCCATGGACACTCACATTGCCAGAAGGCTCGCAAGTGCGTTGCCGGCCTTTCAAGAAATGGAACGCTCATTTCTTGAAGGACCCTAAGTCGAATTGGAACGGAAATTGTTCAGTGGTTCCACATAGAGGTGGAGCGCGGCAAAAACTGCCTTAGAAAACGCTCATTTGTGGAATGACGGACGATTTTTTTATTTTTTTATTTTTTTATAGAATGGGGGGCAAACGGGCAGGAGGCTCACCTGATGTTAAGTGATACCGCCGCCCATGGACACTCTCAATGCCAGAGGGCTCGCGAGTGCGTTGCCGGCCTTTTAAGAATTGGTACGCTCTTTTCTTGAAGGACCCTAAGTTGAATTGGTTCGGGAATACTTCAGTGGGCAGCTGGTTCCACATAGTGGTGGTGAGAAATACCTGCCCGGCCAGTGTTAAAAGTATTCCCAGTGCTGTCGTCCGCATAGCAATGAATGTTGCTAAGTTGCAACACATCATTGATATGCAGAATAAACAGGATCGGGGATAGGATACAGCCTTGTGGGACACTAGCATTGACGGGTTTAAGGTCGGAGCATGCTCCGTCGATGACGACCTTGATGCTCAGATCAGCGAGAAAGCTGGAGATCCAGTTGCATAATTTCTCGGGGAGCCCATAGGCTGGAACCTATGAGAGCAGTGCTCTTTGTCATACCCGATCGAAGGCTTTCACTATGTCTAAACTTACCGCCAGCGCCTCCCCTTTGGATTCAATTGCCTCTGCCCACCTATGTGTAAGGTGTACAAGGACCACAACGAAAGCCGTACTGAGAAACGCTTATCAGCTGGTGGCCCTCTAGATACCTCAAGAGCTGGCCGTTAATAATGGTTTCATATTATAATACAAAAGTAGTACTATTTATCAATAGTAGGAAATGTTATTTACATATAAACACTTAGGATAACGTAGAAATATACTTACAGTTGTTCAATTGTGGTCTTAAATGCCATCCAGTAGCCATTGGAGGAATCAGTAGGAGTTGGTAAGACATAATCATCCTTTTGAACGAACTCGTAGGTTACGTTTGCTCCGGCTTTCGTACACCAATCCTTAATCTATATGTATCACAGAATATAATTACTATTGTCGTTTAAAATTATTAGGCTTCTTTAATTATTATAGTACGATAAATAAATAATGATTAATTGGATTTTACAATTCGAAATAATTTATCATTAAAAATCGTTTGAGAGGCAAGATTTATTAGGCAATAATTTTATTAAATTAATAAGTTTATTTTATTTAATAAATTATAGTATAATTGATTAGTTAATAAGGTTTATTACTATTGCAATCTTACCATATTTTCAAACTCGACGAAATCAACGGACAAGGCTAAACGCAAATCGAAACTGACGGTTAGTTTCTCAGGAATTACGTTTTCTTGAATGCCACCCTAAAAATGCGCTTAAATTAAATAAATTCCATAGTACGAAAATAAATAAATGATAGATTTAAGAGCGAATTCGTACGACGCAGAGGGGACCACATTTTCAGATATTTCATGACACATTTTAGTTAATATCCTGAAAGCTACTGGATAACAAAATCCATCCAATTTAGTGACAGATCTGAATCATTTGACACCTCCATCACCAAGATCAGTCAGTTTTCATGTCGATGAAGATGATGATATTAATTTATCCCTAATGGGAAAGGCAAAGAAGTTTTCATGTCGGCTAAAACTTAACGTCGTTGCAATATTTTTAATTTTTAAAATATGTCACAATTAAATAGTTCTACTTTCAATTAAGTATTGTTTACTTGAGATATATTGCATGTTAAGTAGTAAAAACAGTCTGTAAAGTTACGTTACCTTAAGCATTGTTAGATTGATGGACGTTATGTCCCCGATCGTTAATTGAGGGTTTTCTTCCAATTTCTTTTTAGACTCTTGACGAAGGTCCATGAACTTGTCTATGATGAATCGCATCTATATAATAAAAAAAACATCTTTGTTTAGAAAGGTTGAAAAAGGTCTCATAACCGTTCTGTAATCGCTTTTTTACTGGCTTAGATTATGTAAATTAAGGTTAAACTCCGCTAATCCGTCTGCACAGAGTCGTCAGTACTTGTTACTCTATGCAGGCGGAGCAGTAAATAGAATTGGACAAGGCGATCTTGTTGAAGCCTTATTCGTGTGTCAGCTTGTAAATGATTCTTAGTTTCTTAATGTAAGTATGACTATACGTTACATTATTAAATACAAAACTATTTCTATTAGTAATTAGAGCATTAGTGGCGTTAACTAAGACTCCATTTACCTTTTCACCACAATTGTCCGGCAACAGTAGAGAGCCGTGACCGGACATTCCGGGACAAATTACTCTTACATCTGTGGACAGGACGTAATTTTATTCGTATTTTCTTTTGCAGTAATTTAATCAGTACATAAAGAAAGAGATATAATTATATTTGTTGAGAATTATAAATTTAATATGAGAAGCAGTATTTGAAAGTATTTTTATATTTTATGAAAACTTACGCCAAATGCTTCTTTCTCCATTGTATACAACGTAATGATCTGTGGGGCTAGCAAGACCCTCGTCTAGTGCAAACCCGATGTTTAACTTTTTATAATGTTCGGACTTGACAAATTGCGCCATACCCTGATCTCCCCCGACTTCTTCGTCTGAAAATTTGAATAAAACTAAGTAAAGTAGTAGTAAAAAATATCATTAAGATCAATTCCTAAATCTTTCCTAGATCAAGAAATGATTTTAGATTGCGTTTATTTTGCGTTTTGGCGCCGTTCATACGTTTTGTAGTATTTAATACGTTGAATTCTAATTTAAAAGATTTTTACGTCACATAAAGTAGGTAGCCTATAAACATTAACGTATTAAAACACAATCTTGTCTTAAATATATATATATATATATAGGAACAAGAAAAGGTTTCAAAAACGTTTTTAAATGCTTAGTTTGCTACACAGCTAACATCAATGTAACTCTTACAGGCTAAACATATTATGATAGATAATATACTTTTAGGCATTTTCATATACCTGGAACAAAACTCAAGTGTATTGTGCGCTTAAAAGTAATTCCTTTGTTTTTGAGTCGTTTTATTGACTCTAAGTACTGTACAGCAACAGACTTCATGTCCTGCACACCTCGACCGTAAATCACTCCGTCAACTACGCGACCTTCGAATGGTGGGTATGTCCAACTTTTCTGAAATTGTTGCAAAGCAAAAACATTAATAATTTTTATTTATACATTTAAATTATCCGATATATGACTTTATTTATAAAGAATTATTGCAGTAGGGTAGCTACTACAATTTCAATTATAAAATATGTAAACCGAAATGACAAGTCGTTCTTGATAAATAAGTCCTTACTTCAAACACAGGTACAACGTCCATATGCGAGTTGAGGAGAATGCTCGGAAGGGCTGGTTCCTGGCCTTCCCAGGTCATTACCAGTATAGGTTTATGGGGGACCACCTCAAAAACTTGGACCGGTAAACCCAGCTGTGCGGCTTGACCTCTAAGATATACCAGACATTCCTCTGAAAACATTACTTATTGAATAATATATACAAATGTATGCTTGTGCGTACTTTAACACATTTATGGAAAGACGGGTGAACATAAATAAAATTAACAACACAGCTATATAATAATTGTTTCCTTAAGTTTAACGTTTAATTATCGTAAGGGATTTAGTCATTTAATGCACCTATGTATTCTTGTACTTCCAAACTCTATTGTTTTTACACATACAGGCGATTTTATAGAAAAGGCCATCATTCAAATAATAATTATAAAACTTCAACTACAATTTCTTACCATAATTTACATTCGGATGAACGCTTTTTATTCGTAGATATTCCTGAAGATTGCGGACGGCTTCATCATCGCTCGCCACGTTTCCTTGAGTGGACGGTAATAATCCATTTGTAGCCATCATCTTGCCAACTAACAATGCAATTGGTTAACAGTATATAATTCTAATGTTGAGTATTTTAATTAATTTGTTCATATTTATATAATGATAAATAAACCTCAAAATAGGTTAGGGGACGTTGGTTGCAATCGGGACATTTTATTAATTTTTTAATAGGTGAAAATAATATTGTTTCGATGTTAAAGTAACAAAAAAATATTTATCTTTATATATTTAATTCTACTGTACGTATGTATGTCACTGTATTCCTCTTAAACGGCTGGACCGATTTCAATCAATTTTTTTATATGTACATTTTTTGTACGTTTATCTATACAGCAAATAAACAGCTGGTATAAATATAAATCTTCTGTGCATGTTTTCGTAATTAAACTCCTAAACGGCTGGACAGATTTTGATGAAATTTTTTGTGTTCAAGTGGAGTCGAGAATGATTTACATTATTCGATATTTTTTTTTGTATGTAAGACGTGTCAAGTATGGTTAATGCTGCACACTCCCTCGAGAGGTGTGAGCTTTTGCTCGTTCGGGGCGTAGGCCCCCTTCGTGGTGTTTATATTCGCCCCCTACTGATACAGGGCGGCATGGGGGCGGTCCTGTAGCCCTTGGTGGGGGCTGCAGTGCGCGAGGAGACATGGGCTCTACTCGCTGCGCGCAGCCGATGTTGGGGTCATGTCCGTGGTGTCAATCCGGTGGTGAGGGGCTAAGAAGTAATCTCTACTTGGCCCTGGTGTGATGTAAGACGTGTTGACAACGTGTGTCGGATCCGCTAGTGTTATATTTATATTATCAATTAAATTGATTATATATTTTTGTAATATATATTAGATTTTTTCTCGCTCCTGCATTTTGTATCGATAATTTAATACACAAAGATATAGAAGAGATTGAAGAAATGAAGGCATTGTCAAAACAGCAGCATTGTATTTTGTAGAAAATTCGACCATCCACGCTTTAAATTACATCCATCAATTCTATAAATGGATTTTTGGGCAGTACAGTGTCTATTTACTTTTTAAGTTAGATTGGGAAATTCTGAGATATAGTATTAACATCGATGAAAAAAATTAAATTCATTATTTTGTACGCATACAAATAATCATAAAGATAACTCTGAAAGCTGGATATATAATAAACTTTTAGAGGAGTCTGTGGTATTCTTTTATTTAATATCTATATATATGTATAAGCTGTGTGTGTGTTACTTTAATATATCCTACTTTTCTTTATAAACGCGAAACGAGTAAATAAGACATTTCAGACAAATTTTGAAGAGGATTACGATTAAATATGAAGGTAGTGATATGTGCTCTAAGTTCTAACTACAGACTTCAACTACTAACCAATTGGCATAACTTATACCCTTACTACCCCAGTTTACCCTATACATATATGTAGAAGTATCATAACCATTTAGTTGTTTGTTATGCGGTATTATCTAGTCACCGCTGATAAAATGCTCCTATCAACCACAAAGTATCAGTGGTAAAATATATATAGGTACCATAGACAGAGAAGTACTTATTTTTTTATAGAACAAACGGGCAGATGGTTCATCTGATGTTAAGTGGTACCGCCGCCCATGGACACTCTCGAAGCCAGGGGGCTTGCGAATGCGTTGCCAGCCTTTAAGGGATTGGAACGCTATTACCTTGAAGGACCCTAAGTCGAATTGGTTCGGAAGTAGGCAACTGGTTCCACATAGTGGTGGTGTGCGAAAAAATTGCCTTATATAACGCTCAGTTGTGGAATGACGGACGTCGAGGTGATACCGTTGGAATTTTGTATTTTGCCTCGAGGTCCGATGATGAAACTCAGCTGTATTAACCCGAATAACTCCGTGATTTTGTAAAGAACAAGAGATTGTAAACAAAAGATTTACCTCACATTATATCGTCTCAATTTTGACACATTACATCCATAACTTATCTATATATAATTGATGGAAATAAATGAAACGGACAGACAATTAGGGCACACGATACGCTGCAGGTAATTGTTTTGCATTGTTAATGTTTGACCTTTAACAAATCACATTTATAGGCTGAATTTTTAGGTTGAGATAAAAATAGTACCTACATATGTAAATAATATATGTATTTAATAAAGAATAAAATAACTTATTGTGAATTTATTGTGTTTATTATAATGAGATTGGCGAAGATTTAAAGACATAATTTCATACTTATATCAATAGACTGAGTAATTGAAAAATTATTACTTTAGCAGACATCGTCAGACTTAATCTAAAAACCTATGTATATCTATAACAGCGATATATTATGAGTTACAACTATAGATATATTACTTTAATCAATCACAACCATCCTATATAATCCTAGTCTTCTACTGTACGCATTAAGTGTTGATATGGGCGCGTTTTCATTTAGTACATTTCTATTCATAAAGCTGTAAATAACGAATAGAATTTTTGATTAAAAACAGGTGTTTCTCAATTATGACAGGCGTGTTAGTGTCACAGTATCGGTTTGAGCTACGAAATGCAATTATGGTTCGTGATTTTGTGTTTATTAGGCCGCGTTGCTGCGGAAGATTATCCCTCCCTCATAACTTCAAATGCATCCATAGGTAAGATTAAAATAGCCATATTTTTAATAATCTAAACTAATATTTAAAAAAATTATATGTATATTATGTAAGATTGGTTCCGTGCCTGCCATATGTATACTAAACTTGCAATTTTTATTAATATAATAATAAAATAAAATAGAAATTTAAACAAAGCTGCGTCAAAACGCTTTCTCAATTTTTAATTCAACTTAAGTAATTGTCATAAATTACTTTCAGCATTTTTGTTTCTAAGTAGTCTAGTCTAGTATTCATAAAGCTTAGCCAGTCATTTCTTTTAACTTAGTCTACCTTCCCAACACGATTAAATGTTCTGTGTTTTGTCGTTGATTCTTTATTATTCGTTCTTTTTTAATTTAATTAAAATATTTACCAGCTGTAGTTCTGGATCACCAGTTCCTCAAGGATCAGTACCAGGGTATAACGGACGAGTTGAAGGATTACATCAAAGAACTAGCACGGGTTAAGCTTAAGCATGGTGGAGTAATTGTGCATTATTACTCTTGGACTGCCATCAATCTGAAAAAAGGTTGTTTCTCATTATTATGCCAATTAACAAAACGTATAACTCTCAAAGTTTATAAGAGGTATCGGACACTTAAGCTATTTATTAAAATCTTCCTAAATGGGTTCCCAAAATTGAATACTTAAAAAAGACTTAGAATTTTGTAGCTGACGGAGTTTTAAACTCAGGATTTAATGGGAACTATAATTACAATATGGAAAATTGTTTTTAATACGGAAGTTATATTAATCGCTTAGTCCCGACTACCGTAGTTTAGGTACATAATTATTATTATATTTAATTATACTATTAAAGATAATGACGAATAAGAATACGTCTGTTAATATAGAATATCGGAAACGTAGTGCAATTGCTGTCTATAATCTTCATCTAGCCAAAAGTATTTTGGAATCCGGTACATGATGATTTTATTAACGTGCCATACACAAACTATCAGTGATAGATATGACGTATAAATTTCAGTATTTTAATCATCTAAAAAAAACCAGCGGTGCTACAACCTTTTTTTAAAGTCTGATCATCAGATTTCTATTTCTGTTTCATTATCATTTGTCAATCTCATAGACAAGTAGGTGATCCTGTGCTTGACACACGACGTCGACTGTTTTGGTCGAAGGCTAGCCGATTTCCTCGCGATATTTTCTGTCACCGTTCGAGCGAATGTTTTTTGCGCACATAGACAGTAAGTCCATCGGTGCACAGCCGGGGATCGAACCTATGACCTCCACTGAAGCCACTACGCCAACACTGCTCACAATCAATCATCTATAAAACTTTTTAATTTTTCTAGGATTTCTAGCGGTATTTAGCGTCACTTCATGCGAAGACACTTGGTCATTATTTAAGCGAGTTCAAGATGAACAAATGCTTTTTTTTGCTCTTACCGAAGTAGATTGCCCGCGGCTCCCATCCAATGCTGCTATCACTGTCACGTCTTCTGATACCGGTGAAGAACTTCCCCAAATTGTTCTTGATCTTCGCACTGAAAAGGCGTTTAATTGGAAATCCGCTATTCTTCTCCATGACAATACTTTAAGTATGTTTAATATTACTACCATAGTATTAATTTCAAAAATATGGCATAATTTTGAAAAAAAAAATTGTAAGTAGGTACGTGACACGACTTATGTAGTACATGATCAAATATGTAGTTTACGTGTCTATAAACAAGGCAGAAGTAAATTTTTTTAAGAAAATGAGCTTCTTTCCATATAATTTTCTTTAGTATTAGTGTGTGTTCATGTTTTGTTTTCGAGTGGTACTTTTCCCTTTTACTGGAACTGCCTGAAATATTAATATGACACATTTGTAACTTTAAGGTCGAGACATGATATCTCGAGTGGTCCAATCCATGACATCGCAAATAGACGGTAAACCTTCCATCTCCGTAACCTTAATAAAAATGAGACATGAGACCAACGAGTATTTAAGAAGGAAAGAGATTTACAGAGTATTATCCAAACTCCCAGTTAAATATATAGGTAAGACTGTGTTTTCGTGCTTCCCTACTGCTAAAAGGAGTTTGCAACGCCTTTTTTAAAAGCGTTGTTTTAATTATTTAGTCTTTTATCTATGTATTCTAAATTGTTGTATTTTTATTTTAGTTGTGTTACACATACCTTTATAAAAAATATTGTCTGTGAAACAATTCTTGTATTTGTGATGCGTCTGCCATGTTTACTTAATAATAAATAAATAATATAATAATAAAGCGCCTTATTTTACAATTAGGCACAAGAAACTAACACATCAAAAACCATTTTAAACTATTACCATTCGAGTCCACACCTTTTAAATTTTAATAGTTTATACATTTCTTAGTAACATTTTTAATTTCATTTTGCCGCATTACAGATAAAATATTTAGTAGGCACTAGGTAGTCTGCACTGCAGACCCGAATAAATGCATAAGCTGCCAACAAAAGTAATCACAATCAAAAATACACGTTCTAACGTTGAACATTTAAAAATGAATGCGATATTTATTTACTTCACTACACTTTATCTGTAATACCCAGCCTGTAGCTTGTACTACTGGATTTGGCTGATAAATTAAGAATCTTAAACCAAGTGTGTATATGTTGGCCTGTTGATACGAAAGCCTCATTAATTATTCATTGAAAAACAAAACAAAAGCAAATGATCAATACCAAACTAAGTAACCAAATAAAATTAATGAGTCAGTAGTGTCAAATGAAGTGTTTTTGTTTTAATTGTTGTCTTAATTTAGGAATAAGTTATGTACATTTGACATAACTAAACCATATCTTGTTGTACTCAACCATTTAATAATATTTGTAGTATTTGTCTATAACAGTGTCTAAATTATAGGTATGTCTTATTCTTACTACAACGACGGACATTTTACAATTTCCCTATATTACTTGGGATTATTTTTAGGTGAAAATTTCATAGTCATAGTAACGACAGACACTATGACAACAATGGCTGAAGCTGCGCGTGATCTTCACATGTCACACACTCTTGCGCAGTGGCTGTATATCGTATCAGACACAAATAGACGGAATGGCAATCTATCCACATTGATCAACGAATTGTTTGAAGGAGAAAATATTGCTTACATTTATAATAGGACCGATGATGGGACACACTGTCAGGTACTTTTTTGTTTATACATAACAAATGACTTGCTTGATAAAATGATCATTTTTTAAGGCAGTTTTTGCCGAACCAATTTGAGTTCTTCAAGAAAGGAGCATACTAATTCTTTTGAGGCCGGAAACAAACTTGCGAACCCTCTGGCATATAAAAAAACTACTTTCAATGCAAATGATCAGACCTAAAAAGGTTGAAGCGCCACAGATTTTTTTTTACTTTCATTGCAATAATACAATTGATGCGTAAATTTGGTTAAAAATAATAAATGGTTTAATTTTAAATAATACCTTCCACTTAGGAAGAGATCGATATGCTTGTTTGAAATTTTGATTTATATGTTATTGCATGTAAATAGTATTTTATTCGTATTCAACTTGTGATTCAGCTCATACCTGGAGTATAATACATTGGTCAACAAGTTCCTTCTCAGTACATGCGACACTTTGAATAATAAAAAAATACACCTTCATTTTTTTATATTACTCGACGTTTCGAGTGCTTTTCAGCAATTATACTCAACTAGAGAGAGAGAATCATTTATTATGTACATATTTATGTAAAAATATTTTAGAATGGAATTCTATGTTACTGCAAGGAATTGATGGATGCGTTCATATTAGCTTTGGATGCTGCAGTGCAGGAGGAGTTTGACGTTGCAGCACAGGTTTCAGATGAAGAGTGGGAAGCCATTCGGCCTGATAGACTGCAGCGGAGGGACATGTTATTAAGACATATGCAGGTAGGAATTTATGTGTACTGGGCAATGAGGTACACGTTAGACGGGTGTTAATATGATGAATATGGGGTTAGTTACAATGGTTACCATATTTTTGACTCAATTAAAGTTTTTTTTTTAATTTGGTACCTACACAATATTAGGACAAACACACGATACAACAAACAAATTGACGTACACAGAAAAATATCAAATCCATGTCGACCCTACAACATGTGAACACGACCAGCGCAATCAAGTACAAAAACCAGTGATACAAACAGCAATAAAAAACATGTGTGTGTACACACGTTAGAAGTTAAACTTCTTTGGCGTAGCAAGATAAAAATCTTTTTAAAAATTTTATATTTCGCCTTATTCTAACGTTTGTAGAAAAAACGACACTAACAATAGTAAAAAATGTATTTAATACGTTGAAAGTTTTATTATAACGCATGATCTAGTTATGTAAAGTTTATTTAAATATCACAAAAATATTTTTTTTTTTTAAATGTTGAGTATGCTAACTTCAGGGTGTCGGTTTTTTGTGACGGTGTGCGCGCGCATCGTAAAAATTTACTCTCATCATTTTTCCGTAACGCGCCAAAAGAAGTATAACTTCAAAAATCTATACAAAACTAAACTATGAAAATCAAGAATGAATTGTCGGTAGCGTATCCTAATTCTACTCTATACCGAGGCTAGATAGCCATGAAACAAGTCAAAACTCTGTGCAATGACATTATGGTAGCGACCTATTAATTGTAGAGTTTCTGCCAAAGTTTGTTTCATGATGTGGGATGTGAAAACATCTTCCATTGAAGAAACCACCTACCCGTGGACTTGTATATACTATATACTTTCTATTTTTTTTAGTTTAAAAAGGTATAACAAGTCGATGTTTGATGATGAAATTTAATTTATCCACATATTTATGTAAAATTGCACGTTTATTGATATTTGATAATAAATGTTTCAGTTTAAAAATAAATATTGTGAACATAAATAAAATATATCGATTAATCATGCTTTTAGCAACATATAACAGCACATAGCAAGTGCGGCAACTGTACTACTTGGCAAGCACTTGCAGCTGACACTTGGGGTGCGACAGAAGCACAGATTTGACCAGCAACAAAGATGATGATAATGTGACAACTGTTATTGAAAACGTCGACTTGCTTCAGGTCAAACTAATAATATACCCTATTACTAGCTTTTACATGAGGCTGGAGCGTAATAATTTACCACAACTTTACAATTTAAGTTAAATTGAAAAGGCGTGTTGAAACTGCACATGAATTTGTTTGTTGTTTATTCCATCTATGCCCAGTTCGAACCCACGGTCTTGGTGAAGAATCATGCGCCTAACCACCAACTGGACTTACATTGATGTCATAGACAAATTAATTTGTATTACGTATCGTTATCGTTGAAACAAGCAAGGTTTAAAAAATTAGTACTTGTGATACGTGTAAAAGTTTTGCATTTATACTTAAGCAAAGTTTTCTTGTCGTCGCTAAGTCGATTCAGTTGCACTATTATAGCGTCGTGTCATTTAAGAATTTATTGATAATATGTACCATCATTGGTATAACTCGGAGGTTCGAGTTGGCTGGCCCAAAAGGCTCTGGGGCCCAGCCCGAAGAGTACATACTTGTTTATAATTTGTTTAATTTACATATAAATCTTTATACAAGTAAGTTTTAAAATTTAAAATTTATTATAAAGTTTTAAGCAATAAATAATTTCAGGTTGCGTTTTGGCGCCCAATAGATGGATTTATGTTTGAGGATGCATTGTTTCCGCATATACAACATGGTTTCCGTGGCAAAGAATTGTCTATATTGACCTACCATGTAAGATATTATTATATTTAAAATTGTATTATAATTTATTACCAAAAGTATCACGGAAACGCGCTGTCCAAACCGTCGCAGATAATGTTTTCCTGAAAATGAATTTACCTCCGATCTGATTTTAAAATCGAAATTATAATATTATGAATATAATTGAGTTGAAAATGTAATACGTTGGCAAAAAATATAAAAAATACTATATTTAAAAATAATGACACACGATTTTTTTTCTCGAAAGAGAGCAGGGTTTCACACGAAGTACTGTTTGATTCTTGCGTTAATTATTGTACATTTCATAATTTACAATTAAGTAAATGCATTGTGTAATGTGTTTTTTTAGAATCCGCCATGGACTATATTGGTGACAAATGCATCGGGGGCTGTCGTAAATTATGGTGGTCTATTATTCGATATAATTGGACAATTTGCTAAAAGTAAAAATTTCACGTAAGTTCACAATGTTAAAAAAATAAATATATCATTAAATTAAAATACCATACTATTATTATCAAACGATAATTGTCTTGCAAGTGATAAATACACCTTTCCCTCGTAGAATACCCCTTACAAAATTGTGAAAAGACAGTTTAATAATCATTCCAAAAAATATTGTTCCTAAAATTTATTATAACATTTATTACAGAATCCGTATCGTCCTACCGGGGCATGTGAAAGAGGAATCTTCGAATGAAACATCTACAGATGTAAGTCTTGCTAAACTATTTTTGGTATTTTGCCAACTTGTCTCAAGCTTGTTTGCATTCTGATCTGATATTGTGCCTCTAAAACAAACTTTTGGCAAATGATATTCATATTTAAATATGATTAAGGAATTGTAAATTATATATTTGATAAAAGTATTAGCAAACCGGCCAAGCGTTGCTGTGGCTAGGGTTTTAGTTATATTACATAGTAGTAACCTATTCAAGGGAAACGGTAGGAGAACACCAGTAATGGGGACCACCATGCTTTTTTGGTGGTAATGCGATTAAATTGTAGCTTATTTGGTACTTTCAACACAGCGCCATCTGTTAGAATTGTGACTATCAAATAATAAACAAATATTTTGATTGAGATGTAATCTAGGATAGATCTTTTAAGTTAGATCAAACTACACACGGTGTGCAAATTTGATTGATATCGGTTCGGTAGTTTAGAAGTCCATAGCGGACAAACAACGTGACACGTAATTTATATATATTAGATTGATTAAAGTTCTGTCCATTAAATAATAAAACAATTATTTGTAGTTCTTGGCGGGAAGTGTGACAGTCATGAGATTTTCTGAAAATTAAATTTCCTTGTATCTATAGACCCCGTAAATTGGCCTTTGGCCCAAGGTAGCAAGTGCATATAGACACTGTTTTATCTCGTTGTATTTACTTATGTTTATGAAACCTTACTTGTGTTGTACAACGAAATGTTTTTTATAACGGATTAAACGGAATAGTTTAATAAACGAATAGGCATTTATTTATTAATGTTTTTAATAAATAGTTTTGAAATTTTTAGCTTACTAGTATACATCTAGGATACGAAATCAATACATTTTTAAGCAGTTTTGCCGTCTTCTTATTTTTCTAACCGTTTGAAAAGTAGAGTTGTTTTGTTGGATTGTGAATAATTATATTTCTAGCGTGTTTTTATGATTTGGTCATTTTTAAGTAATCTGGCGTAAACAAAACACGACGAGTTCCTCGTGAATGGCATTATTATGCAAACGAAATGGCAATATCAAAAAATAGATTTCCGCTTCAAGTTTGCGTGGATATTAGATAATTATGTTTAAAATTTTCCATCATTATAATATAATCTCACTCTAAAAAGACGTCAGTTTTTAATTTATATAAAGACATGTTTTTTGGATGTGCTTTAAACATCTCATTAATGTCTTTAGCTTGTTACTTTCAGTAGATAAACAGGTACTTACAGGTAATTATTTATTAAAACAAAAAAAGTTTGCCAACGGAGATTACAACTATAATAAAAAAAACTGACTGTTCACCTATTAACAGAAAAACAGCATTTTTACTTAATAACTATTGTTAACATAGTTCTTACAAACTATAAATATGTGATCTATAAAAAGAGGGATCTAAAAGATAAGTTATAGCAAAATTTCGGAAGTGATAGCTTTGTAAAACTGTGAGTAAGAGAGGTGAAAGGGATCAATTACAGGGGAAAATTTACTAGCTACTTACACAATGCACATCCTAGACGTAGCAGCGCAAGAACCTAGGACGGTTCTGCGAAAGGGAATTGCTGATGGAGATTTATTTTAAAAATATTTTGCAAATAATTATAGCATATGTTACTCAAGGGTATTAAGCATTTCAATGGATAAATAATTGTTTAAGCAGCTCAGTCGTTTTTTTTTCAAATTCATTGTTACAAACATATAATGATGTGGAAATTCTTTATAGGAATTGTACAGATTTAGTTATTGCTTTTGTAAATTATCTTTCTAACGGCTATAAGGATATTTTGATATATTAATAATAATTTTTGGTGAGAATGACCATAAAAAAAGGATTTATAAAAGGACTATTTTCAGATGATGCACAGTACAAGTGCAAGGTTGACGTTATCAGCAGTCGCAAAGGGAAAAGTGGCTTTCGCCGCTGCAGCTTTCTCAATCTTATCTGATCCTCCACCAGGTAATTTTTTGCTATGTTATTTTATTTTATGATATGTTAAGGCCTAGCGGCTTCAGAGTACGACTCTCATCCCTGAGGTCGTAGGTACGATCCCCGGGTGTGCTTGGTGAACTTTCTATATGCGCATTTAAACCTCGCTCGCACAGTGACGGAAAATATCGCGAGGAAACCGGCATGCCAAAAAGTCGACGACGTATGTCCGACACAGAAAGCTGGTTGCCAACTTGACTATTAGAGAAAAAAAATAAAACGAAACGGACCACTGGTTTTTTAGCAAGCGTATGTAGCCAGATGGCCTTAGAAGTACTGAAATAATTTTAACAAAATTTATATTTTTCCATAACCCCCTCAGTGTCACAGTAGTACCTATAGAAAATAAGTTAAGGGATTCAAGATTTATTGTTCCAAAGCCTCTCCCCACATTCTTACATCACTATGTCAAGTACTCCGCAGGACTTATATCCTCTAAATAAGATGCTTGTTTAGGCTATGTCAAAATTGAATGGTTGGTTCGAGAAAGTTCACAAACTAAATTATAATTAGATTTTCATTGTAGCACTCGCATTTACATTGTAGCAGTCCCAACACGTAATGCACTGCAATAAAATACTTTTAATACATCCCTGGACTATAAATGTTTCGCTTAAAATAAAACGGGAAATTTAAAACTGGAACAAATGGGCTCTGATGTATTGCTTAATATAAAGGATCCGTTTCAATTAAAATTTATTCACAACCATGCCTTCTCATGCATCCTTTTTTAAGGGAAGTTCTTATCTAATATGATAATATATATGAACAACAAAACAAGAATTGTATGCCTCCTTCGGGTTTTAAGATCGGTCGGTCAGTTAAGCAGCTTTAACAGATACCTTCATTCACATACGTGGCTGTATTTATACAACACAAGGCAAATATGTGAATGCTTTAAGTGTCAATCAAAGGAAACCTTTTAACTTTGTATTTCATTTAAGGTATAAACTACACAATTCCTGTGAGTATTCAGCCGTACGCTTTCATGATAGCACGTCCTCGAGAACTTAGCAGAGCGTTATTATTTTTACTACCATTTACAACCGATGTAAGTATCTTGTATGTAGTGTTGAAGCTTTTTTTATATATTGATGCCTCCGTCCCCGGCAGCTTGCGCTCCAGGTCGAAGAAAGTACCGGGGGACTTTCCTCTACCACATAGAAATAGTACTGACGAAGGTGACTTATACATTAGGTATTTCGCTTGTATTTCCTGATAATTTTTATTGTTTCTTTTTTACTTGTACTTTTGTTTGTTCACCGCTTCTTTTGTGACTACAATGGAAAAGGAATTGGTTTCTGGATTTTGCGTCTTAAATAAGTGTTTTAATGTAACTTAAACGCTAGATCGTTCATGATGAATATATAAATTCATAATTAACGCATAAATAAATTCACGCAATGTTCTTACCAAATTCAATACAATAGTTCTAAAAGCTATTAAAACGCAGACAATTTGGGATAATTGTAGGGGATATACAACCTGTCGCGAAACACTTTAATGTATAAAAATATATATGCGTATACAGTTGTTTTTAGTAATGTAACGTTAAATCTTCTACTAAATGAAGACAGAATAATAATATTGCTAAAGTCATACAACAAATACTAGATTTGCATTAATATACATAACTCGCCCGACCAGTGAGTATTATCTAATGTAATACCTTTGTGGCTTTTAATGTACTTCAAGAACATTAAAATCTCCATATTGTAAAATGAACTCGTTAACTTTGATAGTTAAATGAAGTGGGCTTTGAAATTGTGCCAAAGCACTTCAGTTTACATTTCACACATTTAGCGGTCAAGATTATGTATATTATAATTGTTAACTTTGTTAAAATTATTGTATACTATAGCATACTACTACTAATAGATATCTATTTAAATAAGAATATTTGAATTGTCAGTAACAACTAAGTTTCATCGTCGAATTAAATGTTTTATTGCAAACCACATATCATCCACGAATTGAATTAATTTATGTTTTCAGACATGGCTCTGTTTAGGATTTGCAGTGATTTTTATGGGGCCAACATTATTCATAATACATAGAATAAGCCCTTTTTACGATGCTGAGGATATCACAAGAGAAGGAGGATTATCGACTATACATAATTGTTTGTGGTATGTTTACGGGGCTTTATTGCAACAAGGTGAGTTATTAGCTGCTTTCTTTAGCGGTTGACACTTCGTGCTTGCTGCTCGTGAACACGGATAGTTGGCTCGCAAAAGCGTTTCCGGTCTTTCAGTGCCGGTTAAAAGGTTGTATTCATGAACTACCTTGTAATATTAATTTGACAACATCATGAAGTTTCTTTACTGTTTTTAATGCTTATATTGATTACGAAAGCTGAGGAAGGATATGGCAACTTAAATTTTTTTGCAAAAGAATAAAAAATATGAAAATTGTGAATGAATTAGAATTGAATTTTTCCGATAGTATTGCGAAAGTTTTCTATAATTGCAACATTGTGTTAACTAAGAGGTGCATCTCTTAACCGGTTCATGCAATCGAACCATTTTTTTCTATGCGCACAAAAAAACCTCTTTGGGTGACAGAAAATATTCTAAAGACACCACACCACTAGTCATAGGCTTCAGTGGCATTCCTTAAGTAGGTGTGCCTTCAGACGAAAAATTATTAATGGAGCAGACGTATTGACGTTTGTTCCAAGCCCGATTGAGGGATTACGAGACAATTTTTATAATAACATTTTCACAAATTCGTATTTTTAACTTTAATTTAATGTTCTATACATTAATCTTAACGTAGAAATATCTACCCAGCGGCCCGTACATATTAGAATAACTGAAATATCTTTTATATTTTTCGATCTCAGAATATTCCTGATATTTTACAAAAATATTAATTTCCCTAGAGATTCTTGTTTCGAACACAGGTGATAGCAATAGATTTGTTTTATTTAAACGTACTTCCGTAAGAATTCCAATTGCGGAGCGTATCACGAATCTTATAATATGCATGAAATTATAGAAAAGCAAGAGTAGGGACAATTTGTATGGGTTAATTTTTATTATTTAAAAGCGACGATTATTATTTTCTTTTGGTTCAGAGTTTAGAAATACCAATTATAAGGAAATGACTATAGCTAAATGTTGTACCCGAACTGTACAAAATTATTTTAAATTCTTTAAAATTAAAATATAGCGCAACTTTAATTACCTTATTACCTAAAACTATTTTATTCTACTATCCTCAGTAGCCACATATTTAATAAGCTAATAAATAAAAAAACAAACAGTAATGGTTATTGATAAGATACAATTTATTTTTACTGTATTTTTGCAGTGGGAGTTCAAGGTTTCAAGTGTTCAGAAGTTTTAAAGTTAAACAAGTAAACAGTCATTTTATCTGATTCAAATAGGTTATATTATTACGTTTATATATAACTATGTTTAAGTGTAAGAAACTCAGTCATCTATCTAATTATAATAGGATTTTTTCAGATGTGACAAAATTATTCTAGACTATAATATATATATAACTGCTAAACCTGCCAGTTCCGTTCTAGTGTTCTGGTGTAACTAAGTCAAAACATTTATCCAAACTTTCGCGTAAAACGTGCTGGGCTTTCTTTGCAGGTGGAATGTACCTCCCACGAGCAGATAGTGGTAGACTAGTAGTTGGTACTTGGTGGATAGTGGTATTAGTGGTTGTTACAACGTACTCTGGGAATCTTGTCGCATTTCTAACCTTTCCTAAACTGGAAATTCCTGTGACTACTGTCAGTGAACTGTTACTGAATAGAGCAACTTATACATGGTCAATTAATAAGGGATCTTATTTAGAACGTGAATTAAAGGTATTGTATTTCACGAAATTCTTAACGCCTTGTAAACTAAAAATAGACGAAATGTTAGGCAGCGAACGGTGACTAACTTGCGTGTAAAATGTTAACAATTCAACAAATAAAGACCGTAGCCACGATCCATAAAGGTTGTTTATAAATTGTTCATTGTCTTATTACGGTACTAGACCCATTTTGAGTTACAAATTTTTTATTTATACACTTTAAAAATAAAAATAATTTCTCGCGATTTATTATTTTTAATTTGCCCGATTTCTAATATCGTTTTCTTAACTCAATACCAGCTACTGTAGCTTCAAGTTTCTGTTCTCAATTCATCTTTATCTAGTAACAACTTCGATCACTATTCGTATTATCGATATCCGAATATACCGATATATGAATAAACAGTGAAAGCACATAGAAATGACTAAAATCTAAATTGATATATTTTCCATTATAGAACTCAGATGATCCAAAATATGTGTCTCTACTAAAAGGTGCTGAGCTGACGAGTTCACTGACCGCAATGGAAGCGAACAATATGGCTGGTAGGATAAAAATATATGTTTTAAGTGATAATGCCTTGATAGATTATAAGTTACTTCAGAGCAAGCACGACCTTCAGTTATTTTGAATATGGAAATAACCTAAAAATACTTTTCTAATTATGAATACGGGATCTAAATGTACCTACATAAAATATATTTAGTCTAAAGGTAACATAGTTGATTCTATTATTTTACCATATTATATATAACTTACTCTTAAGTTCCTAAAGCCACTTTGTGAAAAGTATTAAAGTATTTTTACGGTCTTTTATATACCTCGTACACGTAAGTAAAACAACGGACAGATGTTTCTATTTGTATGTAAATTTTCTTTGTAGCGGAAAATCTCATATCCATCCTCTTATATTGAATTGGTCAGAAAAACTTACACTACAGTTATACAAAACGTATAATGTTAAAATTTGACAAACGAAAATAGTCTATGCGCTTTTGGTCTTAGCTCCGACTTACAAAACGGAGTCTATGCCAAGGTGGTTCGATTTTAAATTGTGTATTATGAATAAACTCAATAGCTACTGAATGCTTTTTTAAATTGTTTCTCCATTAAAATTCTACATTATGGCTTAGTACCATATAGTATTTAGTAATTACATTTATTTCCAAAATATTTAAAAATAAGTGTTCAGCCCTGCAATGCCGGGTCTGGTATTAGACATCACGTCAGGTTAGGAAATTATTCATATATATATTTATAGTTAATATAATGCTATAACGTAGTGTCCATAATAATATAGTCTTTGATAATTCCTTAAAAAAAAATCAAAATAGCTGTACCAAAATGTAATGTTTGTATAATAATCACTTTAGTTCAATCTTAAAGACGCCCAGATTCGCTCATTAAGTCAAATGTGAATTTCAAGAAAAAAAGATTAAAAAAAACACGATTTCACTTAACGATATAAAGATCTTTTCTTAATAAAACGATTTATTGATGTTTGTGCACCAGAAATAATATCCTAGTTTTAATTTGTAATAAGCAAAATGGCCATCATCTACGCATGGGTAGCGGCTAGTAACCTAGTAGTTTATTTTAACTATAATTAATCATTGTTTTTAGGGGCGAATTTACTTAACCGGGTCAGAAAGGAGCGTCACGTGATGGTGGATTGGAAGTTGAGATTAAATTATATAATGCGAGCCGACACTGTGGCCACGGACTCTTGTGATTTTGTTTTAGGTAAATACATATTAATAATGAGTTTAAACTCAAATAATTGTATACTTGACAAGATGTCCTAACAAAGTTTAAACATCTTTACAGAATTTAAAGATGTTTTATATTTTATCAAAACTTTTATGACTTTTATGCCGTTGTTGGTATGTTCTCAGTGATCTTCACACCTTACATACAATTTGTGACATTGGGATTATTCAATAAACTTACACACAATAACGTTCTCCAGGCCAACTTGATCGCAGTCGTTCATATCTATTGAGACTTGCTACACATGCAGGAGATATCATGCATGTCCTGCATGTATATACAGTCTATTTCATAACTCTCATACTTCGATCAGACGCAGGACTTTCGACGTCCGGGCCACGGGGATGTGTAATTATCGTAAATTTTTTAACATAGGTGACTTTATAATGTATGGTCGAACATAATAACCACTAGACTAATGAGAAAGTTAAGTTTTTAATATAGAAGGACATCGGAGACGACGAATCTTGTAATAAACAAACCGTAAATCATTCAATTCAATCATATATATACTGCTCAAAACAATTAGCGGAACAAGATTTTTCTCCTTTCTATTGCTTAAACTAAAATTAGATTTAAATTAACTTGTACGCTATTTTTTACCTTGTTAATTTGTTAATTACTACAATTAATAAAAAAAATCAATTTGTATTTTTTTTTATTAAAAAAAAATTAAAATGTGCATTGTAGACGAAAAACAAAGTGACGTCTTTGAATTTTCATTACTTTCTAATCACAGAAAACACATTTTAAGTAGTTTTTTTCAATCTTTTGAGTATTAATAGAAATTGAAGTGAGCCTTTTGAGTATTGTTATTCATTGAAGCGAGTGAGTTTAGGTCATAATGCCAGATCTGACTGAATTGCATGTCTCCCGAGCTATCGCTTTGCTTGAAGAGGGTCGAACTATGCGTTATGTAGGAAATGATCTAGGAGTAGCCCCTTCTGTTATCTACAGACTTTGGAAGCGATACCGTGAGACGGGAGAATACTCACAAAGGCGTGGTCAAGGTCGAAAGAGAAAAACTACACGTTTGCAAGATCGCTACATCGTCAACTGTGCTTTACGTAACCGCACCACAACTGCAAGAGATCTACAAAATACACTAAGGACGGCTACTGGTGTAGAAATTTCCGACCAGACGGTAAGAAATAGGTTGTTGGAAGCCAATTTGAGATCACGCCGACCAGTTCGGGCTGTGCGTCTAACAATTCAACATAGACAAGCTCGCCGACAGTTCGCGCAAAATCACGCTAATTGGCAACTTCGACATTGGAGGCCAGTGCTTTTTACTGTCGAATCACGATTCCGTATAACACGTTGCGATGGTCGTCTCCGTGTTTACAGACGCCCAGGCGAGCGATACAGTGCAGCAGCAGTCCAGGAATATGACAAATTTGGATGTGGCTCTGTGATAATTTGGGGCGGAGTTAGTTTGGACGAGCGCACAGATCTCGTCGTTGTTCCCGGGCGCTTGTGTGCTCAAACTTACATTGAAAATGTGCTCGAAGATCATGTTTGGCCCGCAGCATATGGTATGGGCCCAGATTTTCTTTAAATGCAAGATAATGCCAGGCCGCATACTGCAGCCATCACGTCAGATTACTTACGACAGCAGGAAATCCGTGTAATGGAGTGGCCTTCCATGAGCCCTGACCTAAATCCAATTGAACACATTTGGGACTTGCTTGACAGGCGCATCCGGAAGCGTCCGATTGCACCTCAAACACTGCAGCAGCTCACTGAAGCGTTGATTGAAGAATGGGAGCAAATTCCACAAGAAGATATTCGGAGGATCATACGAAGCATGCCGCGTCGTTGTCAAGCCGTGATTAGGGCTCATGGAGGCCACACACGTTACTGAAAGTCACTAAAGACGAATATTCAAACGATATAAGAATATTTATTTGATGGACCTTTTTTATCACCAATTTTTTTTTTTTTTAATTCAAATTGAATTTTTTTATTAATTGTAGTAATTAACAAATTATCAAGGTAAAAAATAGCGTACAAGTTAATTTAAATCTAATTTTAGTTTAAGCAATAGAAAGGAGAAAAATCTTGTTCCGCTAATTGTTTTGAGAAGTATATTTTCCTTATATTGTTTTTTCATATGTTAAATAGGTTCGTTACCAGATCAACGTTATCTTCACAATATTCTAATTATATAATGCTAGGATAACATATTTATTACATTAAGACAAGGTAAAAGTCATATATAAATACATATATATGTGTTAGGCGTGTAGCAATAATGCATAGGTTACAACCATATTTTAGTCGAGACCAACTTAGTACCAAGAAGAAATAAAAAAACAAACGCTACGTAAAGGAGTGTCGGTCACTGTCAGTGTCAACTGTCATGATTAAATTATTGCAACATATAAAACTTCTATGCTAACACTTGGGTGCTTTGACGTTATATAACTGAATTAGTTAAATGTTTTGTCATGTTTTTTTTATTGAAAATTACCACAAAAGGGGCAATGGATAAAATATTCCTCAGTTTAGGCGTTAAGTTAATTAAAATCAAATAATTTACCCCTAGTAAATTATTTTAAAATGATATAAGTATATTGTCTTTTGTAGGTTTTGAAGAGTTTATGGAGGAAAGAATCGCCTTAATCGTACCCGGTGCTAGTCCATACCTGCCTGTTATTAATAAAGAGTAAGAGTCTATAAATTCAGTTTTTAGTTTGGCTTGACTGAAAATAAGGTTTAATAATTGAGTTTTTATTTATTTTGCACTGTAGCCATAGAACATAATATGTATTATAATATTGCGCTTTATATAGATTATAATAGACTTATACATTAACGCACTTTAAGCATTGTATAAAAAGGAAAAAAGGACTGCTTAATATTATTTGTTATATTTTTATAATTTAAAAACATTAATACAGCCTACACGCCCTGTTAAATAATTTTAATAGACAAAAATATTCATGGCTGTTTCTTATCTTTATTTAATTTTTATATCAATTTTTAAGTTTGGTAATAATAACATTTATAAACTGAGAGGTTTCAGAATTAATCGCATGCAAAAAGCGGGGCTCATATCAAAATGGTTGAGCGCTTATTTACCAAAGCGTGACCGGTGTTGGCAGAGCTCCGTTATGACTTGGGAAGTGAATAACCATACTGTCAACCTCAGTGACATGCAGGGCTCATTCTTTGTTTTGTTTCTAGGTGATGTATCGTATTATTTTCTTAGCATTTCTTCTTAACAACTGCAAAAGATAAGTATGTATTTGTTTGTTTCTTTGTCTGTGGAATTGTAGCTCTTTAATCTAGAGAAAAAGGAAGGCAGGTTTATAATATTTAACTTCATATATAAAAAAAAAATACTGTTCGTTTGTCTCGCTAAATACGGAAATAGACCGATTTGACTTATTATGATGTTGGATTTGTGGAAGTTCAGGGTAGATTTAAACCGTGGGTAACATAAATAATAAGTAAAAAAAAACTTAAAACGTCAATTAAATTCTTCAATGTGTTTTGTCTTTTTAGAAATAAATAAAAAGTGCGTGCTTACAAAGTACACATGTCACAAGTGAAACTTCTTTGTAAATTAATTATTGATTAATTAAGCTGTAAAAATTATATAGAAATAAAACCATACATATGGTAACAATTTGCCAAATAATATAACAAATTAATTATTTTCATAATTGCTAACTTATGTCCACATTTTCTAAAATAGCCAACTGGGTCTTGGGAAAATACAATACCAACAAAAAAAATTGTAATTTAGTTACTTAATAAAATATAATGATATTATGTATTAAAAACACCATCGGTGTTCAAGTCTCAATCGCTCTCTCCCTTTTCTTCGACAAAAACGCTGCACATCTTCGTGACGTTCCGTAAAAATTTTACCCTCATGCGTTGTCATATATATAGCCTTCAAAGCTGCCTGAGTTCTTTGGTCTGTTTTAATAATTTGGTATTAATTTCTGACACGAGTATGGTGATACGAAATTCAACGGGTAAATTAAAAAAAATATCACAGACACTCGAGAAAATATATAAAAAAATATATTAAATTAAAATTTGTTTGTATTTCTATTAACCTGTATAGAAGAAATAGGAACATTTCATTAAAAATGCATCAAACCAGTATTGAACTTTTCCACGGTCGCCACATTACATCAGTGTATAGGGGTCATTTACCACGACCACAGCACGTGGTTGTCTCGCTGTACCAGTCTGATCCGACATTACTAGTATCTAAAAATTCCCCAATATTTGCATTTTAACAAAGACAAGCATAATTTTGTGACCATTCCACTTTTTATAATTATGCTTTTACGTCTTACTAATTGAACTAATATTTTTGTAAAGTTCTTATTACATTATTAGTTTATACTTCTACTCTCGATAATACATCGAAATACAAGTTAGTTTTAGAAAAATCTTCTTTTTAAAAGTCTTAAGTAAGTGTAAACACCTCTTAAACATATCCTTTCCGTCTTAATCGTGACTTCTGTAATTTTTTTTTTTGTATTTGTATTGTTGTGTATTGTAAATATATTATTTTTACGTATTTTAGAATCTAGCATTGTGATCCATGACTCTTAAGATTCGCTATTAGTTTTTTTGGTAATTGATTGTTACAGGCGTTGTTATCTGTATTTTTTTTATTTAGTTCTGCACTTAATCCTCAGTATTACTTTTTCTTTTTCCCAAACGAGGGTTGCCTGGAATAGATCGCTTGTTAGCAATAAGGCTGCCAGTTGCCTCCTAATAATCTATGTTATTTGAATGTATATGTACCAAATATGTAATGCAACCAAGTGTTTATAAATAAAAATAAATGAATAATTGTAACTTTGTATTAACATAATAACCCTTAAATTGGGCATCAGATATCAGCATCTGTTTGATTAATCATCTATCGAGATACCATTACCATTTCTATCTTCATTGTAGGCCCAAGTACGATACAGAAAATTCTTAAAATATGTTAATAATAATCGCATTTTTCAGGCGTTCTTTCAGCTACAACAGTTTTGTTGACCGAATGGTTTTGGAATAGAAGAAATAAGAAGATCGAGCAAGTGGTCATTCAGCCTTACTTGAATTAAAAAATGTAATAGAAGAGACATACTAAATATATAATAAGTTTCAATTCATCGTAAGTGAAAGGGTAATAAATTTCATGTTTCGTGTATTTTATTGCCAGTAATCGTATATTCCCATATATTAAATTTTATCTATTTACTAAGTAGCAGTAAGCAGCGCATGTAGCAAATAGAAATTGAAAAAGTATAGTTGTTGTTTTATTATAAAAAATTCAGCTATAAGATTTAAAAAATAAAGCAATCGACGTATTCCAAAGGCAGTTTTTTGCGTAAACTCAGCAGAGAAACCTTGGCGTGCACATCAGCACGTGCGCATATTTCTTGTCTTGTCTTGGATACATTTTCAATAATATTCTGACTGACTTAACAATATTTTTACTTCGTAGTAAATACTTCTCGTATAATATTTATACTACAAGTTTTGTGTGATTATTGTATCTCATAATACGAGCTAAATATTTCGAAAATTGCTACAGTAACCACAGTATTAATAGTAGTTCCACAACAGCCCTGCGATTCTGTAACTCACTTTTCGAACTCACACAGCGGTTTTCGCATCGGCGGTCGCTCTCAAATCAGTCGTGAAGCAGTCATTTTATGATTTGGCATTCTGATAAGCAATAAACTACAAGCTCCCACCTTTTCAGAATGCCAAATCATAATATGACTGCTTCACGACTTATTTCAGAGCGACCGCCGATGCGAAAACCGCTGTGTGAGTTCGAAAAGTGAGTTACAGAATCGCAGGGCTGAGCATTTCTTAAGGCAATTTTGGCCGCGCCCCACTTGGGGCCTTCAAGAAAAGAGCATACCAATTCTAAAAAAGGCCTGCAGCGCGTTTGCGAGCCTCCATGAGCGGCGGTATTACTTAACATCAAGTGAGCCTCCTGCCCGTTTGCCTCCTGGAACATAATAAAAAAAGTGAGTTTTAGTGGATTTGTTGTACGCTTCTATTTATACAAATTAAATTAGGAACGTGTAACTTGTCTCATATGTTTATAGGTCAATAATTACGAAGTTCTATGAAATGAAAGAAAAGGATTAAATAAGAACTGGAAAAATCCGCCAAACTGAATAAATTATGCGGATGACGCGTAGCTATACAAGTTGTACGAGTTGAGGTGACGTCGTCCAACGAGTCCCAAGCTGGTTTACATTTAAAGCTCTCTACATCCTCTCAGACAGTCAGTTTTAATTCGGTCCCCGTGTTCATCGGCAAAATTATCTATTCGGCGTGTAATTTTTTATTTTTTTTCCAATAACTTGGGTGCTAATGACAAAATCGAAGAGAAAATTCGCGATTACCGATAAATTTCTTCCCAGGTCAGTATTTTAGTCAGTACTTATTATACATAATGGTCTTATTTAAATCAGTGGACTTTAGGGCTTTATTATGAAAATATATTTCAATTCTGTTTGAATTTTTCTCTTTAATGTAATTTGTTTTACTTATTATATTTATTTTTAATAGATTTTACTGCTGATTACTTACTAATTGGCTGCAATATCGTTACGTTGAAAATCAGACTGAACCATAATTTCGTTGTTTGGAAATGAATAGTTTTATAATATCGAGAAAATTTCCATTGACCTACATTTAAAGTTATAAATACAATTTTAAATGGAATTTGTGAACACTATCCAATGTCGAATGATTCATTGTTCGCGCCCCTTGGGACATGCGGGGCCAGCAAGTCGATTTTATAATATCAAATTTATGTTTTAATAACTTACAAATTCTATTTAACACAGCTGATTCCAAACTGTAATACGCTAAAATAAATTACACTTTTTAATTAAGGCATCATAAAAGTTGTAGTATTTTGTTGTTAGGTAGTCGATTTTCATTTGTCAGCCTCCTTTAACAAACATTTGTAGTTCAGGAGTTAACATAGGCATACAAATACAGGATTGTTTCGCTTTCATAATATTAAGCAATAGCTAAACAATAATATAGGCTTATGATTGAGGTAAAAATATAGACAACAAAATGTTGGGTAAGATCAAATTATTACAATAACCGGTTGGTGTTTACAACGTAAAGGAGAGCAAACCACGCGCTCGTCGCGTGTTAACGAATTAATTCTACGTATTTTGAGTCGATGAACTTTCATACAGTGAAAGGCTTCCTCTGCAACCAACTAAATATCTTTATATAAGACTTAACTAGCTTTTAAATGTTTTAAGCGTAAAATACCAGAAAAATGGAAAGTGTCTATGCTGTTGTTTTTAAAAATCGACCTAATGTACTTTTGGAAAATAAATATTATTCTATTAATGATTATTTGGGTGAAATGTTATAATTAATATTAATTTGATGTAATAATATATTTTAATAATGTGATTATGTAGTGATAAAATAATATAAGAATTGACTAATGATATTATTCATAATGTAATTGTAACTTGTATTTAAAATTCTTCTTTTTAAAACAAATTTGCACGCCATTATGTGTGGGAGAATATGAGAAGTTTAGATTGCAGCACCATAATATTTTTATACCATATTCTTGCAAATAAATTATTATCTTATAGGTAAAATTAAAAACAAGATCAGTATTGCCATATTGATATATCCGTTAAGTTTTAAATACTACTTCTTGAATTGATTCAATATAAAATTTCGAAAACGGTTTCATTTTTAAAGTCAAATTTATTTGGTAAATGTAATTTTATAAAAAAATAATTTTGTTTATCTACGATTCATACCACTTAATGAGAACAAGAAAAAAATAATATATACCGTAAAATTATTAAATTAGGCCACACTTAAGTGAAGGCCTGGAAAATGTTTCGTGCTAATTAAATGTCAAACATAAACGAATTATTTTGCTGTAAAAAATAATTATAAAACTTACTGAAACGTGTGAAAGAAATAGCTTAAACAATTAAATTAAATTATGCATACATAAACCCTTGGAATAATAATATTAAAATGAGATGACGATAGAGTAACTCGTTATTGCATCATGCGGTTTGACAAGTTTTAATGCAGAAATATACGTATTTATGCAGATTTTCTATATATGTCATTAACATTATGTAATAAAAGTTATAATAAAGCAAAATCATGAGGTGAGGGTTAGCAGTACATTTATAGGTTTAATTTATATAATATTTAAATATATAATAATAATACTCATTTCTACTTTTAAGTATTAAATATATATCTTAGAATTCATATGTTTATATAATTTAAGTCAATTTGTTGTCAAGATTCCTTACTATAATCAAAAATACTAATTACATATCGTATCATTTCCAGACTCGCTAAAAACCTGTGCACCCGAAAAGGCAGCCGTCGGGCTAATACCGGAAACCGTCTAGAACACGCAGTGCTTACCCACATTCAGCACGTACCGTAGACAAGCAGCCCCAGCCGTCCTTCATCCATCATCCATCATCTCATTAAACACGATGGCCCGTGGAGACGAATGCAAAATAGCCACCAAGACTTCCTTTGTCAAACAATTTGAATTCCCCACACCAATGATGTAAGTATCGTGTTCTATTCGAAACACTTTCCTTTAGTGCCTCTGCAATAAACATAAAAAATACCCTTGCCCTCACTTAATTAAATAATGCTTAACTAATAAAATTACTATATCAGCCGAACAGAATACAATTCTATAACACACTACAGGTTTCCACTTAATCGGTGCAGTGTTTAAGAGGAGTAGCTCTCATACAAACATACAAATGTAGAATATATAGTTCATAGTAAAGAATTGAAGCATATTTTAATTACTCTTGCTACCAACAACTAAGATTCTACAATATATTTCACATTGAAGAATCATGCTTTTTGTTTTTATGTCTTTTATCTAACAAATCAATTGTTTCAGGAAACCAATCGTTGATAAACCTCAACCAAAAAAACAAGAGCAAAAGAACTACGGCGCTTGGGGCTCCACGTTTAAGGACAAGAAAACGTTCACGGACATGCACTTCTGCTAATTTTATCATCACTATCGCTTACAGTTAATCGTCATTAAACCTCATCTAGTTGTAAAGCTCCAACCAAAATTATTTGTATCAGATCGGCTAATAAATGTTGGATAAGTGTTTGTGGCGTTTAGCATTTCTTCTTCGTATTTAATCACATCCAATCTTCGTATTTAATCACGTCTCGCGTACTAATCTCATGTATCTCATTATAATAGATTAAACAGCATCATTATAATTTTGATTTTTTTGTTATCAACCTAGTAGTATAGTATAGAATTTAATTTCGTTTAGATTTTTAATTAAGAGGCGTTGACAAAAATTACGACTTATATATCATAATAGCCGTCAAACAATATATTCTCAGTTCAAAGTATTTTGCTGACGATAATAAACACAGGCACCAAAAGCTAGAGTGGCCAGTAAAAGTTATGCACAACAATTTTGTCAGCGTTAAATTAAGAGGAATATGAAGTTACACGAAAATGAGATTTTAATGATTCCTGCGGGCATTTGGTGAACACTGATAGTAATGTATTACTCATTAATTTATGCTGGCGGTGAACGCAAATATTTTTTTATTAATTCATGAATTACACACAGTCCACAAGTAATTATTAGCTGAAGATAGGTGGTAAAATAAGTGATTAAAATTATGACAGCATGGGTCAACAAATAACGAAATATCTGCGCCTTTGACTTTTTTGCTGCAATTTATAGACAACACATACAGTGGATTTCATTTATTACGACCTTGGTTGTAGCGACCATTTAGCTATAATAAATTAAATTAATTAATAAATTAATATAATCTATACACATGCACGTGTCTTTATCTTAACCATGGCCTGTAACGACTTCCGGATATAACGACGAAATTAGAGTGGTCCCTTGATCAACGTTATACGCGAAATCCACTGTATATATTAATAAAAACATACGGCACTTTCACCAAAGAACATATCGTAATTGGAATTATTTTCTCGTGTGTTGAGTTGGCTCATATCGCACCGCCATAGACACATTCTGTTCTAATTAAGATTCTCCGACTTTGAATATCTTTGTGTCGTCTTGTTGACCTAAAAAGCTGACATGTTACATTCAAACACCTTGTTTTTGTTGACCCTAGATTGTAAAGCGTCTTTAAAGTGTGTCTTGATGTTATCGTAGAAGTTATTACGAATGAAGAAACATGGAAAATGACATAACATTTTATTAAAAGAAAGAACTGCTACAGAAATAAAAACATTAATGTATAGCGGGCGAGTGAAAGTTCAGATGACGTGTCTTGTATTTATTGCTATAAAAAATAAACGTTGTATAAAGTACTTAACTCGAACTACTGTGACAACCTCATGCTAGCGCGTTATAATGAACATACAATGACAATGTTTTTAAGTCGGTTTAATTTCACAGATGTAAGTCCCGTATTAGATTATTGCCCCCTGCGTTTATTGTACGTATATATAATATATATGCCATTGCGATTTTTCTAAAAAAAAACTACGTTTAAACAACTCCGTGCTTTACATGACCACATAAAGTGCTCATGCTTCTCCTCTGGTCGTGTCCGACATCCTTCCGAGGTGTAAATCGAATAGAATAAAATCGCCTAATCAATGGATACTGAGATAGTCAAACTATCCAAATATAAACTCACACAACGCATAAAAATTATGCTGGCCGAATTGGATTTCGATTCTACAGAGGTCTTATTAGTAGCAGAGGTGAGACTGGCCCCCAGTAGCCCATTAATCTATAATATAAAAATGAATCGCAAAATGTGTTGGTAAGAGCATAACTCAACAACGCCTGGACCAATTTGGCCAATTCTTTTTTTATAATATTCCTGGAAGTACGAGGATGGTTCTTACGGAGAGAAAAATTTAAAAAAAATGAGTGAATAAGTCTAAATCAACACTTTTCTATATTCCCATACAAAATATTCGTAATAATACTTAAAAGTCAACTTTCACTTTAATACCATATCATAAAGTTCAAGTGTTAGTGGAGGGGTTCCGGGAAGGTAAAATTTTATTTTATGGCATAATGTATTTGTTGTCTTATCAACTTTCTTTTTTTTATCTTACGGCGTCCCGAATAGCAGAATAAGTATTTAAAAAAAAATAAAGAAGCGACTGTTAGGCGGTACGATGTTCGCCAGGCCAGCTAGTATAGAATAGAAATATGTAGTAATATGTGTATTTGTATATGTGGATATATATATATGAGGAAATTTCTTAATGTATGTATGTATATATATGTTTGTACAAAATATATATATAAAATAAGGTCCCGCACCACAAGAGTCGGGGATATTGGGAAATTTTTATGATAAAAAAGAGGTCTTATTACATATTTTAGCATGACATTGAGGTTCCAAAAACTAACACACACACAGCGCAGGCTTATAACAACTCTCAGCCACACTCTCAAATACAGATGTATTATACGCCTATTCACATATTCATACATTCATGCATACTTCAGGTCTTATTAGAATTATTTATAATAATAAGCAAACGACGCCCATGGACACCCTTTTTAAAGTGCGTTGCCGGCCTCTAACTTTGCATAGTTGGATGTCGTATCTCTCAGGGAAGATCCCCTCCACCGGGAGTCGATTCTACGGTTATACGAATTTTGTTTCATTAGACTTACTTTTTCTTAAAATAAATTGTTTTAAACATGCACCATGTACCACGGAATAATAGTAAAAAGTTACCAACAACACAGGGCCTGCCTAGCCTTAACTCAATTTTGTCATGTCATGAATAAAGATTTATTATTATTATAAGAGTGGAAGCGCCGTAGGGGGGGGGAAGGAAATGCATAGTATCAACATAAGTCTCCTACTTACTTAGTAGAACATAATAATCTTTACCAATAATTTAAGTATTTTAAAAGTAATATTTAGTGCACCGGTTGTACTATAGAATGCTATATACTCGTAGTAGTAGATTAATCAATAATGGAGACAGCAGGTGCACATTGTGAACCAATATAATTGAAACTGTATTAAGTTTGATTTGTTTCAGTATTTCTATTATGGACTTATAGCATTTGACTTATTGCGATTTCAACCGTATTATATTCGATGATTATTATTTGTGCATTTAAACGTATTAAAGAACATTGTATACTTTTATAATTTTGCACACTAATAAATCAATAGGTTTTTATTTAATAGTTTATACATATTTTGGATTATTAGAGCACAATTAAACCAAAAAACAAGAACAAAAGAAGTTCGTCGCTTGGGGCTCCTCGTTCAAGGACAAGAAAATAGGCAAATAATTATGAATAGTGATAAATAATCATGGTTTTACACTTCTTTATCTAATTCATGAATCAAAGTAATACGTATGAATGGTGGCGACATTTGATAATACCATAGACTTTAAAAATAAAATAGAACGGAGTAGTCATAATATACTACAGTTTAATAAAAATCTTCTGGTTTCTATAATCTTTCTGTCAGTTATCTTGATCAATATAGAGCTTCTGTGGCCGACACACACTTTTAGATTTTAGATGCGCTGGTTTTCTAATGATGTTTTTTCGTATCGATTGAGCAAAAATATATTGAGATAATTGCGCTTAGATTTAAAGCAAGGTCTATTTGTACACAGCCGGCATTCGAACAGACGATTATTATTACCGAGAGGTATTACTAATTCTCCGGACTTCCTATGTAATATTAGTGGATAAGTCATTTTGTTTTACATTGAGTTTTGATTAAGAGTCTCATTTACTAAATTACTTGCTCGGCTCAAATACCGAAAATTAATTCTGAGATCTAGCAAGCTTTTGATAAGATACGCAGATACATACCATATCGTTACGATTTAAAGATGAATTTTATCTGCCTGCCAAATTTTCAGTGAATTTAACGTAGTTCTGTATGAAGAAATTTCAATTTTAAGAAATGCTATGTGTATAGTAATTATTGTAATATATATATGTAATTTTATTACTCAAATTTAAAAAGTAATTATAATTATGAATTCGTAAGGAAAAAAATACAATAATTTACTATATTTCTAAACACAATGGTACAAAAAACGCTACCTTTCATTTTTAAACAGCTAACCTGAATAATGAAAAGTCAAGCTAATTGTTAATAATAGGTCCACTCAGATACAAATATCATTCCTCTTTTTAATTAATAAATATGTATAATTTGATGTAAATTAATGGAAGTATTTATTAGAAAAACCCTGCCATAAAAAAAATAGGTTTAAGCTATCGTAAAAATAGGAAACAATAAACTTCTCAATGTAATGTGAAGGGAGGTCGGCATTGCGTCTAATCATACAAAATTCACTGTTCGCAAAAACTTCTTTGCCTCTTGAATTATTTAATTTCAGCGAACGAAATGAGTATTGAGGATAATCAGAAGATTCTTTTGTACATTTGAATATATAATTATTATTTTTATCTTTGTGAACCTGATGTCATGTTGGTTGTGCCGCAATATATTTCTTGTGATTTTGGAGCACCACGCATTTGATTAAATGTTAGTCCTAGTTTAAACCCTAGTATAAAAGGGAAAAAGGTTGAAGGCACACGTTATATAATCGAAGCTATATTTTTAGAGCTCTTTCTTTGTTTCTTAATTGACGTTCTTGGAACTTATTTTTTTTTAAATGTAGATAAGAAATACTACAATAATCTCCTTTGAATAACATCTTCGATATTCAAAAAGTTATTTTTTTTACAATGCATCAGCATCCCGGTGCATCCCATTTCCCGCGCTATCGTGCTATCGACCGTTGTAGTGCGGACCCTGTGGCTTTGCGCGCGCAAGATATAGTGACGTACCTCTTCTGGTAATTGCCTATATCCGGAATCGGAATTCTCGGAATAAAAATACTCAAAATCGAGTAACATATGAAACGTTCGCAGGAAATTTTGTAATCTTCTCGAATTGCTGTATTTCAATAGTTATATAAATTGAGGTAAACTTGATGCAAGCAGTGTAAAACACATTTTATTTTGTTTAATATAAAGTATAAAAATAATAAGGAGTACAAAACCGTTCAATGAATATTTAATTAAAATTCTATATAAGTTGTTTGTCATAAAATTGTTATTAATATAAACTTGTAAATACAAATCTAGGTATTAGATTTTTAGATTTTATCAAACGAAAGTTACAAAACTTAGAAAATGCATGTTGATTAAAACAAAATGTTTATACGGATGAAAAACTTTTCTGTACGTACTGACTGCCCCAATTGTATCAATTTATTTGTTGATTAGTTCGCGGTTAACTAAAGTTTGGTAGTGTTGCACACGATTCTGCTTTATCGATAGCGCTGGAGCTCGAACGCCGTCAGACGCCGCATGGCCGACCGCGGTAAACATCGCGTCGCGCCCGTCCCGGCGCCTACGAAAAAACAATACGCGTATACCCCGTGCCCGCGATCAGAAGAAGTAGGAACGGAATTTGCACTACAATTACTAAGGACACACCACGAAGAACCGCCGACGCCGGAGAAAACTCCCCCAGGTAGGACTACTTTTGGCGGGAAAAGTTTTCACGAGTCACATTAATTAAAATTTTAATTGTATTAATTTGAAAGAAAACTTGTAATTTAAGTTCTAAAGCGCAGTTAATATGAGTTCAGTCGAATGAATTTACATTAGTATAAAGCATTAGAATTAGAAACATAAATAGTACCCTATAAGCAATACTAAAAAAAAATTACATTCATGAATCTGTGACTCTACCGTCAAAGATGAAAATGCCGTCCGTTTTTTAATATTTTAATACATTACGTAAATTCACGTAATGGATATGAATACATTTCGGCTCTTACTAAATATGTTACGCTCAGCCTGTGCTAATTAGTCTCAAACGAGCAGAATATTTGCATTTTTTAACGTAAAAATCATCATTATTTGGTTGGTAAATTCCACAAGTTCTAATTCGATTCTCGGTGACACAATTTTTTATTTTGGTATGTAAAGCATCTTGATCTATTACGAACTTGAAGGCACTTTAAAAATAAGAGTACAGAGACATATATCATAAATACGCACAATGTTAATACTCGGAACAAACGCAGGCTGCAATTTCCCCGTACTAAACAGTTAGTAATTCTTTTTTGGGAAAAGGGATACTCTTCTTTAATAAAATCCCAGAGGCTCTTTTATCTCTACCTTTTAATAAATTTAAGTAATGTATTAAAGAAAAGCTGTGTAAAAAGGCTTACTATAAAGTTAACGATTATCTAGTTGATAAAAGGGCCTGGGACTAGTGCTAGGCAGGCTACTTCTAATTCATTTGCGATATTTGTTTTAAAATAAGTGTTGTTTGATGATTTGCTATTTTAAAAGAGTACCGAGAGTTTTTTACGCCGGCTTTTTCTCTCGGCCTACACCCTCTGTCTTCTTTGCCGATGAGTAGGAATGCCTACAAATTCAAATTTAATGACGTGGAATAAGTGATACCTGTATCTTATGTTCCATGATAAACATATTTTATTTTATTTTTTTTACTACTGTACTTCGAAAATTCGCATCTCGTTGGTACGAAAAAAAAGTTTTCTTCATCTTCGTCATTATCTTAATGATAATAATCCTACTTAGTAGTTATAAAATATTATTCCATACCGTATTTCAAGATTATAAACAGTTGCCGCACATATGTCTTGTCACTACATAAACGAAACAAACAAATGATAACATCATGACAGTCATCCGGGCACTAAGAAGATATTAATATTTGTGTACCATTTAAAAATAGTATAGAAGTGATGGTGCTTGTTTTATTTTTATTCACAAATGTATACAAATCATTCACTATCATACTTCAGATGCACTGACTAAGTAAAATACTTAACGAGAACTCTATTGAAATATACTTGAAGACGGCGACTTTACCTTTATTATTTTATTTAGTTGGTATTATATATAATACCAACTACAATGTTGAAAAACAGCGCTGTTATACATTTTTATAGATGTAAAGCTTGATATCTTTTTAAAATTGTTCTTAATCTATCACGTCCCTTACATTACTTGAACTTAAGATTATCCCACGGACTGGATCACGCTCATATTGAGCCTACAACTTCAGTTGTTATATTTAAGCTAATGTTATATCCTAAGTACATTATTAAGTTAATAACTCCTCTGCTATAAGAACTCATTTTGGAAAGCATACAGCTTTTTACTTTATTTATGTAACCTTAATTTAAGATTGTAATTTAAATGTACATATAAGCTGCACGGTTACCGCGCTTATGTTACAAGAACCTTTTGATTGTTGAGCGTCCCATATATTTTAAATGTTAACAAAGGCCGCTAATTGCGGGTTATTAATACGAGAGCTGAAAGTGAGATCCGCAATGCGACTGGGACCATCTCTTGTTGCGGTTATGTCATCTTCCTTTCGTGAATAACATTCAAATTTTGAATTGAGAATTCAAACAGACTATATTGTTTAATATTAAGCAATTCGTAGAAAAGTTTAATTATTTGTAGTGTTACACTTGTAGATTATACTTTGATTAGACATTGATGCTTAAGTTATGTAATCTAATACAATGTATAAAAACTTAATGTTTACAAATCAAGGAAAAAGATCAAATATACCTAGACACATATGATAAATAAAATGTCATTGTAATATATCTTATATTCTAACTATAATAGAAATATGAACTTTACTTTTAGTTTAACTGTATAAATATTCATAATATCTCAGCATCGTACCTGAAGAAGAATCTAAATAAATTCAAATATAGCGAGTAATATTTCTAGACAACGGTACAAAAGTAAACTTCTAAGCAGAGTATTAAAATAGCCTACTTTATTCGCTTTCCTCTGTGAGCTTCACTCAGCTCTTTAAATTCTAAAAGTTGAAATTGCTTTTTATTCTCTGTGTACTTAACATATATCGGTGATACCCATATAATAAAGTAAATAAATTCGTAAACTAACTGAAACATTTTAGCATGTAGATAGAATGGTCAAGAACTCTTAGGTATATATTTCAACATAATATCATGTCTCAAGCACAGCCAGGTGTTTAAATTAAGAGCCGAATTGAGTGACACATATAGATGACTACCAAAGCCTTCAATATCAGATTTTCCTATACGTATTTTAAATTCCAAACTGAGATCACTCTTGACTAGGTTTCTCTTGAAACATATTCTGTAAAAAATATATTTGTTAACTATTTGAACTATATTTCGCAGCGGTACTTAAAAAACTGTCCCAGTTATTTTATATCTTGTTGACTTTCTTTTTCAAACGTCTAACCAATTATATCCATTGTATACATTCAAATAAACCTTGACACTGTTTGGAAGAAAAGAAAGTGTATTACTAAGTTCCCTAGGGCGGCGTAGCACTGCTGTAGCGGTTCTAAGAAGTGCAGTTGACATCTCGTAGACGCGGTTTATAAATCTATTGACGTTTACATAAGCATAAATACTTAATAATGGTTAAAACGAAGTCAAGTTTATGTTTTACACTTTCGTGTATTTACTTGGAGTAAATGTAGATGGGAATAGAGAAAAACTACAGTCAGTACAAATTAAAAAAATATTATTTGCACTCTTAATGCATCCAGATATATTTGTACTGAGTACAAACAGGTTTAGTTGAGTAAGTCAACGATTACAAAAGGACGACAACAATTGTATAAAGTATAATTAGACTATAATCATACCATATTATTTTAAAGATCATTTGAAATGAATCTATTATAAACATTATTACACAATATTAGATAACAGATTTGATTGATTAAAATATTTTTATAATAAATAAGTACCTTATTTTCCTTGAAAGTGGTACATATTATAATTGATGAATTAAAAACCGCACAATCAGCCATATCAGACAAGTAGTCTGATATGGACCTAGTCTATACTAGGAAATGACTAGTTATAATTAAAAGCAATTAAATTCAAATATTATCTAATATTTTATGTTAGTTTCTCAAAACTTATAATCGAAGAAATCCCTCATATTAAAGGACACCACGCCTTCTCTTTGAAAGCATTACAGGCTACGGTTCTGCAAAAACATAGCGAAGACATTGTTGAACTAAAAGCTTAACAGTTATTTTGTTCGAATTAATACTACGTAATGTTTATATTTTCAAGTGCTATTGTTTGTTTTGTGTAACAAGTGATGCGCAGTGGAGGGTTAAACTGGGTCGAAACCTTGTGCTACGCTTACGAACTCAAATCACCATTTTAAATTAGGCAACGCGTAATAAAATTCTATAGGTATAGGGCAATTGTATATATCTATTTCCAGTCTGTAAAACATTGCCAACTGCAGCTTGCACGATAAAATACATGGTTTGAATACGAACTGGAATAAAGAAGCGGGCGAAGTTGTTGTCCCACTATATATTTTGCTTCACCGTAGCTCAGTTTATCAAGTATTTGCGAAGTACTGTGCTGCCCTACACAAATCATTTATACACCTAATCGTATAATGAAACAATAAGGCTCTAAAGTGAAGTAGAAGGTCTGTATTTAAAAATTTTATGACCTCAAAATATATTTTAAACAACGAGTTCTGTATATAAATATAATTTAAAATATTTTGTGTTCAGAAACATTTGTTCCACGCAACAGCGAATTTATCACGCAATCAGATAAAGTACAATGAATGAGTGCAATAAAAATATGTGGATTTACATTTAAAAATTATGTTTTTTATGAGGTAAACTTTAATTTGACCGATAACACCGACGCTTGACTCCTAAATATAGGTTATATTTAGGAGTATAATACGGTAAATTAATATACTTACCTTTCCCTCGCAATATATTTATGAAAATATTATGTATGTATACAAAAATAGTGATAAGTTTACAAGAATAGAACATACGCACAATGTTAATACTCGGAACAAACGCAGTCTGCAATTCCCCGTACTAGGCTATCTAAAGTTAGTAATTCTTTTTTGGGAAAAGGGATACTCTTCTTTAATAAAATCCCAGAGGCTCTTTTATCTCTGCCTTTAAATAAATTTAACAAATGTATTAAAGAAAAGCTGTGTAAAAAGGCTTACTATAAAGTTAACGATTATCTAGTTGATAAAAGGGCCTGGGACTAGTGCAAAAAAGGCTATGTGCGACGGCGAAGGCCAAAGTTTTTTGCGATATCAAGGGCCTAGAACCAGTCTGTTGCACAGATCCCCGTTAACAAAGACGTTGCGCTTACATTCAGTAAGCTGTCTCCGACACTATGGACAGCTTTACATGTTCACAGAGTGATTTGACAGTAGCAATATTGTGTATTTTATGTATTTAATATTAAATATTTTTATATTTTTCGACATTTACAGGACGTAAGAATAGTGTATGTATTTTTGTGAATAATCAGTAATACTCTCTGTGTAAGATTCAGAATTGAGACTTAGCGCTAAGCGTGACTTCCATTTGTCAAAATCGTATTGCCTTTGTATGGACTGTTGTATCTATGGTTGTACGCGAGATAAAGTCAATAAAGAGGGCCGAATCCTACTTGAGATTTTGGTAAAACTGATATAAAATGTATCTGAATTGCTGTTTCCAGTTT